ATAAAGGAAGCAAAGAAATTAAATCTGAAATTTTAGTCCAACGCGCGAAACATGGGGAAGGCTTGATGCCAAATTAGGAATAAATGAGGGCACTGCCGTTACTACTGTTAACCTCCACATTAATATTATTAGCTCTGGTATAGGGACTGATAATGTTATTAGCAGAGCAAAGTTAAAGATTGAATTAAGCGAAAAGAGCCATATATACCAAATTCAAAATTGAGTGAAAGTAGAGCTATCTCTAAAGTAGTTTTTTTTTTTTAATTCAATTTTTTTATTTGATCAAGGATTTCTTTTTTGAGGCTTAGAACACAAAAGGTTTTTACTTCTTTCAAGAAGTGTACTTTTCGAGATTTGAACTTATGTTTTCTTCCTTGTGAAGATAAGACTGCTTAGTACTTCAACCAACAATTTGTTAATAATTTAATTTTGATATTTTATGTTTTTTAATTAGCTAAATAAATAAGGAAAATATTATTAAATGTTGCAATGTGTGCTTTTTCCCTTAGAGAATGTTGTAATATATGTTGGGTGTGTGTAATTGTCCTTTTTTTTTTTAAAAAAAATATTCTTTTAAATATCAACTACTCCTCCAGTTCTTAATATAAGACCTATCTAACTAATTTGATTATATTAAGAAAGTTAGGTAAGTTAGTTAATTATAAGAAATATAAAATATTTTTTCTAAAACACCATAATCATCTTTTTTAATATCTCCCATCTCTCTTCTACTTGATTATAGTTGAGGGAGTATCCATGAGGTAATTTAGGAAAAACTAATAAATATGAGAAATTTGTCTTATATTTAGAACCAAAATCAACTTAACAATTAGATCTTATATTAAGAACCGGAGGAGTATTAAATTTCCCTTTTTTAATTAATCAAATTCATCTTTTTTTCAAACCAGAAATTCTTCCATATTGGTGGTGATTCATGTTTTCACGCACAAACACGGAAAATGGCCAAGTTGGGTGACAACACACTCAAGTCGCATCAAACAAAGACATATGTAACAAGTAGTCCACCGCCTTTGTTTTAATAAAATTATTTAGAGTTTTTTCTTCAAAATAATCCATCTAATACGAAGGTTTTGTTATTTACATATATACTGGTATTAGTCGATGAAATAAAGGCTTCAAATGGTGATTATTATATTATATTTGACGAATTTAATTAATTAAGACAAAATTCTTAATCACTAGTTCCCCACGCTGAAAGGATATTCATGTCATGATTTTAATTAACCTATGATTATTTCATATATTTTTAGTCAAATTTAATTTGGTGGCCATATATATAATGTCTACCATTTGTTAAGTTCTTTTTTTTTCAAAAAAAAAGAAGATCATAATCTTATTCTTCGCTAATCACCATCGCGTTCATCTATCAAGTCTTCTCTCTTGAATGCTACTGGAATTCTGGGAGGAAAATGAGAGAATTCAGAATATATTAAGGAGAAGAAGATGAATGAATGGATGGAAAATATGAGAAGGCTTGGAAATTATAATCCAAATCTCTGTCAAAGTATGATCAGAACTGATTATCTCTTTGATTTTCTTCAACATTTTAACGAGTGATTCCATCTACAGGTTAAAGTCAATATTGGTGGCCACATTAGAAATTACGTCCCAAGATTAACATTGATAATTCGTCTTGCTTTTAGGGTTTACCCATGCCATCACGAATTAATTAACCCCTTTTCTTCTGATTTATAAATTTCCATCCCTCACAATCTCTCTGTACTGGTAACAATATAAAGCTGCATACTATATTTAGTTTTTAAGACTTAATTAAAAAACACAATATATACATAAAATTAGTGACGACGGATTGTTTTGCCACAGAACATAGACTAGTATACCGTCTTATTGTGAATATATATCAAATATTTCTAGTAGTGAAAAATCACACTTGTGAGTTGAAAGTATGAAGAATTAACATTAATTAATTAATTAACAAGGAAATTATAAGGTACAATGTACTTGAGGGAAAAAGACAAATTGAGAGGAAATCGATGAAAGAGATCTCGCTTTTCGCAAGGATGTTTTGTCATGGAGTTAAAAACTTGACGCCACCTCTCTCGTGTTGTGTGAAAAAAGCAACCTACAAACAACTAATAACAGAAATTATTCGTATATAGCCTCATAGGTTGCATAATTAAGCTAATGCTGCTTAATTTGGTTGGGACCGTTCATCTAATTCCCACAAACCTACGTTATATACAGAAGCCAATCATACATACCTGTGTGTGTGTAGTATTGCCAATCCTAAAAACCGTAAACAAGAATTTGTTAATCGTTGAAGATATTTTTTACAGTTTTATTATTATGTAGATTATTATTTTCTCGTAAATTATTCATCTGGTCTTATTTATAAGGTATAGAGAGAAAATTTTTTTAATCCTATCTACATGTCACTTCATTAATTTTTTTGTACGAACGTACTATTTTGTTTTTGATTTATTATAGTGTAAATAATTATTTTTTTTAAAGTGTATGTATTAAATATGGATAAAATTACAAAATCGTTATATTTTAATTAAAAATTAATCCAGTTTAAAGTTTTTCTTCACCTCCGTAAAACATGTTAAAAGTGCCTTATAAATAGGATCAAATGAGTATATCTATTAAATAAGAATAAAATTAAAAAATTCTGTGTGCAATTTTAAGACAGAATTAATATAAAGCTTCAAGTTTTTCTATCAAACATGCTAGTAAATAGGACGAGAATCGTGAAATAAGAATGTACGCGTGAAACCGAAGGTTCCCAGAGAGGTGGTGATGTACGCGAGGAAGAGCAGAAGAAGAAGACAAATTGACTTGTTGCTAGAATTATGGAAACAAGCTCGCAAAAGTATCGTTTGGGTTTGTAAGTAAATTCCAAGACTTGCGAAATATGATGGAAACCCTCAAGCATCACAACAAATTCACCACTGCCCACTTCTCTCTCGTACAAATTATGATTAATTATCCATTCCAATTCCCAGCAATTAAGTTAATTAATTAATTAGATGGGTGGATCACACCTACCACAGTTGGCTTCATTAGACTGTATTCTGAAACTTCATTCAAGCGTGGAAGGGTGACGTTGCTCCGATCCTTGGACAACTTAGTGATATTATTCATGGCTTGTGAATAGTATGATCTGATTTTGTATTGATATTAATTATATAATGATGAATATTCATAATTTGACTTTCAACATCTTCATGTAACAAATAATTAATTCGTTGCGAGCAAATTTTTATCTTCCAATTGATTTTAAAGATGTTCTTTTTTAATTAAAAGCATAAATTGATTTCGGTTAGTCTACATCATTTGTATATCAGTAGAATGGTCATATTTCATTGAGATGACGGTCATTTTCTCACGAAATACTAAAAAAAAAATTATATCATTAATTAAATAATGGCATTCGTTGATGAATTGTACATATCTGATTAAAGAAATTGGTTTTTGAAAAGCTCATGTATGATATGCTTTTTTATTGAAAATGTCAATAATAAAACATTTGACAGTTGCGCCCAAGTTTGTACTATAATGTATAATATATTATGTATTTAGGTTATGTAATTGCGTGTGAAAATGTGACAGATCATATATACTAGGTGGGAAAACGCCATGGATATCCTGGAAAAAACATGGTAATGATGCTGGAAGAAAGATGGTCTCAAATGGATTGGCTAATCTTAATTAATTAAGCACTGGTTTTTATAGTGGGCATTAAAAAAATGTTAACTTTCACTAAGCTTTTAATTAATTAATGATAGTACTTTTTTATTTTAATGTTGTTGTGGAGAAAGCTTTCAGGGGGTCAGCTGTGAAAATAATTTAGATTATTTTATTTTTTATGTGCTTTCCCCTCTATTTTGCAAGAGTCAAAATCAAATTATTCAAGTTAATCAATCTTCTTCACCTGTCCACTTCATGAAATCGGAAGGATTTCAATGAGTCACTTTTATTTCCTGTTCTTGGGCCCTAGCTAAAAAGAGGATTAATTCCATCAAACAATTAGGAATATTATAATCAATTCTCTGGTGTGCCTTCACTTCTAGATCTAAGAAATTTTGTACTAATTTTCTAAACTTGAAGAAAGATTATTTTATTTGGATTAATTAGTTAATTAGGATAACATCTATTTCCGAAGTAGGCAGTTACTTCAAAATCGCTTGGTATTTTATATCTGCGTTTACATGATACCTTGAATTCTTCTCGAACATAAAATCAATGATTGTTATATATATATATATATATATATATATATATATCAAACTATCACTGGCTAGCTAAGGCAGATAAAATATTTATATTATTAATTATTATTATTATCATTACAATAAAAAATTACACCCTTGAAATGCTGCAACCTGGGCCCTCAAGCATATATATAAAAAATGCTTTGCTGATTAAGATGCTTTGAACAATTATGCAAGTAACGACCATTCTTCAACTTGAAATCATTATAATGTTCGCTTTTCCCCCCAACCTAGGGTTACAAAATTAAAATCTTATAAAGAAAAAACAAAAGAGAAATAAATTTACTTTCTGTTTCATCGTTCAATATGTTCCTGTGTTGTTGTCAAATGGCATAAAAAGTAAATAATAAGAGTAGCTAGAGGAAACTTTGTGTTCTTCATCATCAACCCCGGCCCGTGAAAGTTGAAAAAAATTAATCAGGTTAACTTTTAATAAATTTCTAAATTTGCTATTTGCGTGGCAAGCAAACCCATAATTTCTAGACGACCTAGATTGGTATTAACCATATATGGTGCTAAATACGCTAAGTTACCCCATTAATGATTGATTTGTTGATGGAAACACAAATATGGAACAATATGGGGGTTAAATAGGAAAAAAACAAAAAGTATGGCTAATGGATCTTAATGCTAATTGTACGATTAAAGCAAGAAAATAATGTAGGCAAGGAAGAAAAAGAGGGAGCTAAAGCACTTTCCCTTGGTCCCATACCAATGTCCTCTCAGATCACTATACGCCATTGATGTGATCTTCACGAATTTTCACTAATTATATTTTCCTCATCACCACTGTGTCTTCTCATCCCTCTTAGAGGAGGAAAAAAAAAAATCAAACAAATAATTCAAATGATTAAATCAATAACACAGACCACCAGAGCTAGCTTGCATACGATAGATATGTCCTCCAGCAAAGGTAAAGATATCGCAGAAGGATCATCGTCCTCAACGTCGAGGCTTTCAGCTTCTTCGGCTCCTGCGGTGGCTCCGGCGACGGCCCAGCAACAGCCGCTGAGCCGGTATGAGTCACAGAAGAGGAGGGATTGGAACACTTTTGGGCAGTACTTGAGGAATCAGAGGCCTCCGGTGGCTTTATCACAGTGCAGTTCCAATCATGTTCTTGATTTTCTGAGGTACTTGGATCAGTTCGGGAAGACTAAGGTGCACTCACAGGGTTGTCTGTTCTTCGGCCAAGCGGAGCCGCCGGGGCCATGCACGTGTCCTCTCAGACAAGCTTGGGGCAGCCTGGACGCGCTCATCGGACGGCTGAGAGCTGCGTACGAGGAAAATGGCGGCTTGCCGGAGACAAACCCCTTCGCCAGCGGCGCCATAAGAGTTTACCTAAGGGAAGTGAGGGATTCTCAGGCTAAGGCAAGAGGAATCCCTTACAAGAAGAAGAAGAAGAAGAAGAGGAATCTAGTGAAGGATAGCTCAAATAATAGCTTGCCTATGCAGTAATTAAAGCTTCATTTGGTTCCTTCTTGGCCTTGTTCAAGATCATTACACGGTAAGATTTCCCTCAACTTTTACTGCTAAAATTAACTTGAACAATTCATTATTGTTATATATATATATGTTTATGTGTTGAACGCTAGCTAGATTCTGTAGATGAAACTGATTGAAACTTAGAACAGGAAAATTCATCAATCCCAATAGTAAAGTTGGTTCAAAACAGTAGGTTCGATTATTTACCAGCAATAGTATAAATACTGCATAATCAATCGATCTGATTTAACTTCCTACATGACGGTGAACCCTAGCTTGGCCATATGTACGGGCTTCAAAAAAAGCCCTAAATCGCCCCTGATGTACGACACTACAACGTCGTACATGAGAACAAATTATGCTTACTTTGGTAGGGACTTTAGGAATTTGGCTTTCATATGTGTGTGTGTATATTCTCTCTCATCATCTCTTTCAACATATCACAATGCTATTATGGATTTTGAATTTCGTGTTTATTTATTAATTTATTTATGTATATATCAATGTATAATTGTTTGCTTTTCTTCCCCTTCACCCAATATAATCTTGCTTCTTTGGGGACTCGTGCTACCTTATGTTGCAGTTACCACAAATGGGAAGACAACCTTATAAATTTATGCGTAATATTATATTCCTGTAAAAAAATTTAATTATAATCAACAAAATCTTGGAATGTGGGAGGTCACGAGATTTAAGGGAAGAATTATAAAACATTTTAACTGTCCATAGGGTGCTGGGCCATATATGTATGGTTTATGTATTCCACATTAAGTGTGCCACAAACACAACCGATAATATGTAGTATTATTGGAGCTCAATTAGTTCTTGTCTTTATATATATATATACCAACAAATTTTAGTGTCCTCCCCATCTTGCTTTTGCTGTTGCTCACAGCATCTCAATAGATCCTTTTCTTAATTGGGTGATAATGATATATTTGTTTGTGTGCGCGTGTGCGTTTGGCTCTTCCGCACATGAATTGCACTGCACGGATCTCATTATCAAATATAAATTTGAGGTATGCAACATTTTAATTCCAGGGGTGAGTCTATTAATTCATAGGATGCTTGATCAGTAAATTCCAAATCATCTCTGATATGTCATATTCAAAACGAGGATCTGGTATAGATTCTTTTGGATATTTCGTTTTCAAAATGTCTGACACACACACACACACACACACACACACAAAAAGGTTGATTGAATACTTTGAAAATTACAATGAACTCACAGAATGTTACACTATCGCACTATAGAACAGCATTGTGAAATTGTTCATATACTTATATATGGTCCTGGACATGTACATATGTACTCATGTATACGTATAAACATATAGATATATATATGTGTACGTTTTTCCAGGTCTCTAAATAATGTCGAAGTCATGAGAGAAAGAGGGATCTCTGTTGCTGACAATATAACATGGCTGGCTGGATGGAGTGGGAAGGTCAAGTCAAATCCTTTCGTGGTCTTTGTGCTTAAAATGAAGGACATCGTATGTTATATTTGAATGCGAATATGTATTTAGGATGGAAGTTGAGGAAGATTAATACTTGGTATATAATTAGCTTGAGAAACTCATTCTAGTTTACGTATCTCTATAATTCATCAGCGTTTACATATATATATATATATATATATATCAGGCAAGGATATATATATATATGTATATCCTAAGAAGCTAGCTAGCTAGATAGTGTGTTTATGATGCAACCTTGGAAGTTGGAATCCTTTGTATCCTTTGACTGCGCACATTCAAGGAATTTTTGCAGATTGTTATTCCTACTGCTGCTGCTATATTTTATATATATATATATATATATATATATATATATGTTATGCTGTTAAATTATATCCATCTCAGTTATCAGTGAATCCAAAGATATATATCTTATCTGCATTATACATATATCAAGAGATTTGCGTGCAACTTATACAACCTGTGACTGTATTCTCTGCATACGTGTTATGAGTAAGGAATGAAATAATGATTGTTCTGACCCTATGTATATAAATTGATGAACTATGTGCGTGCCTATATATATATATATATATATATATAGGTAATAGATAGCTAGCTAGTTTGCTGTCTTAATTATGTTTTCAAAGAAATGCTTATATGAGCATGCATTATAACCTAGAGTCTTTATAGTGGAATAGGGGGACAGAGACAATAATATAGCTGTATATATAAGAGACACATTAAGTTAAACTTGATTTATCCAGGTATTTCTTGGGTCTAAAAGCACGATTTTATACATAATTCAAATTTGATGCAGGCACAACAATGTATACTGCTTTTTTCTGGGACATCTTTTCTGCAGAAAATTTTGGATTGTGATGATACTGACGTACGACTGTATATGTGCGAATAATCCTGGAAATGTAATTTCAATCGAAAGAGTACTATACTAGATAGGATTTTCCTTATAATTCTTTCTTTAATTTCAGTAGTTTCCTGTGATTAATCGCATGTCTCAGTTGACTGCTGAAAGATTAAATATAATAACATCTAATATACTACTATTGTTTATCTAATTAATCACCTGACGGCAGTCAATTTAAATGCCTGAAATATATTTAATTCTAACTTAATATAAATTGATATTGGGCTGAGGCCTAAATGATAAATTTGGAGTCTATATAAGAGACTCGATTTATGTATAAATATATAAGCAGTCTCATTTATTGCTCAGAATTTTTCTCCATTACGCTCTTCGTTATTTATCCCACAGCACTTAATAAAACTTTTTAATCCTTAAGCATTTGGTTAGAGGACTACTAGTTATAATTAAGGAACTACATATATCGGTCTCAGTTTCATTTGACTCTCCCAAATTGTGCCTCATCACTTAACTCCAACAAGTGAATATAATTATCAAATCTGCACAAAATAATATAGAGTGGGATGTTAGGGGGAAAAAGTTCAATTTATTTAGTTACCTAAACCTAGCTTAATATCAGAACTTTGAAGATTTTTTCTAAACCGTGGCCCACAGGTATCATGTGACGAAAATTGATAATCACTTTGGGAGGTTGTTTGGTGTTAATATGTTAAATTTGTTACAAAGAATTATGGTTCACATACTTTTTAACTTGAAATTAAACGAGCTTTTAAATTGATTTAACTTTAATTTCTGGATTTTTATTTATAAAAAAGCATTCATATCACAGTTGTAAGTCTCATTATCCAAGTTATATATAATTGAGAAGCCACTTCGCTTTTCTTAAGTTATCCCGTTGGGGTTTGGAGAATATAATAATGACTTTCCTTATTTCGTTAATCGGTTTCAAGTCTCTAATTAGACATTTTATTAAACTTACTCTATTCTAACCTATTGATGGGGGGAAAAAAAACTACTTTCTAACCGATATTTACTAGGAGATAACAATAATACAACTTTCATGTTATAATCAGTGTGCAGAAAACTTGAACTTCTGAACAAGATTTGTTCATGAATCCGGCTTTCTTTTTTCTTTTTCTTTTTCTTTTTTAACAAGAAGGTTGAAAATTTTTTTTATTAGATCCCCATGAAAATGAAATTAAAATGCGAACATAAACTGATGAAGCATAACTCATATCTCTATTTAAGAAAAAATAATAAACATGTTGTCGAATACTTACAAAAAAATTATTGCAACAAATATATACGTGCTTGTGTATTATATCTCATTTTCCCTTTTTCATTATGGATCACACAGTCAATTAGAACCATCAAAGCACACAAATTAGATGGATATGGATAATCAAAAGGAATGAAAAAAACACATATAGTAATGAAAGATATAGTGGGCAAAAAATAATAACAAATATAACCTATATGACATAAAAAGGAAAATTTTGTGAATTTCAACCCATATTTTGCTCAGGAAAATTTTTTGATTTTCATCTCAAATGAAATCGCATATCTGATGAAGTCTAGAAATCATTTAAAATTTGTAATTTCAAATAAAAGTTTGATTTGCGAATCGATTTAAAACGTAGAATCTAGTGAGGCTTTATTGATTGGAGGGGTTAAGTAGAGGAATGAAGAGAATCCTCGTCCATGAGCTGCATAATTCACATATTTGTTCTTCTGCTGAAACTAAACACAATTTGAATCTTTAATTTCAACCACACAAGAATATATCCCTTCAATCTTTCTCTCATTTTCACCCCATCAAAACTAATGCCAAGCATTATAGGTCAGATGGTACTCTGTTTCTTGCTCATTTAGTACTACTTTTCAAATGTGCACAAAAATAATGACCAGTCTCCCAGCCCTATAGAAAAGGCCTGAATATCTTTTGGCTTCATATATTTTATAAGTCATGTTTTATTCAGTTCATTCCAAACCAAACCCTTCCTTTCCTCTATTTAAAATGCTCGTGTTTGGCATCTAAGATATCAAGAGACAACAAATCCAAGACAGCAGTGTACAGAACTAATCAGTAATCACTCCAAACTTCAGCATGTTTTCTAAAACGCTTACAGAGATATTTACAGATTGTCTACCAACAAAATCCTCATATTAACAGCAGGATTCGAATTGACGACTTTATAGATTATAAGCTGACTCTTAACCAATTGGACTAATCTTGTTTGTATTTCTTATTGGGTTTTAAAACAAAACAAGCACATTCAGTGTCAGCTTAATAAGCATGGATGAGGATCCCATGCACTTACAGCTTAATGCAGGAGTAGTAAGTTTAGGGGAGAGAAAAAATTACAGTGGAGTGCGAGGGCCCACCAAGGGTGAATGGGCTCTCTCTTTCACTCTCCTAAATTTACCTCCTACATTTATCCTCTTAAGGTAGGGGATCCAAATCCCATAGCAGTAGTAATCCAAAATCCTTCCCTGGTCTCATAGATTTGACACCACTCAAAAGCTATTCATGAGGACAAAGGTCACCATGCTTCAGTTTTCAATGATCAGCATAAGAACGCAGAATAAAAAATGACGGGCTATGAACATAATCAGCAATTACAAAACTCTTCGCCCAAAAGGAAGGAAATACCTCAACGATATCTTAAGAGATTGTATATAATAATTCAACAGAAACCCCTCAAAGCATGCAAACTACACAAATCTTTCATGTTTGATTACAGTTTACAAGGCCTAATTTTTATCCTGTTCCTTCAGCTTTATCAGAGATAACATCAATATCTTGTTATTACAAATACATTGAAGAATCAAAGGGAAGCCCTTGTTCAAAGCACTTGTGAAATTAAGCTTACAATCTACACCATTCTGTTCTTACCTGAGGAGAAAGGCCCCTTAAACAGAGTGGATAACTTTGTTAAAACCAAAACCAAAATAGGGGCGACCTCTTTTTTGGCATGAATCTCCAACTATATCATAAAGAATAGTGTAATTTGAACTGCTCACATTCCTAAGATAACAAAATTCATTGCTTTTATAGTTATAATCTTGCTGGGTGCTGCCAACTCCACTAGTGACTAAATGGCCCTTAACAACCGTTATAGCCTGACCGTTTTGCACATTTTTGAGGGAGCTGCTTGAGAATCCAAACTTTGCGCTCTTAGACTTGATCTCATCAAATCCCAATGTTACATTAGAAACAGACAAATAAGTTTTATTTGCTTGATCCACTTCATCTGTGTACAAGTGTAGAGAAAAGTTTCTGTTTGTTTCAATGATCAAATGATCATTAGAGGATGGCAACTTTGCATGAACAGTGTCATTGAAAAGGATGACTTGTTTCACATTTTGCATATTCCCGTCATTCCCCAGCACCATTGTATTGTTGTAGCTCAGGTCTTGAGCAAAACTGGTTGTGATATTACCATGGGAGGATTTCACCCATCCAGTAGACAAAACTGACCTCCTTGCCCTTGTCCAAAATGTTCCATTTAAACCTATAAAATCTGATACCTGGGATTCAACCAGAGGCTTGCTAATATAACTCAAAAGCTCCCCTTCTGTTCTATCGCTCTTTTGGTCCAACCAAAGATGCAAATTAGCATCTATATACCAAACATTCAAGGCATTGGTTACACTGAAACCCAGTGAATGGGCGTGTCCATCTAACATTTTCCCCAGAAACGGTGTAATTTCTATGTCGTAAGAGGGAAGATCGAATGACCCAATGCCAGTGATGGGCCTCCACAAAAGAGGACTGACGCCTCCTGTATATATCACAGTAAAAGGCCAAATTGCCCCAACAACCTCACCATCAAAAGTAGCCAAAACCTCCCTAAATGGCCCATTTCCAGGTGTATCAGTAAGGTTGTTTGCAGCAAGGTATTCATCTGGCAGATTAGTATACCAAAACTCATCATTCTCATGAAATGAAACATAGACCTCCAACACAGCCCTATAAGCATTCTGAGGAATTCTGAATTCCTTTGTTGCCGTATCAGTGGAATTTACGATTTCAAACCACAACCCATCATTTAACGGAAGATTTCGAGAGATGGGTAATATCAGATCTGCCGGCAAACCATTCCCAAGTGCTAAATTTCCAGAATGGGATTCATAATCATTGAGTTTCATTTCAGCAGGATAAAAATGAATGAAGATATCAACATGGTAAACCCCGGTGTAAGTACGGTCTACAATATTACCTAAATAAACAGCAAGAGTTTGGTCCTTCATTAACAACGAATAGTACCTTGTAATGTCCTTCTCAACACTCCAAACAATCCCAGAAGCCCGAGGCTCTGCCGTGCAGCTCCGGAGAAGCTCAACTCCGCCAAGCCACACTCCAAAGATACGATCAAACTGTCTTCCTTTGCAAGTCGCTTTCCACTCAAGGACAATTTTTGAGAACTCTTGAGATGGACAATGTGAGGGAGGGACATACTCCGCAAGAACAGGAGGTTTGCCATATGTAAAGCCAAAGTCATGGTGAAGAATGTGGTATGAACAGGGTTTCGTGCGGGGAAGTTTGATGGGTTTGGTAACCTCGAAGTACTTCGTCGGTGGGGTGTCGTTGAAAGAAGTGGGCCAATCAAAAAGCTCCGGTTCAAGTTGCTTTAAATTGTAAAGATTTGCTGAGGAAATCAGAGGCGGAAGAAGGAAGAAGATGAAGAGGCAAGGAGAGAGGAAACGGGAGAGACAAGAAGCCATCACTAGGCTTACAGTGCTCTGTAATGTGAGAGACTGGTAAGTATCTAAGGTCTCTGAAGTGACCTTCTCTGGGGAACAGTAGATAGCCCCCTTTTGGCGGAAACCGGGAAGGCAACTGGCAGGTTCGTCCCAGTTAATTCTATTAATCCTTGTATAAATATATATATATATATATATATTCCTTAGTAACTAATTTTCCCAATTCATTTCAGTAATTTCCTCATGTTTGCAAATCTTACCCCTCCCTCCCAAAACAAAAAAAACAAAAAATCTTAGCTGAAAGTTAGTTGGAGGTATCATCGAGGATTATGCAGCTTTTGGTAGTTGAGTTGCCGCTTGCCAGTGCTAGAGCCTCACTTCAACAAAATTCATTTGACTGAGAAATGAAAGGAAAGGTACCAACAAGCTATGATTAATGGTTTCACCTCAATTAAAAAAAAAAAAAGAACTTTGACGTTTTTTATTCGCCAAAGATTAATTTTAAGGCCGAAATGATTTAAGAATATTCTAAGTTATATAAAAAAAAAAATAAAGGTGTTCATAACAGGAAGCGTCGAGTGTTTTTTTCTTTTTTTGCCAAAAAATTAAAGTTATTTTTTAATTACCTCAAAAGGTTTAAAAGAAGGATTTTGATATTAATTTGAAGTTTGCATATCAAGTTAAATAATAAGACGTAAACATTCATCATGTATGCAATTTTAATTTTCTTCAGATTGAATTATTATCCTCTAAAAACAATCTTAGATAAAAATTTCTAAGAAATGATAAATATTATTTTATTTGATCCATATTTGTTTCCCTTAAAAAAAAAAAATCTGCTCTGCTTTTGTTAACCATGGTAATGCATTTCTTTGGCACTACTGAATGCACAAAGATGCGAAATCCAATTTAATTAATTATTTATTTAATATGGCTGCGCTTTAGTCAAATCTGAAACTGCCTCCATTCAAACCACCAACTGTATATAAATTGTGAATCCATTACTAAAAGTACTTATTTCATGATTATAAGTTCTTAGATAAGAATCATTTCAAATTTCAGCATGATTTTCAAGTACAAAATAAGTAAATTAAAATCTGATCTCTTAGTACTCTACCACAGTATTGCCCCCATCATAGATTGGAGCTTCAAAGGAGAGCCCGTGTACAAAGTAACTGTGAAACCAAGATCAGAATCTAAACCCCTCTGTTCTCATTTGGAGAGAAAAGCCTCTTGAACATTATAGGTAACTTCTTGGTTAAACGAAAACTAGAACGATGCCCTCCTCTGTTATGGCATGAATCTCCAACTTTGTCATAGAGAATAGTGTAATTTGAGCTGCTCACATTTCTAAAATAGCAAAACTCATTGCTTCCGTAGTTATAATCTTGTTGCGTGGTACCAAATCCGCCAGCAACCAAACGATCCTCCAGAACTATACTTCCCTGACCATTCTGCACATTTCTGAGAGAGCTGTTAGAGAATCCAGATTCTGCACTCAGAGACTTTCTCTCAGCAAATCCTAACGTTATGTTAACAACAGATATGGTTTTATTTTCTTCACGCATTTCATCTGAGTGAAAGTATAGGGAAAAATTTCTGTGTGTTTCAGTGATCAAATGAGGAGGACCAGAGGATGGAAACCTAATATATACAGAGTCATTGGAAAGGATTACTTGGGTCACAATTTGCGTTGTCCCAGCATTTTCTATTGCCATTGAATTGATGTAAAACGAGTTTTGAAGAAAACCCGTTGTGATATTACCATAGGAGGATTTCACCCATCCTTCTGTAGAAACGTACGTCCTTGCACCAGTCCAAAAAGGTTCATTTGAACCACCAGAATCTGATGATACTAAGGGTTTTACAACCAGAGGCTTGCTGATATAGTCTGAAAGCTTCCCTTCTGTTTTCTTGCTCTTTCCATCCAACCAAAGATGTAAATTTGCATCAATATACCACACATTTAAGGCATGATCTACAATAAAACCCAGTGAATGGGTCTGCCCATTTAGTATTTTCCCTAATAAGGGTGTCATTTCAAGGTCATAAGTGGGAAGATCAAATGAACCAATGCCACTTATGGGTCTCCACATGAGGGGGTTGAACCCTCCTGTATATATCACAGTAAATGGAAAAATTGCCCCAACAACGTATCTATTATCAAGAGTAACCACAATCTCCCTAAATGGTCCATTTCCAGGTACATCAGTGAGGTTGTTTGCAGCAATGTATTCATTTGAGGGATTAGAGTACCAAAACTCATCTTTCTCATGAAATGAAACATAGACTTCCAACACAGCCCTGTAAGCATTCTGAGGAACTGTGAATTCCTTCGTCTTCTTATCTGTAGAATTCTGAATTTCAAACCACAGCCCATCTTTTATCGGAAAATTTCGAGAAATGGGTATAATCAAATCCGCAGGGCCGCCATACCCAGGTGCTAAATTCTCAGACTTGGTTCGATGACTACTCAAAGTCCTCTTCCCCTCAGGAGGATAAAAATGCATGAATATATCAACATGGTAAATCCCAGTATAAGTACTGTCAACTATATTACCCATATAAACAGCGAGAGTATTATCCTTCATTAGTACCGAATGGTACCTTGTAATATCCTTCTCAACTGTCCAAACAATGCCGGTGGCCCTAGGCTCCGCCGTGCAGCTCCGGAGAATCTCAACCCCACCAAGCCACACTCCAAAAATGCGATCGAATTGTCTTCCACTGCAAGTTGCGTTCCATTCGAGGACGATTTTGGAGAACTTGTGAGATGGGCAATGCGAGGGAGGAATATAATTTGCCACCACAGGCTGTTGGCCATATGTGGAGGCAAAGTCATGGTGGAGAATGTGATAAGAGCAAGGATTTGTGCGAGGAAGTTTGATGGGTTTGGTTACCTCAAAGTACCTGGTTGGTGGGGTGTCATTGGAAGAAGTGGTGGGTTGGAGAGGAAGCTGGGATCCGAGTTGCTTGAATTTGTGAAGATTCGATGCAGAAATGGGATTCTGGAAGATGATGAATATGGAGAAGAAGAGGAAGGAGAAGACGGAGACATCCATGGATGGATGATCTAAATCTGCTCGTTGGCGAGGTCTCTGAGGTATCATCGTACTTCTGAGATACTGAGAGCAATAAATATATATCCAACAGAGCAGAGAATCCAAAATCCCGGAAACAATGCACCTGAATGATAGAGCTAGAAAAATGATCATTATTGTTAAAAAATTAATGGCATTAATGCATCAAAAAAATTAATAGTATTAAGGAGTAATTAATATTCAAGGTAAAAGAAAAGAGTAGCAGTAGTAATTAGTAATTGATCTTGTAAAAAAAAGCATTTTTTGTTTAAACAGATTCAATTATACTACACAAAAAAAGAACAAAATTCAATGCACATAATTGATACTTTTTCCATCATTATATATTCTAGAAAAAAAATTTGATTCTAGAAATAAACTATTTTACATGATTTTTTTGGCATATTTAATGCCTTTTTTTAAATGCCTTTTTTAAAAGGAGGACAGAAAAATATTTAATTTTAAAATTGATAATATTAGTTAAGGATGAAGATGGAAACTTATTTAATTTTACAACCAATTTAATAAGATAACTAACTTTTTTTTTCATTTCAATAAAATAGTGAAAAGTGAATTATAATTATGATTAAAAATACAGTAACTCCCTGCGTAGTTGTGCATGCGTACATGAAGTGCATCTTTAACTGGTTTAAATTTTCTTACAAGTTAAAGGGGATATATTTGGGAAGGAGTAATTGTAAGCAAGTAAAAATAAGAAAAGAAAAAGAAAGGAAGAGCAATGAACGTGATAAAACCATTACATATTGTTGGCGAAGGATAATCATGAATATGAGATGCGTTGTAATGTCACTTTCATCCGAGTCCCTTGATGTTTACGATCTCGCATTGTACTATTATTTATGTTTGTTTGTTGCCAAAAAAACAAAAAGGTACCTTGACAGTGACTTTCTTATTCAGTGTTGTGAAAAACAAGGAACTGTAATGTCACCTATTTTGTTTTTTTTTGTTTTTCCCCGCCCCGGGAGGGGGGGCCTTCCAGCTATAATGCATCCTTGAACTTTCGTATAAATGTGTAAACAAAAATTCCTTAAAATTATAGAAATTTTCTTTGGTTCGAACCCTTTTCCCCCCTGTTCTACTGTTCAGTGCTTGCAGCGTTATTCAGTTGGATGTAAAATTAATATATATATATATATATAAAATTCATATAAGAGGTATGAATATGATGAATTCAATTTGCACTGTCATTCGCTTTGCCATGATGATGGACTTTGAAATGGTTGGTGATCAATATAGAGCTTTACCAAGAAAGTTGGGATTTCATAAAAGTATGAGGGAAAGTGTGTTATTTGACCTTTGGGTGACGCCAAATTCAACCGTATATAGGCCACACTTACGACAATATTCATTTTTTTCCCCCTTAATGGCCCTTGGCAGAGGACTGCGTGAAAACAATCATCTTTACTATCATGAATTTAGAAAAATACAGGGTTTTTGGGGTAACACAGAAAAAGAAAGAACATAAAATCAAAGCCAATCATTAATCCAAAGTTCGATTTAGAACTGATATCTGACCAGAATCACCATTTAACAAGAAAACTTCCAGAGGCACATATGGGGACGACATTGATGCGCCAAACCTGTAGGCAGGTTGCAGCATTTTGCTGCCTTTTGCGCATGCAATGGTCCGAAGACGTGGCCCAGTTCTCATCTGCCAGATCTGCACAAAATTGATCAATAAGGGAACAAATAAAAATCATAACCGGCAAGAATTAAGTATTAAATAGTAGTATTGGTCTTGGCTCATGTTAGAGTAAAAATGTACCTCGATAATTCCTTTCCTAGGCGCATGAATAGCCAAACACAAGCAGTAATCACTCTTCATTGGTTCATGATGTGCGGAGCTTGATGATGCAAAATCTTTATTAACCAACATCTCCATGAATAAGCAGCTGGCATCCCGATATCCCTGCAATAATATCAGAACCTCAAACAGGGAAAAGGGGGCTAAAAGTAACCCAAGTCTTTTCTTTTCTTTTTGTTCTCATCCCCCCCCCCAAAAAAAAAAAATTAAGGTCAAGCGAGAAATCAGCAAACCTTCCATAAGCGCACGACCACCAGTGCTTGAGTATCTAGCAGCAGAATACGACCAAGTGAATCTGTTATAGCAGCTAATGTACCACTGGGTGATAAGATAAGCTTCTCACCCTTTCTAGGGTGATCCTTCAAACAGGTCAGAGGTGCAGCTGCATTGAATCATGAAGACAAGTCATGCGAGAGTCTGAATTAGCTCTGCATTTTAATTTACTGGTTGCCAAGCCCAATTCTAGCTATAATATTTTGTCGTTTGTTTACTATGTAAGTATAGCCTTACTTATTGGTATGACCTTGTCCAAAATGAATAAATCGAAGATTGATTTTATGAATATCTATAACAGGCATAAAGAAACCTCACAAATTCTCAATCTACTTCTACCAGTCCTTTTTCTTCTAACTAGATATTTGGAATAGAGATTATGCCCTAATTATTTCAATTGTATAAGATGATCCAACTGGGCAAAATAATTTACCGTTATAAGCACAGATATTTCAGGAAGCATATGAACTCACAATTACAAAAGCTAGAAGTAAAGTACGTGTTATTCCTACCTTGGGCAAATGGTTGAGTGACTTGAGTCTTCTGATCCTGCTTCTTTGGAGATGTCCGCTCACTCCGCCAAATCAATTTAGAAAAAGAAGTAATTGTTGAAACCGTTACAGGTACAACTTTAGACAATATAGCTCCGACTATAGACCTGCCTTTGTCTTCAGAAAGTCTTCAATGATGAAACAAAAACCAGTTAATGGAATAAAACTACAGAACAACAGAGGTTCAGAAACCAGCAGAGCACATATCAATATAGTAGCATAATTTATATCAGATAATTCACTAAGTACCTGAATGCTGAAATCACAGCATCTTCTCCAACGGCCACTGCACAATAATAACGCTGACTTGACTGCCCAATAATAAAAGCAGCTGAATTCAAATACCAGAAATAACTTCAGAAAGTTCCCCTTATCTAGGATAAAAGAACTACAACCATCATCATTAAAATTAACTATGAATGAGCAAAAAGAAGACGTAATAATATAGGTTCGAAGACCTGAACAAGTTTGTTGTCATCTCTGGGTCCAGATAAACAAAGATCTTTGAAGCCAGGAGGGAATTAATAACCCATTACAGGTTAAAAGACAATGTCGGAACATGAGAAATTGACTTTCTGAACTTCACGTGTTAATACTTGAAAATTGATATTAGAGCATTTGATGAAAATTTTATCCAATCATTAATTTAAATTTTATCTGCTCACATCACATGAGATGTAAATTAAACTAATGTTGTCACTTGGGGCCAGTTCAAGTGGTAAGAGAAGATTAGAGAGTGGGTAACGATCAAGGTTCAAATCTTACAGGTGTAACAAGTCAAAAATACATAAATAAATAAATAATGTCATCAGCATGGGGAACATTAAAAAATATGAATTACAAGAGCTTTTACCTGAGATTCCATCAATGGCGGAGGCATTATTCCGGTGATCGCTGCGTCAACACAATTACCGTACTTGCCAACATTCCACAACTGGTAGTGTAATTTTTCACGAGAGCTTCCAGAATCCTCTGGATCTTGCCCTTTTGGCGTTTGACCCCAATAATGACCTAGTGTTTCTTCAAACCATTTCTGCAGCATATTCTACATTTCAAGCACATATGGCATATGGCCAACTATTAGACTGATGAGGAGCTACTCAAACCCACATTTTAGAATACCGGACAACAAAATAAAAAGGAAATTGTTAGTTTTATCAGATTAGCACATATCGAGATATCTGTATTACATTATACCAAAATTAAGCACGACAAGTTTTAGATAAAACTCAAATACTATATTTCATCAATTCCAATTGTGTAGAGAAAGAAATTGATTTTTACCTGAATACCAGAGACATCAAAACGGGCAATGACGCCAGGCATAACAACACAAAACTCTTCTGAGGAAGTATCTTGACTAAAGCCTTTCTTTGATCCACGAACTCTTAACTTTATGATTCGTCCATGATAAACCATCTGTGGGGATGTGAACAAACATTAGACTAACAGACAGAAAACAAACAGAAATCCAGGCATAATTTGGCACACAATATCCTTCCTATTGTGGCTGTAAACTTATTAACCAACCTTGTGCTACTGCCAACTTTCTTTTCTTTTCTTTTTTTTCCCCTTTTTTTAAGTTTCCTCAATAGCAAAAACTAGATATCAATTTCAATTGAGAACCAAGCTTCCCATTTACTTTTCGAATCCCCAGATTTCAATCACAAAGAAAAGTAAGTGATGAGCTAATCCATCACCTGTTTATGAATCAAATCACCCTGCAATGAATAAATCAGCAAGTACCCACAAGAGGTCCCAGCCACAATCACTCGAATATCATCGAACACCAACCACTCAATGGCGGAGATACGCTCAGCCTCGATCGGTGATAGTTCAGGGCGTATCTTCAGGCGCGAACCATCGGAATCGGACCAACCAAGGACAAGAATTGTGGATCGATTCGCAAGCGCAAGAGAATGGGTATCGATGGCGCAGAGAAGATTGGGATTATCAACGAGCCAGCCCTCTTTACCAGCGCCAAGTTCAGTGAGCTCCTGACAGGCTATGCAGCCCAATTCGGTCTTATAGGATCGCCTCGCCATTGCAGTGATCTATGCCATTGCTTGATTCGTTGAGCAAAAACAACAGGCGCCTGAAAATTGATCTCTCTCCGCGAATCTCACAGCATAGGACGTAGATACACAGTTCTCCATCCAAAGCAAATATGCGTTTTCTAATTCTTTTGCTTGCTTGGGTTATTTCCCCTTGTCACGTGAGTCACGTGACGAACACGAGGTAATAGTGTCACTCGGGTTGCCGTTACCAATTTTCCGTCTTGAATACAACACTCATGTTATAATACAAATCACACTATAAGATAAATTTTATATTTAAATTAATAAATAATAATTCATGCTAATTAAGATGAATATATTTTGTGGTTAGGTTATTGGACGAAATAAATCCTCAACAAAGGAAAAAAAAAAAAAAGTGCACGGGTTAAAGGTGAATAGCTGTTCATCTTCCGTTTTGGCCATTTTATTGTCCCCCTTTCCATTCATCTTCTATTCTTCACTCTACCGTTCATCCAAAAACACATCTTGATTCTTTTCAATACCATTCCAAATAAAATTTTACAGTACATTCTTCTAGCTATTACCATCTGCTTATTCTCTTAAAATTTCAATTATCCTTCACTCCAGTACGGATATTCATGTGAAATGTAAAATTATTCAATCCCAAGTAGTAACCACCGATTGGACCATCCAAAAATATACTAGAATTGCATTGCATTAATTCTCACTAGTACAATAATTAATCCATCTACATTCATGCAGCTAGCAGAGAACAGCAAAGTTGACTTAATTTAAGATGACCCCTTCCAGTCTGCTATGTAAATTCCAAAACTAGACTGGACCTCCAAGCCATCCATGAACCAATGACGGGGGCCAGATTAGATCCTTATGCGTCAAAGAACTCTTCAGGGACATAAAATTTCAAACCAATAGCCTGCAATCACCAAACAGATAACTTCAGGTAAGTGGGTAGCAAACATGCAAGGATCGATTGAGGATGTGCTGCACTGAACATCATTCGCATCTTTACTCAATCCAGCCTGTTTCCAATTATAAGCAGCTATCTAACTCAAATCATGGAAAGTTTTGAGAATAACTAGGATTGTTCGTAGATGTCGATAACTGGAGACAAGCATCCGCAGGCATATATAGTGAATAAGTAGCTTAAGAAAAATAATGTCCTCAAATGGTCAGCAGACAGATATATGATTAGAGAAAGAACTATTGATGAAAACTGATCGCTTCCCAGAAAACTGGCAGAGTCAAGAAGATTAGAGTCAGGAAATTAAAAAAAAAAAAAAGTTCGGAAGAAAAGAAATCTGTGAACATTAATGAAGAAGGATCACAATTCTGATATTAGAAAAGGAATCTACTACCTCCGCAAATTTAATATCAGCATCACTGTGATCATCTTTTCTCCCAGCTGCATCACCAACATAGAAGGATCTGCAGCACACAGAATAACATTGCTTAAATGTCCATCTGTTCATGGGTAAAATGCCAAGACAAATAACAAAATTCATAATGGAGGAACACAACCAAAACCCAAAAAAAAACAAAAACACACAAAAGAAGCTAAGACCGAAAGCAATTGAATGAAAGGGCAATATAACTGATCCATATCTATTGGGATGCCAGAGTTGAAGTGTTGCTCCATAAGGTGCCACATTCCTGGTTGTGGTTTGCGAAATGGATCATCTTCTTTGTTGACAGCTTTACCTGATTTACCTAGCCCACAAGCTATGAAAACCTGCATATAGAGGGAACTTGCTCAGCACCGCTTGTATTAGGACAAAAAAGCAGAGTGCATTAACATGTGAAACCAACACGCAATAATGAAATTGTTGATAACAATACAAAACAAATGTTCTGTATGAACAAGATTACCTGAATTGGGACCTTCACTTTCTTGATAAAATTATTTAGACGTCCAACTTTTGAGTCCACAGCTGCCTGTCTCTTATTCTTCCAACGTTCAATATTGGATTCATTTGTAAAAATGACCTGTAGAGGGCAGCAATAAGAAGAATGGAGACTACCATAATTTTCATCGTGGCATTGCTAGAGCCAGGCGAAATATTTAGATGACAGAGAGAATTGAGTTAAAAATCAGCCACATTTGATAATATAATTAATATCAGATAGCAGAGATAAAGTGACACACCAGCTTGTAGCCATCATTGTACAACCTTTGCAGTTTATCAGGAATTGAAGAATACATGAGGGACCAAGCATCTGCACCTGATCTGAAAGAAAAGAATAACAAAAGGTCTTGATCAATCATCAAGTCCGAGAACATGGAAATAATAACTAAAAATTACAGAGGATAGGATAATTTCATTAAAAGTTATTCTATCCAAAAACCAAGTCCCTGACCAAGATCATCAATAATTTCAAGCAATGGATGAGACACACCTATTCACAGCAGTTTTTGCAAGGCACCCATCAAAATCAAATGCAGCAATCTTACTTGAAGCATGTAGACCATCATCCTGCTCATTATAAGAGTTATGTAAATTAGGCTTTTTTTTTAATAAAATAATGTGCATCTGTTTTGATCCTTTCGCTCCTAATCAAATAATTTGCACGCAACCTCAACTCCTTTATATTGCAACTAAACTATGAAGAAACAAAAAAATTAAAATCTCACCTGTTCAAGAAATATGACAGTCTTGAATGCCTTCCATTTTGGTGACAGGGTAGCATCCTGGAATAGTGAAAATTTTTATTGAATGAAAAAAGGTAAGGAACGTATAGGTAAGAAATAAAATTTATTTGGCTTCATGAAGCAGACAGAAATAAATGAGTAGCAGCACGACAAAGTTTTCACAATCACGAAACCATCATCTTAAGAACGTAAGACCAACAAAGGACATACCGCACCTTGTACTTGTCCTTGACATCAGAAGCTGAAAAGTCAATAACTACCTGATTAAGGAAAGGCAAATTAAAGAACAAACATGAGTTTGTTTAAATCAAATCAATTCAGCATTCTATAATCGAGGAGTAACTGCTTCACTTGTGCTGACAGTTGATACACCCTTTCACAAAATAACCAAGATGATCTCATTAAAACTCATTACTTCTTCAAATCCTCAATTTAAACGTATCTCATAGTCTCCCGTGTACTGGAAGAACGAAATCAGGAGTAAACGACAAGCATTTGCGTTTTATATTAAAACACCCTCACAATCAAGAAGCAGGGAGCCTCCTCAACGATACACAATAACACAACCCCCCCCCCCCCAAAAAAAAAAAAAGTGCTACTGACCCTTGAACCGTGTTCGAATGCATGTGCTTACCTTTCTTTTCTTTGTAACGCTTTCTTGTACTTCATTTTGTACGTCTTCTGTGGTTTCATGAACCTAAAATGGGAGGAGCAGCATGCAACCAGAAGAAAGAGGTTAAAATAAAATTTGACAATACATCGAAGCGGTATAATTAACCTTGTAAAAGCACAATTTATCTTTCTTTCTCTATTTTTATCATATTTAATTTAATTAATTTGCTTACCTTTCTGCTCTTTGAATCACGTTCTCTTGGTTCGTTTTGTGTGACTTCGCTTTCCCTGCAAACCTGTCAGCAAGTGATGAGTGATGTATTACACAACCAGGAGGAATGGGGTAAAATTATACTTGGGGATCGAGATACACTAGGGCTATGTGTTTGACCCTATATCTGCAGAGTGCATGCAAAACTCTATATTAGAAAATGGAAACAAGATTAACGAGACGTGTGACTCATTATACAAATATATCCGCGAGGTCTTCCTGTTTACATGTAGGTCAAAGATGACTGTGCTCACCTCTTGAGACTTGTCATGTCCGGCCAAAAGCTTCTTGATGGCATCCTGATCACTACTCTGAAAATAATAGCAGATGATCAGCATTCAGTTGAGAATAAATTGATAGGTCAAAGACAATATTTTCCCCGCTCATAAAAACAAAAACTTTATGCTTCGGCAAAGTCTTAATTTCTCGATGTTTCCAAATCGACGAGAAGCCAACAAAAAGAATATGAAAACCAAACCTCCAGCAATGAAAATCCCTCAATGGACTCAGGCGAGGCAAGCGTCTTCGAATCAAAAGGGAAGCAATCGAGGTGATGCCATTTGACTAAGTCGTACCCTCGATTGTCCCTGGTCACCAGAGCCAACCTCAGGGATTTTGCGTCAATCTTTTGGGAGCACTCCTTGCAAGTAGACCGATTCGACTTTGCATACTCTGCCGAGATTTTAGGCGAGGACGAAGAAGGAGGAGGAGCCATATGAGAAGGGTTTTCGGAGCAGGAACAAAAGAGACGAGTTGAACTTGGGAGGGAAAGAATACGAACGGAATTGGACACAATGCGGGGTAAACCAGCAATACGAGTAGTGATACTGATAACGAAAAATCTGGGGATGGCGAGCATAGAGGATTAGAGGGAGAGATGCAAATTTCGCGCCATTTCTCGCTAACGAGGGAGGGTATCACTTCAACGCTCCGCTCTCTCTGAGAGAGTGAATTCTCTCACGTTTTCTTCTTCTTTTTTTCAAATCTCTCATCATATTTATTTTTCAGGACCCCGAAATATTTATTTTGTCTTAATATTAATATTAGATGCACCCAAAAAATATTTTTGGATATTGAATAATACGCTTAAAAAAAATTTGATAATACTATATATACTACATAAAAAAAATACTACCTTACTGTCCTTCCTTAATATAGGACCTTATTTGATTTTTATTTTGGTTCTAAATATAAGATCATAATCTAATTTGTCTCTCATATTCATTCATTTTTTCAAGATAGTCCTTCTAGTAATGTTAGTTCTAGCTAATAAAATTGATTATCAATGATATTTTAGAAAAAACAGCTTATTTATTACAAATAACTAACTTAACTTATTTTCTTAATCTACTCAAATTAGTCAACTAGTTATTATATTTAGGACCAGAAGTAGTACTTTAAAATACTAGATGTATCTGAAAAAATATTTTAGGATGACCTTAACATTTTATCTTAACCAATAGTCTTATGTTTGAGGGCATGCACCAATCTGGATTAGCTGGGGTTAATAGAAAGTAACTAAATATTGGGGTGATTCACTCTCAGAAAATAACCTTTTAAGATGCTTTCCAATAAGATGCGTAACTTCCTTAAAAACCTCCATAAATTAATAAATGTCCACCGTTAATCATAATTAAAGGAGTTATGGCCACTTAAAATGCAAAAGTTGGATTCAAGTAAGATCGAAAACCGAAAGAAGACAGAAACAAGGTGGATAAAATGCACACTTGCACAGGAAAGAAGATACTATTGATTCATGAAATTATTATGATCCCCACATTCTAGAAACAATTAGCATTAAGCATGAATGTGAATTATGTGAAACAAATGAAAATATAGATTCATTTATATGAATCCATGATTGTCTTTTCTCACACCAACCCATGATCCGCCTACGTTTTATCATTGAACTCTTAAGTTGTACTCTTCCTCCAATATTTAATATAGGACCTAATTGTTAAGTTAATTTTAATCCTAAATATAAGATATGTTTATCATATTTATTAGTTTTTCTTAAATTATCCCTATAGATACTCTCTCAATCATAATCAAGTTAGTAAGGAAGGAGGATATTAAGAAAGATGATTATGTTGTTTTAAAAAAACATATCATATTTCTTATAATTAATTAACTTACTTAACTTCCTTAATCTAATCAAATTAGTTAAATAGGTCTTATATTAAGGACCGGAGGAGTACTGTAGTATACTACCTCTAGTCTTTAATATAAGAATTCATTTGACTTTTATTTTGGTTTTAAATATAAGACCCGATTCACTTTATTTCTCATATTTATCTATTTTTCTCAAAATAGTTCTTGTAATAGTGATAGTTCTAGTCAATATACTTGATTAACAAAGATATTTTAAGAAAAAACAATATTTATTTATTACACATAACTAATGTGACTAATTTTTTTAATTTACTCAAATTAGTTAATTAACCCTTATATTAAAGGTTACAAATAGTAGTACAATTCCAAATGTCGAACGTGCTCAAAGTTAACTCATGACGTGGTTGCCACTTAATTTTCATGTTTCTGCCTGCCAGCTACAAATTCTGTCTGAAAAATACTCCCCCATTTTCTCCATATCATAATGAGCATCATTAGACGAATCAAACATCACATCATGCTCATTCCCCACTTATTGTTTACTGTTTGTGGCTTTGTGCTGCATAATTCACTGGCAGGCCTCCATTTCTATTCTATTTTATTTTATTTACTTCCTCTGGTCTCAAATACAAAGAAATGGATGTAGTTTGATCCTGAATATAGAAAATTTGAGTTTGAACCAGGAGAAGCATTTGAAAACAACAAATAGCTTTAAACACTGCGGGTTGGCCAATAGTTCAACTATGGAACATATACCTTTACTGATACAAGAACCACATTTACAAGAAAGTTCTTCCAATCAAATTTTAGGCTGAAAATTATGGGGCCAAACAAAAAACAAAAATAACTACTCATTTCAACATACACAGAATTAATAAGCAAATGAACCGATATTATGTATTACTCACAAGCCAGTTTAGTGCCAAAGCTTGTTAGGCAAATGGCGAAAGCCTGGAAGGCTGATAATGGCTGCCTATAATCCATGGTGAAAGTGTCATCCCCAACTTTCCCAAACTGGAGGAGAACTGTTTCCTCATCTCCTTTTCCGTCTGGTTGGCTCTGATCCACTGTGGCAACCAGCTGAAAGTTCTTCACTGAGGCCACGGTCACACGGCCATGGAAATTCAAGCACCAACACTGCAAATGCTCATGCCATCTTGGAGCTTTGTTCTTCAATATTGAGTAGCCAGAAGCAACATGTTCTTTATTGCTTGTCTTATCGGTGGCATCCAGATTTTTGTTATCTGAACTTTCTCCTGACAAAGCAAAAGGGCACTTCATTGTGCAAGCCATCCTTCTTGGCCCCCTTGATTTCAAAATGTTGAACTTGTATGAGACCTGTCCCGCCTCAAAGTTTCCTGCAGGAACTTGTGGGCTTATCTGCTTGCTCGTAAATCTTCGGCTTGCCCTGCTGCTTGACGGCTTTGCACCGTTATGGGGTGGCTGGCTGTCATAGATCGTGAAGTTGGTACCAAGAAAATCCGAGCTGCAAAAACATTTCAGCAATCAAGTGTCAATACAAGGAACAAAGTTTTGGGCTTTGGCCACAGATTCACAACATTATAATCCGGACAAGAATTAGAGAGTGTAAGATCTTCAATTAGAACTGCAATGATATGCTATTCTGCTGCTACAAGTAAACACTTCCTATCTATAAATGAAATGCAAGAGCAAAGCCACTTCAGTCAAATAATTTTATAATCAAAAGGTCACAAAAATCAGCGGTTGATGGTGAAGGGTGGGGGGAGAGAGAGATCTCACTTATCATAAACCTAGACATCAACATGGACAAAAACAGACCTTTCTCCGATTTTATTTGTAAAACGTTTTTTCTTCAATCCTTCACGTAGCAAGAATGCTTTACCTTAACTTTCCAACATAAGCATTGCTTCCCTGGGAAAAGTCATCATCATCAAGTGATATGATATATTCAGTATTAGCACCACGCCTATATCTCCTAGCTGCTAAGAGAAACTTCCCTTTATCTGTGAAAGCTGGAAAGGAGGGGGGAGATGAAGCAAAATTTCAAATCAATGGCATCATAGACAGTGCAAAATCAAAACCAGTATTTGAAAAGCAACCATTACTAGCAGAATTATTGTTAAAAGTTTGTGTTGCTGGACTTCTGAAGCAGTATTTCAATTCACAGCAGACAACCCCATAGATTACTCCTACAAAGAGTGGTCCATTATCGCATAGGCAAAATCAACGGTAAAAGGCACAAGATACAGCTAACCAATTGCTTCTATGTGAGGAAAAGCACCTATATTGATTGCTCAGAACAGCAACATGAATCCAGTTTTTTCTTTTGTATTATTTTCAAAGGAGTTAAGGTGGAACCTGAACCACAAAAGATGAATTTATTAAATAAGGAAGGTCCTGTAAGTTGACTGAACCAGGTCAACTTAGACTAAGTCTAAGTCAACTAAGTGGGTAGATTAATGCCGTCTGTAAGCATTTAATATTCACATCATAGTTCTACATATATGAAGTGAAATTAAAATTCAGGCAAAGCACACAGAGTCTTCATACCTTTAGGGTTATGATGCACAAAATGAAAAGAATATACAATCAAAATAGAATGGCATAAATCATAAATCTGAAAGATACGATGATGCTTCCAGACTTTAAATAGAAACACGAAAAGACTTAATTCTGTCAACATACTACCCCATAGGAAGAGCACGCAGGACAATTCAACTCCAGCCATAGCTCAGTTTCAACAATCCATGTCAATTGTCAAGCAAAAGGTTTTATACCAATACTTACTTACATGGTGTAAGGGTAAGATATAGATAAAATGTCGAAGTCTTCTTGTTTCGCCTTATAAGACATTGGTGCGGTGAATCACGTGGTCCTGGCTGCAAGTCACAAGAATACAAGAAAATTGTCAACTCCGAGCCTAATAAGTCTAACAGTTTCTTTCCAAACTACATAAGCAAGAGATAGGCATACAATGAATGCTTGAAATAATGAAGTAACAAATCATTGAAAAAAAAAAATCAAATTGCACTAAAAAATTAGCGTCCATAGTTGAGGAAAACATTAGAAACTGACCGAAGTGATCAGACAACACACTTAACCGAAGCAATGATAACGAAGCTAAACATCTCAAGCCAAATGAGTGAACTTTCTTAGCCAAAACTACATCATACTCCATACGCTTGTGCTAAAACATGACTAATCAAATTCAAAAAATTCCTTCCTAAAATCCATCAGAAAGGATCACCAGCAGCCATTCCTCCATCTTTTTCGCTTCATATTAACACTGAATGGACTACATAAATCTTGATCTCCAGACAACAATAGGATGTATTTTGGAAGTAAACAACCGCAGGTTCACAAGCTGCACCAGGGTAGCAATCTGAATGAAAGTTAATATCAAGCACCAATTGTAGCCAAGTTTACGCGCAGACTCAATCACCACTGGTTCTCACAGCTAAACTAATTCACCAACAAAACCAGTCACTTCCCTAGCCCGCTTTAATTCAACAAGCAGGAATTGAATTTCCACAACCTTGGCTCTAAGAGATTGATAAATGATCGACTGGTGAGTATCCAAAATTTCTCAGAAACTCAAACAAACCCCAGAGTACCACAACCGCTCAAAGTGACACAGCATCATTCAACGCTCGAAACAAACCCAAATTACAAACCATCACACCCGCCAACATAAAATTTCGTAAAAACAATGTCAATATGGAAAACCCTCCACAACAAAAGAAAATTAAGAAACTTGTACCTGTTTAAGGCAAGAAGGGAAAGTAATTTTGCCGCTCTGAGAAGGGGACCGTACGATCTCACGAGTCATCTCCCTCCACCTCTTGCAGACGCAAGCACAAGCAACAACGTTTTGGCGGTTGGGCCACCGCTCCTCGCTGACCTCCACCCGCCGTATGATTTCGCCAAGAAGCTCCGGCAGCATGGTGGACCACGCATTGCCGTACGCTGGGTCGTCGCCGGCCTCAGCCCCATCGGCCGCAACGATCCCGTTCCGACGGTCGTCCTCATCCAGAACCCCAGTTCCCCTAAAGGATCTGGAGAACTTACGAGAACGAAAAGCTCTGATGAGAGACATTTTGGGGAGAAGGGAAGGGGGTATGGTATACAGTCCCGTAAGAGAGAAAAAAGAGAGACTTGGTGAAGAGGGAGGAAGAGGGGGAATTAGGATGGTGATAAAGTGACAGGTTGGTGAGAAAAATGATGAGATGTGTGATGGGTTTTGTCACGTATGAGAGAGAAAGAGAGGAAAGGAAAGGGATGGCGATGAGGGAGGAAGAAGACGGTACGTGAGAATAGCGAGTGTAGGTGAAGTAATTGGGGCCTGCTGTAAAGATGACCTGGTCTCCATTGCTTAAAAAAGTAGACAAAAACCTTGTTTCGATTGTCTGTTCCCATGTTTCCCTTCTCTTTTTCTTTTTTTTTATGTTTCAAGTTTCAAACTTTACCGTCTTTGGCTGTCATTCTGCTGTAATTGCCATCCCATTTGGTGGATTTCCCCAACAATTTTTCTAACTTTTGTGTCTGCTCAAGAGCTCCTATGAGTAGCGTTCGTTTTCAAATACGTTGGAATTAGCTTGTGTTGGTGTCTTTTATTTATTATTACTTTTCTTTTTGGCTATCTAATTTTTTATTAGTGCTTTCCCCTGCCTGTGATTTGACGACTTACGAGCAGAGAATAGAGAAAAGGCACCCGCATCAAATCGATTTTTAATTTTTAATTCGCCTTAAAAAAAATTTTTGCTCTTAATCATCCTTGGACAGTTTATCTATTATCGGAATATTTTGTTTTTCTTTTTAAAAAAAAAAATTTGCTGGCCTCCCTAAAGTATAATTGTCTTTTTCTTATCATTAACTCGCATGAAATTTGATGGGCCCTAACATTATCATTTTGAAAACATAGCAACAAACTTTTTCTTAATTAAAAACTCAAATATTTTTTTTCCGACTCTATTGGTATAGTCCTTCCAACTCGTCCTTAATACTAATGCGTATACTAGATGTTATGGTTGCAGAACAGATAGATCAAACCAAATCAGAACCCAACTTCAAGTTTGGTCTGATTTTTGTTTGGGTTGTGTATAGTAGTTTGTGATCTGGCTTACTCCAGTGGTGACTTAAGATCGAGTTGGATTGGACTTGGTTTACTAAGCTGATGGACTAGTCTAGGTTTCCAATTTTTTTTTCTTTTTAATTTTTTCCCTAATAGGAAGTAAGATTTGAACATGATAAATTCAATTTAAGAAAATAAAGAATTCCTATAATCATGTAAAATTCATCCTAAAATATTAAGACTTCATCATAAATAATAAAAATTTCTAAAAAAATAAAAAAATTAAAGTTGACACAGAAATTACAAATTATTGAAAAATAAAAAATTCACATAGACTAGTGGACTAGTCTAGGTGGTCGATTACTTGATCCAAAACCCAGTCTAGCCTAACCAATCAATCTGATCCACTCTGGTCTAATTTCGTTATATAATTTATTTGAACTTGATTGGACAAGATCAGGCCACTTTTGGTTGGATTGAACCAGACTAAACCACTAGGTTTTTGCACACCCCTGCTAAATGTAGTGAAATATTCATGGGTCATTTCAAATATGCAATTATCTTTCTCTGCCCACGACTTTTACATTCCAGCTCTCCATCTCCCCAGTAATCAACTCCTCAGGGATAATTAGGGAGAGTTATAAAAGTTTTTTTTTAACAATTAATTAATTTTAATTATTTTTAAATAGTATATATAAAGTAATTAATAAGTGTAAATAAAGAGGAGCAGATGGACTGATAATTCTAAGATGCATTTGCATTAGAGAATAAAAATGGCAGAGGCAATATTTTTACATAAAAGGTGGGTTAATTAATCTGGGTGAGTTTAGCAAGAATAATACTAAATCTAAAGACATTTAGACCACATTAAAAAAATTAAAAATGCATCTTGCCTTGTTGAATTTAAATTCTTTATTGGATGGAAGAAAAATTAAGTTTGATTCCCAGACTCAATAGCATCTTGATTTTTTCTCTTCGGGAAAAAAAAAACGGCCACATATATACTTCTTAGTTGACAAATTCTTTTACACTTTTTAGCAGTCTTTTTAATATCTCCGTGTAACATAAAACAGAATCCCATATATATATATATATATATATTTTTATATAAGCCAACAAACCTCATATATAACAAACGTGCGTCTGGTGTAAAATATTTCACCTTCCTTTTTTTTTAATAGATTGCCTCCTATCTTTAATACAAAAGTTAGTTGACAATTTTGATAAATTAATAAAGTCAGTTAAGTTAATTATTTATAATAAACAAGTGTTATTAATTCTCTATAATATCCTGGTTAATCATATGTATTAACTAAAACCACTATTTAATAGAATATTTAGCATGAGAAATTACTATAAAGATTATTTTAAAAAATAAATAAATATAGAAAATAATATATATTAAAATCTTATATTTGTGATTAAATTAAAAATTAAATTAATCCTTATATTACTTTGATGTTAGGAAGAAGGTGGAAAGTATAGCGTTTAGGTTGGATTTACATATTACAACCCACCAAACCTAACGAGCCACATAAATGGCCCTGCCTAAAACCATCACACATTTTCATGTTTGACTTTTTTTTCTTGGTGCCAATGGCCAGAGGTTAATCTCTCACAATATGATAAATTAATATTTAAATTTTTGAGAGAGATGTCCATATTTAGTATTCAATAGTATCTTAACGAGAATTGCTTCCAGTAAAAAGATACATATACCTACAAAAAAAAAGCTTATTTTTCCTGGTCATTTAAATTCATTTCTGAAAAAGATTAAACGGTGATTTCAAAAGCATAACAGATCATATGTTATTGAAGATATGGACATAATTAATATAAAAATTTGTACTACTTCCATCCTTAATCTAAGAATTAGTTGACTAATTTGAGTGAATTCAAAAAATTAGTTAGATTAATTAATTGTAATAAATGAATGTTGTCTTTTCTAAAACATCTTTACTAATTAAGTGTATTAAATAAAATTACTATCATTAAGGAATATTTTTAAAAAATAAAATAAATTGAGATTTTATATTTAATATAAAAATAAAAATCAAACATTTTTATATTAAGCATTCGAGGTAGTAATGAGTATGGTCCTAAATTAAAATAGTTGGTATCGACTTGAATTAAAAAAAAAAAAAAAGATGGGATTGAGGAGGGGGAGGAGCGGGTGCTGACGAGGGCTGAAAAATTGGTCAACGGAAACGACGATGCCTATAAACGTAAACTGCCACGTGGACGTGCAAAGTGTCACCATGCATGCGGCATTACCCTCTCTTGGGGCCACGTTAACCCCTTCCCTTCTGAAAATTACCTTCAAGCGCTTCGTCCCACCGTCCAACCCATTTTTTATCAGGGGGTGCTTGGCTAACCCTAATGCTGTGTTTGGACGGAAAAAAAGTTGGGAGGAAAAAAAAAATAAAAAGAGAGAAAATAGAGAGAAGAAAAAACTAAAAAGAAAATGTTATCATATCTCTTGTTTGGGTAGATGAGAGAAAATAGAGAGGAAAAAAATTAATAAATATTTAAATGATTAAAATATTCTTATCAAAATATATTATATTTAAAACTAAATTAATAAAATATTACAATAGAAAAAGTATACTAACATTGGCATCATCAAATAATTAAAATCAAGTTATTTGGTTGGTATGTATTTTCAGATTATTATATTCTAAAGCCAAATTATTTAATAAAAATATTATTTTAAGATAAAAAATAAATTTTTTTTAAATATAATAAAAGAAAATAAATATGGAGAGTAAGAGATAGTAGGAGTAGTCATGGAAATCTTGTTTTTCTTGCCAAATCTCTCCATATATAGAGAGAAAATTTGGAAGAAAAAAAAAAGAGGTATGAGGCCTATTTTATTTTCTCCCCACTTTTTCTTCCTCCCATATTTTTTCTCCTAACCAGGTAAGAGAAAAGTTATTTCTTCTCATGTTTTCTTCTCTTGTTTTCTCTCATCCCTAATTTTCTCTCAATCAAAGCAAGAGGTAGAAGTGTTTTTCAGAAACACTTTTTCGTAAATAGAGGTAATTTTTTTCACATATTTACTTCACATACCGTAAAAACACTTCTAAAATTATGGTTTTATTTTTATCCAAACATCCTCTTAAACGGGACTTCCTGCACAATAGTATCATATATTTAAGTAATACTAACATAGGTCGACAAGATGTCTTTCTTAGCAAGAAAAATGAAAATTGTTAAGATTTTCTATTTCCTTCACTCGGGTAAAGAGTGAAAGATATTAGGAAAAACTAGCAATCCAATATAACTGCGTCATCCCACCCATATTGATTTTTTTGTGAATACTTATACTGATAATTATAAACTATATTAAAATATACTTAAAAGTCTCACATTTTAAAGCCCTTTCATGAAAAGATTTTATAAGACATATGGAAGGAAAGAAAAGAATGATGGTTAAAAAAGCAAATTTATTTTATTCAGCCTCTTTTTTTCCCCACTGATTCGACCAATTAAACTTGGGCAGACAACAGACTCCTTTTCAAGAAAGCAAGAGAGAAAAAACGGCCAAGAAGAAGGCGGAGGAAGAAGTAAGAGAAAAGGGGGAATGGGGAAATATTGTCGGGGGTGTTATCGGGATCGTCGGCGGTCGTGATTGATTCCCCAAGAGCGGATGCCGGAGAGCAACTCGGCGGAGGCGATCAAGAAATCGACGGCCTGATGTGGAGTGAGGAGACCCACCACGCTCTTCAGGGTTCTCAGCCGGAGATCGTCGGCCTTCCTTATGATGTTCCCCAGAGCTTCCATCTTCTCCTCCATCTCCGCCGCCCCTTCTATCAGCTCGCTTCCGCTGTCTTGCCACTCCGATAGCTCCTCCGTTATAGCATTCTCTTCTTTCACCTGCAACTCATTTCAAAACTTAACCACAAATTGAACAAAGTTTACCCCGACAACCTTTTTGAACAATACAATGAGAAATGCAAATGCATGGAGATCATGACTAGGGAAGAAGAGAGGGAAAATTACAGTGTCACATTGCAACTGGCTGACTCGTCGGAACTGAGAGGGGGAGAGATCACCGAGATCGCCGGTACGAACCCCGCGGAGGATGTCGATGATATGGGACTCGAAGGGACGGAGGACTCGGTATAAACGAGGTGGAAGGCGATGGTGGGGCGCCAGCCGGCGATCCAGTGGAGGGAGCGTTCAAGGGTGGTGGCCCAGGGGGAGACGAGCATTTGGAGGGGGTCGTTCTGGGCGGCCACGGACTTGGTGCGGTAGTAGTCGTCGTAGTGGGCCACCACCTTATCGATGAGGATGAGGAGCTTCTGGTTTTCCTCCGCCGAGCTGGGTGGCCGGGTGGCGGCGGACAGCTGGTGAAGGAGGTGTTGGAGGTGGTCGAACCAGGACTCGTAGAAGGCGGCGAAGCTGAAACTGCTCATTGGGGATGTGTGATTGACACACGCTTGCATGAGGCTCAAGACGAAGACGACAACGACGGCGACGACCACTTGGGTGGGTGTCTCTGTGAAGCCATTGTGGGTGGTGATATAGCGGGCCTGAGGCCTGTGGGCACTCCAGAAGATGCCGCGTGTACAACTTACGTGGAAGTGCTTACGATCCATTTACTATCTTGCTCTTGTTCATCTGAAACACGACCCGGTTTTGTAATTCATAAAACTTAATTTAAAAATTGCAATTTTCTAAGATAATTAGGAATAATAATTGTGTAAAATTTCGGCTTTCTGTTTATCTTTTTTTTAAAAAAATTTCTAAGATAATCCCGTACAAAAAATAGATAAAAATAAAAATGATAATACCTTCAGTTCTAATTATAAAAGCTAGTTAGACTAATTTGAGAAAATTAAGGAAAGAAGTTAAATTAGTTATTTATAATAAATATGTGTTGTCTTTTTAAAATATCTTGCTAATGAAGTGTATTAGTTAGAGCTACTATTGTTAGAAGGACGACTTAGGAAAAAATACATAGATATGAAAGACAAAATAGATTAGGTATTATATTTAGAATAAAATAAAAGTTAAACGATGCCTTATATTAAGAAGGTAGTAGTAAAGAAAGAAAGAAAAGCATGGAGCATAGTATGGACCGTACTCAACACGTTTGAAAATCGATCCGAAGTAATTGAAATAGATGGAGGGTCGAAGTAATAGGTTAAAGTGCAATTCTAGCATACATGTTTCACGTTTGTGTTTATTCATTCAATATTTTTCTTCGTATGTTTTGGGATTTAAATGTTAGAAAAATTAGGGAATTTTTGAAAACCTTGAAATTGTTACTTCTATTGTGAGTTTGGGAGGGGGATGGTGTTTGATTTTGAGGGATGGGGTACTATGTTTTGGATCCTAAACTGTTGAGCATGAACCTGTTTAGAATAGTGATTAGAGCCTTTGAAAACAATTTTTTAATCTATAGAATACAAAATAAATATATAAAACAAATTAGACAGCTTTAAATAAACACCGTGTCAGCTAATTAAGAAATAGCTCTAACTCTTTCTTTTTTTTTGTAGGTATCTTTATCCTCTTATCAGAGACAATCTTATATACTAAATATAGACACTTCTTCTAATAAGAACTCAAACATGATTTATCATGTTGTGAGAAATTAACCCCTTCTATTAGACAAAAGCTCATCGGCAGCTCTAACTTGGTCCCATTAAAGAAGCGTTTATTTGTTTCCGTCCTTGGGACAAGTCCACTATTCTACAGAGAGGATGCATCGACATGTTGTTCAAATTGCATGTGAAGATACGGATTTTGAGCGATTATTGCAAAAGGAAGCAGTCTGAGAAACTTGTCATAGATGGGACGCTTCTCACAAATGTATGCATCCCACACTTTCTTATTTCAGCTGGGAATAAAATCTGGGCACACGAAAGAAGATGGAAGAGGACCAAACTATATCAAACTTTCTTCCTCTTCATTGAATGCAGTTGCGATATATATATCTCTCTCTCTCTCTCTCTCTCTCTAAGATGCAGAGCAGAGTCTCGCAGAGCCTTTTGATTATTTAGTTTGAGTGCAAAATCACCAATCAGCTAATTATAATCTATGTTAGTATAGTTTTCCAAAGAGGGCCTGCTTCAAATTTCGGTTCCATCAATGCTAAAGCATGGCCAACAGACACAAGCTTGCGGAACATTACCAACAAACACAATATGATCATCCAAATCATCTGTTTGTGCGTTCGCGTGTGTTTTTTGACCCCTTTTTTACTTTTCCTTCACATCCATATTGATATAGGCATGGCCAGCCTAGGACCCGGTCGCTTGGATGGAAGTTAATATTCTAGAACTATGGTCATCCTCAGGCAGAAAATTTCAGCAGTGATCATCCATTATATTCTTACTCCTATAAAAAACCTAATGGCTAGTTCAAAAGTTTATTGCCCATTTAACATTCAATCAATGAAACGAAAAATGATTTTCTAAATAAAAAATATTTCCTGTGCTCACGGAAGACAAGGTAATAGAAAACAATAATTCATATTGAATAATGATAACAAAGAATATCATAAATGATTAGTACATGTCTAATCTTTCAAATCACACCTCTGTACAAGAAATCAAGAAAGAAGGAATGCATTTCTCCAGGAGTAGCCAAAACATAGCTCGAAGATGTGCTTGGTTATTGAGGTTTAAAGGGCTGGAAAACCTGTTTATAAACTAAAATGCGAGTTTGCCTTAAGAATCAACTCGTTATGTTCGGCATTGAATTTCCTTCTACAAATCTTTACGTTACGTTTGAAATGCTGCGAAAGTCCTTACTTAAAAGGGAATAGAAAAAGGAAAGTTAGATTCGTGTTTGGTATGCTAGAAATTTAGTGACACCGTTTCTAATCATGTTCGCAGAATGTGTTTTCTATAAAATCTTTCTCATGCTTATTCCCATTTGCTTTCGCTGAAGTGGTAGTGGTGTTGGTGGGACTTGCTTTTGCACTAAATGAATTGCATCAATGACAAAAAAATCATTTTTCAGATGAAAGCTTCCAAACATCAATCATGACCCGCAGATTCATATACGAATAAAGTTTGCAAATCAAGTTGAACCAACATCAAATTTATATCACTCTAATCCGAACCCACTAAAAGAGTGTTTGGATAACTCCAGAATCATTTTCAGAAATACTTTTATCTTCCACATGTTTACAGGGTTTTCAACAATGCCGAATTTTAACCGGGCATCACTATCATGATATTCTTCTCTATTTCAAAACTAAAATTGAATCTAGAAAATACATTCATAGGACAATAGAGCTGTGAGAACCGAAAATGTAATTCTTCATTCTTGAATTCACTTCTCAGGAACAAAGAAATCGGGACGGGTGGTTCAACTTTTCCCCACATTAGATGGCAAACTAATGCATCTAGCTTGACTCCTGATGCTTAATATATGGTTGGGAAACATAAAAAAGAATTATAATTGAAGTACCAAAATTCTTTCCCCAGAATCTCAGAATGCCTATACAAAATCTCTCATGAACTTCCTGAGTATGTAGATCTGATTCGCCAAAACCTAACCTTATTCGCCGGCTTTGTTCGCGGCGACGGCTTCTGATGAATCATCTGACATTCCCTTCATCTTCTGTTGCATCAGCGTCCTTCGCTCCATATTCCGCGTCTTGTTAATAGTAACCGCACAGATGACTGAAACATCAACAAAGATGCCGATAAAACGATTAGATACAATCGGATACAAAAAAGCGAACAGAGAGAGAAAGAGAAAATAATCGGAAATTGGATTACATCCGGCGCCGACGAAACAAAGAAGACGGAGAACTTTCGGTCCGGGGGGACCTGCCACCTCTTCCCCGGTCATTCCTCGGCTGGAAAGCCCTTCCCACTTCTCAGGATCAAGCCCTCTGCTCGTGCTACTACGAAGCTCGCTCCTTGGCAATTAAAAATTGGAAATCTTCATTTTTATTAAATAAAAAATAAATTAATTGTACAGAGAAATAAATTCATTCACTTGGATGCATGAGAAATGTAAATACTCCTCCGATCATGATCATGAATATGGGACCCTTTTATATATTTATATAAAGATTTTATATTTAAAATTAGAAGAATATAATTTTACCAAAAAAATCAACTGTCATCCCTTGTGAACATAACTTCATCACAATTTGTATTTTGTATTAAGTTTGTTTAAAACAAGAATATGCCTGCATGTTATTTTAAAATGAAAATATGCATTACTATCTTGATCCTTAATATAAAAATTAACAGGGTTTAAATTTAATCTTAAAAATAAAATATTAATTTATTTTGTTTCTTTTATTTACCCAAATGAACCCATATTGATTATACATGTTAAAAAAAGTTTGCATCAAAACATAATTTTAATCTAAATAATTTTAGAAAGTTATTTTAAGAAAACCGACACATATTTTTGATAAATAATTAGTTTAACTATTTTTTAATTTATTTAAATTAGCTAAGTAGGTTGTATATTAAAAAGTAGGATTAAACTAATTTGTAAAGAAACTTAGAATTTTTTTCTTGGACCAAGTTATCAAAAATACTGTGTGAAATTTATTACGATATCATTAGTATTGATTTTTCTGACTTAACAGTAATAATTTTGTTATTCTATACAAAAAATATATATTTTATTCATTCAATTATTCCTCACCTTATGTGTTTATATCATTTGATCATGCATGTCAGGTAAACTTATCCGAAGGCATAGCGATTTTAACACTCGGACGCTCAATCAAACTCGGTTTTCTTTTTCCTTCGATGATCAAATTTTGACCTGGGATGATTTTTTTTTAAAAAACAGAGAGAAGGAAGAATCCCCAAAAAATATTTTTAAATTTTAAAATTTCAGATTTTATTATGCTTTAATAATAATTGATAATATTTAAAAAACAAATGACAACATATTTTTATACTTATTTCTGATTTCTGATTGTGAAATTTTAAAGGGAAAATTCCAAAAAAAGTTCTTGGAATATAGGAAATTTCAGATTGGGTCCTAAAATTTTGAAAATGACAGAAAGGGTCAATGACCCAATTTGTCATTTGTAAAATCAAGAGGAATTGATAATTTTGCCCTCATTTGTATTCATTCACTGCAATGATTTAAAGAATAACTATAAGAGTTTAGGCGTTACCTAAATTCGTGTAGCGAATAATTACTCACTTTTTCATAGTCAAGTGTCTTGTTATTAACTACAACTAATTTTACAATCACTAAAATAATGTAAGCATTACCTAGATTCGTGTAGAGAATAAATACTCACTTTGTCATAGTCAGGTACCTTATTATTAATTATAACTAATCTTGTAATCACTAAAACAGTGTAATTGTACCTAGATTTGTTTAGAGAATAACTACTCATTTTTGCTTAGCCAGGAACAAAATTGTCAATTTGTTTAATTTCACAAATGACAGATTGGTTATTGACAATTTCTGTCATTTTCAAAATTCTAAGACCCAATCTGAAATTTTCTATATTCTAAGGACCTTTTTTGAATTTTCCAATTTTAAAAGCACTTTTTGATTTTTTTAAAAAGAAAACTTGGTTTTCCTTTTCTTTTGTTTTTTTAATATGGTAGCAGAACCCCACCTTTCAACTTTTAGATAAACTCTGAACCAGAAAATTAAAGCTGGGTGTTATTTATTAGAGGTTGATCATGTGATTCATATCCACCTAATTATTTTGACATTTTTGTTTGTCCCATGACAAAATTGGAACCTAGACGTTATTGTCAAAAGTCCCTAGCCTTTGTTTACCTTGTCTTCCACTAACCAACTACACTAACCCAGTATATAACACAATTAATCACTATTAATTAATTAAGAATAGTGGCCTTCTTTAATTTTATACATAAACTAATTTTGCTGCTTAATATAAAGGAAAAATTACAAATAAAGACCCAATATATAAAATTGCAATTTGGAATTTTTATTTGAAAAATAGTAAATAAGGACCCAATCTCACTTTTGTAAATATGAAATCATGATAAAATATTTAAAATACCCATCAGCCAAATGACAAATTATTTATGAAAAGTGATAAGTTCACTTTAGCGAATAACAACTTCAATAGACCAAATCACAACTTGACTGAAAGTATGCCAAATGACGAGTTAATTATAAGAAATGACAAGTTCACTTTAACTAATGTAATTTCAGTAGACCAAATCACAATTTAGCTAAGGGGCATTTCAGACATTTCACCCACATTTCATATTTACAAAAATAGAACCTGGTCCTTATTTGCTATTTTTTAAATTTAGGATCCCAAATCGTAATTTTACATATTATGGAGTCTTTATTTACAATTTTTTCTAATATAAAAGCTAATTAGAAATTAAATTTGGTTCTGAATATAAGATCATAATCTATTTTGTCTGTCATATTTATAATATTTTCTGTAAAATATCTCTATTAATTATAAGAGATTTTGATCAAAAAATAGTTTTAATACACACGAATCAAGATAGTAGTTTAAAAAAATAAATACGTATTTATCACAATCAACCAACTTAAACTAATTTTTTTAATTTTTCCAACGCAGTTATCTAGGTCACAATAACGGAGCTAGTATGATTTCAAATTTGCATAAACCTTTATCTATAATTGTGTGTTCAACATCATTATTCACGCATTTCAATGTTATTTTTTTCAAGCACTCAATGATGCACGCTGTTTCGTCTCAGAATAGCATTGGCAAACATGATATATCCATATTATTCTATTTCAATTTCATTCCAGGTGTTGATCACTTTTAATAATGTCATTATTATAATGAATTTATTTAATGAAGCCAATTCTTCCCAGATAGATCATATACATCAAAATAATTTTTAATTTAAAAGCATACTCCAAAAGAGGTTGGGTGTAACGAAATATGATAATCTCTCAGAAGATGACAAATTAAAACCCAAATTCTTTTGCTAACCAATTATATGGGACACTATACGGAAACATTGAATGAAGAGTGATAATAATAAAAGGACAAGACATAATATATTGTGGCATTTGAGCCAAGAGGGGAGGTAGGTGGCTTGGTATTTGGTTGATGGTTTCTGGCTGAGATAATGCCCCTTTACCATATCCGAGAGGGAAGAAAGACCATATTTTATATAAAAGATTAATTAATTAATATAAGCATTTTCCTATAATTATTTTAACACCACCAGAAGTTCAATTATTCCTTTTTTTATTTAAAAAATTGGTTTCTCATTGTTCTTTATGAAAAACATGGAGATTTGAATTCTTCCTTGGTTCATTTGATGACATCAACATCAAAATGAATATCTCATCTTAATCTTATGACGTGAACAAAACATATTTAATCCTCACCCACGTTTGCACAAAAAGACAAGGACAAAAATTAAAAGTTTATTTCTTTATTGTCGTATTTATTTTTAAGAAAACAATATAACTTGATTTCTTTTTTGAGAAAAATATATTCCTTTTAATTTTAAATATTAGATCCTATCAATTAATTCATAGAATCTAAAAAAAACGTACGTATGTTACTTATTTGAAATTAACATCTAAGTAGTTTGCAACAATTTTTCAAAAATAACTGTCATTTGATGATTAAAAAATTAGTGTGCAAAGATCAAGATGCTCCAATAAAAATCGATGCATTATGAGGAAGAATAATTTAATATGAGGTACAGGAAGGAAGTGACGTAGCCTTGTATTTACAACCAAACTACGCGTATTATATTTAATACGAGAAGCCATATGAATTGTACGGATGTGTGTTTTTAATCAATTCACACTTGTAAAACTGAGACAGCCTTAATTACATGGGGCTGGAGTTTTGTGAGGATAAGGCAAGGACATGTACCGATGGAAGTTCTATATAAAGCGGTGGGCATGGTGGAGATGAGTGAGATGCAGTTTGGTATTGTGAGGAGTGTAATTTGATTTGGGAGATGGCCGGAGAAGAAGAACAGGTAGTGGCAGCTTCCGGAGACAAGTACAGGTCTTTCTTGTTGGGTGAGAAAGAAGAGAACACTCTTTGGAGACATGGTGGCCCTCCCAACTACGACGATGTTAACCTCCTCTTCGAACAAGGCCGAACCAAGGTGAGTTCTCTCTCTCTCTCTCTCTCTCTGGATTTCTTGGTGAACTCTTCATCTTAATTGATCACAGTGTTTAATTTGCAGGTATGGCCAGAAGGATCGTTGGAGGAGACAGTGCAAAACGCTGTAAAATCGTGGGAGATGGAGCTCTCTCACAAAACTCGCTTGCAGGACTTCAAGTCCATTAATCCTGAGAAGTTCAAGCTCTTTGTCAATGGTATCTTTAATTTTCAGACATGTTTGTTTTTTCCGTGGTTCATTACCTTGCGTGTTTTAGTTTCACTACCACCCAAAGGTCGATTTTGGCCTTATCTAATATCCACTTAGATAAAACATCTTCGCGTCACCCATATATAAGTTGATAATCACACTCATCTACAACATTATTTTCTAATCTGTTTTCCTTTGAAAAACTGTTATCTATTGACTTTCTATTCAGAGTTGATTTATAGCTTGTTCACATCTGGTGATCTACCGTTTGAATAGAACCGCAAGCAACAGAATCCGGATTGATGCTACGAAACATACAGATCTTTTTTTTTTTTTTAAGTTTAATCTCATCTGAATTTGGAAGTGTGGGAAGCAGGTAGGGAGGGATTATCTGGAGAGGAAACTCTTAGGATGGGAAGTTACAATGCTCTGTTGCAGAACTCATTGCCAGAACCATTTAGGTATTATAAAGCAGAAGAAGAGAGCTTTGAATCATCTCATGAAGTTTTCAGATCAGCTTTTCCTCGTGGGTTTTGCTTGGGAAGTGATCAAGGTTTATACAGGACCTCCTGAAATCACTTTCAAGTTCAGGCACTGGGGCTTCTTTGAAGGTCCTTTCAAAGGCCATCCTCCCACTGGCCAAATGGTCCAATTCTATGGCTTGGCAACTCTCAAGGTAAATTCTTCTAACTTCTCCTTTCCATCTCCTTTTGTGGTGACATCTCAAATTTGAACAGAAATTATGCAGCAAATCACTGTCAAAATTTATATTCATATCTTTATACGTCCTCATACTATAAAGATTCTCTCTCACTTTAGCATCCAGAAGTTTGATATTGTTTCAGTTTCAGAAAACATTTGATTGTTGAAAGACTGTATAATATGGTTTCAGAGCTTGGAGAGGGTGAAGTAGGAGCAAAATTACCTTTTGTGGGCGTCAAAGTGATTTTGAAAACAAAAACAGAATCTTGACAGTGATAAACACACCATTTTTGAAGGATCAAAACATGGCTTTTGTCAAAATTTTCCGTTTCTAACTGAATATACTGAAAATAGTTTTGGGACATGATCCTGCTAGGCAGATGGTCCAAATATTGATAGGGCTTGAGCACTGTGAGTGTGAAGGCTCATTTAGATGTGAACTGAACTTTAAAACAGAATATATATGCAGATATCATACCAGAATATTTGTTCCTCGAATAAGCTAAAAACAGTTATCATCTGCTGAAACCTATAAGTGGTATTTTTACAGGTAATGATGGATTATAGATGCTTTTAAGTTAAATTCATGAGCTTTGATGTTTGTTTCATCTGTTTTCTTTACAGGTTGATGAATCTCTGAGAGCAGAAGAGGTTGAGGTTTACTATGACCCAGCAGAGTTACTGGGAGGACTTTTATCAGGGACACAAACAAACACTGCCACAACTTCTCAAGGATGTCCCTTCAGTAAATAACTACATCTCAACATTTCAACCGAAATATGTGCTTTGATCTTAATTTTACATGCAATAGAACGATCGTTGGTGTTATGATTACCATTTATGGCATGTACCTTATATGTTGAATAAAAAGAAGTAAAAGATGAACATCTGGTACTTCTCCTTCCCATTTTCTGTGAAGAAGAGATAAGAATCTAGTAATTCCACTGTCCATGAAGCATCAACTTACCCAAACTTCATGTTTAAGTGTTTGGATGAAACCATAGATTCTGGAAAAAATAGATTAGTGAAAAATAGATTTTGTGAAAAAGTGATTCTGAGAAGTGAGAGTGTTTGGATAGTTGTTATCAGAAGCACTTTTTATATGTACAAATTATTAAAAAAACATAAGTTAATATGATAATTATATAAAACATAGATTGTATGATATATTTTAATTTGAAGGAATAAAATTGTTAATAATATATTTTTTACCAACATAATTAATAATACATAATATAATATAATTAATAAATAATTAATTAATATGTGTATATTTATTTATAAGATATAAGATTAAATGTGTTTATAAAAAATTAATTAAGGGGTGTTAAAGTCATATTATTGTTGAGATTTACTCTAATAGGCACAATCATACTCTCCAATTTGAGTCAGAAGCAGAGTGGATTCACTTCTTCCTGAAACCATGGTTTCAGATAATTTATGTCTGTTTGGGTTGTTTTTTTTCCCAAACCATAGTTTGGCCTGCTATCAAACAGGACCTAAGTCAGAGAAAATTTCATTCGTTCACGGTGAGATGATTAGGCAATGATTATTTGAAATCTCACCGCTTCGTCACCGGCTCACAGAACGACTTGATTCCGGAACTTCACAGCTTCTAACGCAATCTAATTATTGATCATCAACTGTGCAATAGAGTTGTATCCAAAAAGTCGCGATGAAAACCTCGAAATTCCTTTGCAATCCACACCCAAAAAAAGAGGGGGAAAAAACAAATTCTTTAAGATAAAAACACCGAATAAGCAGCCAACCAATCATTTACCAAACACGCGGTTCACATAGAGAGCATGGATGGTCATAATCCAAGATCTACGAGACGTCGACAGCGACTCTGCTTGGATGAAAAGAAGTGAGGCCGACGAAGATCCTCAATGTTTGCACATGAGTTCTTTATTCCAGCACCTCCATCAGCTTTCCGTTGTAGTCTAGATGGTTAGGATACTCGGCTCTCACCCGAGAGACCCGGGTTCGAGTCCCGGCAACGGAATTGTTTTTGTTAAAATTCTAAATCCAGTTGTTTTATTAAATGGGCCTGATTTCTAATTTGAGTTTACCAAATTACAAATAAAAATGTTAATTAAATCCTAAATTTATATCACTTTTATTGGGATGTGATTCTTAAAAAGGGAAAAAAATAAGGATTTGCTACTTTCGATTCCTAACCAAACCATATGTTCAGACTAATTTCATTAATCATGGTAACTATTCAATGCCATATTTATTTTGCAAGATAAATAACGTTGTCAGAATTTTTTTTAATAATAAATGCTATTTTCAGCTCCTAATATAAAAATCAATTGACTAATTTAAGTAGATTAAAAAATTTTAAGTTAGTTATTTGTAATAATTAAGTGTTATTTTTTCTAGAATATCCTTACTAATAATGTATATTAGTCATAACTACCATTTGATGAAATCTTTAACATATACAACTATTACAAGGGCTATTTTAAAAAAATGGATAAATATGAAAAACATAATGAATTAGAGTCTTATATTTAAGATTAAATTAAAAGTCAAACTAGTTCTTATCTTAAGGATCGAAGATAGTCCTCGAATTCAATAATTCATAAGAAAGACAAAGTCAAGGCCAACTGCCCTCATCAAGCTCCACCTCTAACCTAACATATGGTTGCTAATTAAGGATACAAAAAATATCATTCACAGTACAAGAGGGCTTAGTTAAATAATTGGGAGGGATGATATATTTGTGTGTATGGTTAGACAGAACTTGCCAATTTCTATGAATAAATAATCTAGTGTCATTGTTAGCATTAGGAGGAGAGAAGAGAGTAAAAACAAAAATACTAATTCACTAGACACCCATTACACCCATCAAAACTCTTATTTATAATCCTAATACCCATATTTCCAAGTTACCGACCTCTAATAGTCAAATTAATGACTTCCATACAATCACACTATATTTCTCAGTTTGGAAGTAAGACAAGTTGAGACCATTCATGATCTCTATCAGTTCTACAATAACTGAAGGGATGGCTATGAGTTCACAGTTGTGCCCACAAATCTATGTTGTCCTGAATGTCTCGCTCACAGCCACTACTGCCATTCTTTAGCACATGCCCATCCATCCATCTCAAAAGTTTGATATACTCTTCTTGAAGATTGCTCATATTTGATATTGAAATCATAATTTCCTACAAATCCTTATCCAAACGTGCACAAAAATCAGAAAGTTTACCGCATGATGGAAAGCCAGAATGGTGTCAGAATTTGAAAAGAATGATCTCAGAAGTTAAGTTTCATCTGCATAATAATGGATTACGATTAGCGGAGATTAGGCCCAAAAAGTGTGATGCCTAATACAAAGCCCCAGAGATTGCTTTAGATCCCTTTTTATAGACCCCATGGATCATAAAAGAGATAATCACCAACATCACATCGTGCCAGCTCTGCAATTGCGACGCTTCCTAACGGATTACGTGGAGACCCTAGGGATGGGTCATCCCCTTAATGATCACTCCCAATTACTCCTTCACGTGCACCTTCTGTCATGGGATCATCTCTTATTTATTCATTCCACCACCACCACCTTTTTGGTCCCTTGATGGCTCCAAAGTTGGCTTCACTTTTACGGTAGTATTTGACTTCTTCACAGGTTCCGTTCTGTCTTTTTAAGAAGGAAACCGAAGAAAGAAAGAAAGAGAAGAAATATAGGACAATATGCATAAAGATTTGAAGTTTAAGGGAAGGGAATTCATATGAAATTATGAACCCAATCAATTACTCAGTATGATGATAGAACAGCTTAGTCTTAAACGTCTTGTTAAAAAGTTGTATACTTCTGTTTACGGGGGAAAATCACAAGACCATACAATTCATGAACCGTAAGTGAATAAAGAAAACAATAGATTCAATGAATTCTGGGCATGTGATAAGCAATTGAGTGCATCTGAGGAACAATAATATCAATATTACGAATGAATCAGGCCATGAAACTATCAACATGCTTCGTGAGATCCTATTGACCATTAAGCATTGTTTTTTTGGTACAAATATTGTGAATCCAAAACGTTGTTTAACGTTACACAGCAAGTCTAATGTGCTACGGGAAAAAATAAATTTTGTTTATCCTCTAGTATGCTCTTTTTTGTTCCTGCTTTCCCTCAATGTTACACGAAAATATAGCCAAGAGCAAACAAATGATCTGTGTTTTCCTTGTCTAGCTTGAACAGCAGCCAACTCTCTTCAAGGCAGACACATCATTTTTTATGTCTATTTTCTCTCCTTTGGCTGGCGCAGATGCAGTTCCATTCTCTCCTCCCTCAACCGCCTTCCTGCTAACAACCCTGTAAATTTGGGTCAGAACTTCTGCAAATGCATTTTCCACATTAGTTGACTCCAGAGCTGAGGTTTCCATGAAGTATAGTGATTCCTTCTCAGCATAGGACTTGCCATCTTCAGTTGATACGGCCACGAGGTGACGAAGATCTGACTTGTTCCCAACAAGCATCACAACAATGTTGGAATCTGTGTGGTTTCGTAATTCTTTCAGCCATCTGTCTACATTCTCGAACGTTGCATGGCGAGTGACATCGTACACAAGAAGTGCACCAACTGCCCCACGATAGTAAGCACTGGTGATTGCCCGGTACCTAAACAGAGAATAAACAGAAGTAATTACAAGTAAATTGATGGGACACTAAACTTTAGCCGAAATCTAAACTTCAATCTGCAAGCTTGGCTAGCTATTAATTGTCATGCAGCAATGCAAAATTAGATCCATCATGGGCATGGTGATTGTGACTTGCCAGGTAATGAATATCAGGTTTAACAGTCTTAAGGACATGCCATTATCCAGGCTGCAATTTCCCTTGTATAAATTTGTATTAAGTAATTAAGATATCTAGGAATCTAAAATTGATCGTTGACCATTCACAATAATTTCAAGCATCTTGCTCTTTTCTGTTGCAGTCAAGGTTTTCTAGTCAGTGTGCTAAATCATGTCAACCTTAACCACATAGACATTGCAATTAGGTGGCAATAGGAAGGTTCTAACAACCCAGAGATCTTTCTATGCTTTCCATTAAGCTGAAAGCACTGAAGACCCTGTTTAGAGCAATATACTCAGTTCAACCCAGGTTGATGACACATACACGTAGAAGCAGAATATGAACCCAGACCCTCAGTGCTCAAAATTCTTTACGAAAATGCTTGATATTTAACACAGAGGAAAGGAGAGATGAGTGCTATGGAATCAGAACCACGTAGTACCACCAATAACCATGAAGCAGAAAATTAGAAGACAGGCAGATTTTCCAGAGATTCTTTTGGATAGCTGAATTTTTTTCCCAGAAATGATTATGGGAAGATATATCCAAATTTATTAGATTAAAAATTTTGTAACAACTAGCAATCAGATCCAAAAGGGCTTCTCTGCTTGACTTACAAAATCATGCCAGGTGACACCCGGTGATCAAGCCAAAGGAACCCAGTAATTTCAACATTAAGCGCACAACTAAGTCATTCGTGAAATAAATATGAGGAGAGGTAAGGGGACAGAGAAAAATAATCAAATATATAAAATGAGCCAAGTCTTAATAAGGACAAATAGATCCATATTTGAATTAACATTATTCTAGAAATCAATATTGATCATACAAAAACGAACATACTCAATACACTGATGTGATGATTGAGTTTGATTTTCTACTTCAACCAATTTGATTGCGTCCTAACATTAAACATATTGATTGCTAATACAAGGCACAAGGCTCACATACTTTTCCACAAGCATAAGACTTGCCACCCGGAGGTGACGTGGCATATAATTAAGTGAATAAAATATTCTGATCTACAATGGCATTCGGTTTATATTTCATAAATCAATATAAGACAGATTCGTAGTTTCAATTCCATAGTCGATCAACCAAATGAAAACAAAAAGTAAGTGTAAGCAAAATTAACACCACGTGAGATTATAATGGTTTTTTAATCCGCCATGGAAGTAGGGGTTGACATTGGCGATTTATACAGGGACAATTGAATCTTACAAGATAAAAGGATCTTTACAAATCCAAGTCCAAATTATCGAATAGATTTTCATGACGCAAGTATCAATAAAATGTCCACAAGAGTAACTAGACAAACCTTCACAATATCGCGATCTCACCCGTTAAACTTCAAAAAGAAGAAACAGAGAAAGATAACCTACCCAAGAAAATCCGAGCAGTGAATCAGTAACTTTACGAGAACGAAAATTAGATCCTAGGATGAAATAAATCTTCTAGAGCACGTTTTCCGTTGTGGTTAACCTAACACCGCATCCCGCCAACCCCCACTAGCCATACATAAACACAACTCCAGCTAGAGGAAAAAAAAAAAAGCAAGCATATCTAGGCAATTATAGAGAAGCAAGCAAGAAAAAAAAACAATTTAAAGAAAGAGAATACAAATCCTAGATACTAGATAGTTCAAACTAAATGAAAAGGTGAGAGAAATCCAAAAGAAGGATGATAAGAAGGAGTAAGAAATAAGACCTCTCCTGGCCCGCAGTGTCCCAGATCTGAGCTTTAATGACTTTGCCATCAACATTCAAGGTGCGAGTAGCGAATTCAACTCCAATGGTAGACTTGGACTCGAGGTTGAACTCGTTCTTAGTAAACCGGGAGAGAAGATTGGACTTGCCGACACCGGAATCGCCAATCAAGACAACCTTAAAGAGATAATCGTAGTCATCGTCTGCTCTATAACCTGCCATTGTCGAGCTTGCTTAAATTCCGGTGGGGAGAGATAAAAAGTGAAAGAGGGAGAGAGATTTGCAGAGAGAAGGCGGAGAGCAAAGTGGGAAGCGTGAAAGTGTTTTATATACAAGAAAAGCGCCAGAAATGATGTGAACAAAGGGAATTGCATCCCCGCGATTGTCTCTCAGGCTATCCCTCTTTCCTTTTTTTATATTTTAAATATTTCGAAGTGTCTCAAGAAATCATATAACTATCACTGAGTTCAAATCAAGCGGAATTCAATCATAACTATAAAATACTGCACTGAACGCTGGTAGGTTTTTTTTTTTTTAGCGCATAGAGTTTAAAATATAGAATTTATATTTTTATATTCTTCTAATTTTAATATAGGATCTAATTGTTAAATTGATTTTGATTTTAAATATAAAATCTATTTATCATATTTATCAATTTTTTCTAAATTATCCTTATAAATATTTTCTCAGCTATAATCAAGTAGAAGAGTAAAAGAAGATATTAAGAAAAATGATTATGGTATTTTAAAACAAATATGTCATATTTTTTATAATTAATTAACTTTTCTAATTTTCTTAATCTAATTAAATTAGTTAAATAATTTTTATATTAAGAATTTGAAAAGTATTTAATATAGAAAGTAAAATCGTAAAACTTTTTTGTCGACATCCGGATTTGGTGGGTGACATGGTAAAAGCACATAGCAAGCGTTTCGGTCCTTTCTCTTCTTTTCTCCATATTCCAAATCGCCGTCGACGGTTGCCTCAGCCAGTCAGCCGTTGCTTTCGACGTCAGCCTCCAGGCCTGGGATCGTGTTCGAATCTCAACGGCAAAGAAATCGCGGCGCAGGTGGGTGAGATACTATAGGTCTGATTCTTCCTTAATTACAGCTAAGAAGTTGGAATTTTTAATTTGCTTGGTGCTTCCTTCACTATCCCAGAGGTGAACTTATTAGTTCCCTTGCATTTTAATAAACTGGGAAAAAGGAAGAGCTACAGATATATAATGGAAGAAGAACTTCTTCATCAATGGTGATGTATTAATATTTGTGATTTTTATCCAACTTACAGGGAGCTGCTAGATTGCGATGGCCAATAAAAATAATAGTCTGGGGAATTTTACATTGGGTAGGACTGCTAAAAAGCTGTGATTTTTGCGTGCTCCAATCCCTTTGCCTTGTCTAAACCTTCTCGATATAAGCATTTCCCAGCAGAATTTACATATGGATAGATTAAAAATCGGCGTTGTAAGGTGCTATGTTATGATTTTTAATTTTCATCAGTTGTTAGCTAAACTGAGCTCATGATTCTGATTCTCTGCTTCTTTTTAATTTTACATTTTTTATACACAGTTATAAGAGATAGAATTGAAATATAGGTTCTTATTATCTCGGCCATCTGATGTATTAGATTCTTTATTGCTCTTATTATCCTCTGCAGTTGTCCATATCAATACTCTCGCTACTAGATATGTTTGCTGAAATGACACAATCTGACTTCTGGGTAGGTTCAGTTTAGCTGTGCTGGGATGAAGGCTACATGATATCACCCTTCCAAAAAGTTATCCATTAACTTATGTGAAATTTTGAATATGGCCACTTCCAAAGCCATATCTCCCTTCAGGCTCTGTTCCCTTCTCCGCTTGCAGAAGGATCCTGCTCTTGCTTTAGAACTTTTTAGGAACCCTATCCCTAATCATGATCCCGAGAAGCCTTTTAGGTACCCCCTTCTTTCCTATGATCTCATCATTACCAAGCTTGGTCGTGCCAAAATGTTTGATCAAATGGAGCAAGTACTCCATCAACTGAAGCAAGATAAACGCATTGCTGTTCCAGAGGTACTCTTCTGTGAGGTCATATCCTTCTATGGCCGGGCACGCCTTCCTGCTCGTGCTTTCCAGACATTCGAGTCCATTCCATCTTTCCGGTGCAAACAAACTATAAAATCAGTGAATACACTTCTAAAAGCACTTTTGAATTGCCGAGAATACAAGAAAATGAGAGAAATTTTGTCTAGATTTAATGAATACGGAAGGCCTGATGCGTATACATATAATATTCTGATCAATGCTTCTCGTATTGGAGGGGATATGGAACAAGCATGGGCTGTGTTCGATGAAATGCTAAGAAATCGGGTTCGTCCAAATGTGGTGACTTTTGGAACTTTGATGAATGGGCTTTGTTCAAATGGTGAGATACAAGAAGCTTTAAAGTTCAAAGAGGATATGACGAGGAATTTCAAGTTAAAGCCTAATGCCTTTTTGTATGCAACATTACTTAAAGGGCTTTGTCAAACTGGGGAGCTAAGTCGGGCCTTCAGTATCAAGGATGAAATGGTAAGAAATAAAGTGGAGTTAGATTCTGCCATTTACACCACTCTAATTGATGCGCTTTTCAAGGTTGGGAGGAAGGAAGAGGCACTGGTTTTTATGGAGGAAATGAAAAAGAGCGGTTGCAAGCCAGACATAGCGACTTATAATGTGATGATCAGCGAATATTGTAGGGAGAAGAATTTTGAAGAGGCCTATAAAATTTTGGAACAAGCGGAAAATTTAAAGCCAAATGTTGTGAGTTACAATGTGATTATTGGTTCGTTATGTAGGGAGGGGAAATCAATTGAAGCAAATGAATTGTTTCAAGATATGCCAAGGCGTGGATGTGCTCCTGATGTGGTATCATACCGCATGCTTTTTGATGGGCTTTGTAGTTGCATGCACTTGAAGGAAGCAGCATTAATGTTAGATGAGATGATATTTAAGGGTTATGCGCCTCATAGTAGAAGTATAAATGAGTTTGTCTGCCGGCTGTGCGAGAAAGGTGATTTTCAGTTGCTCTCAGCAGCCATGAGTAGTCTGGGCAAAGGCAACTTTCTAAATGTGGAGTTATGGAAAATTCTGGTTTCCATGATTTGCAAAAAGGAGAAGCCGTCAGAATCTGTTGAACTTTTTGATACTTTAACGGTGCCATAAATTCTACTCAATCTGACATTTGTTGATTTGGTTGAAGGTTCAACCAAGTGCACATGTTATGTTCATCTGTTTTTGTATGTTAACCTACTGACTAAAGATTCATTGGCGGTGCCCTATTCATGTTTGCGAGAGAGGCAATGGCCTTTTTTTTTCCTTCTAATTTTTGGTAGATAAGGGACGACGTGAATTCAAGCGAGCCTCAAAGATTTGGTTTACTGCATGAAGAAGCTGAACTCTGTCATCTCCCATTTGACAGACGGTTTGCTCTGCTATAGGATTTTGTTCTGCTGATCTTCACATGGCTTGTCCTGTCTTTTGTCTGTTGCCATTTTGGATGATAACTAAAGGTTAGGCAACTGTATTTTCCATTTTTGAATGATAAGGTTCAAAATTTAATCCTCATTGAAATTGTAATTGAGGGGAGAAGTGGGTACTTTTAGTTGTTAGGTTAAACGAAGGATTTGGTGCTTCCTAGATGCTTGTATCATCTGTCTTCTCTTTAATATTAATGTGAATTTTAAGGATTTCATTTGAGATTTGGTATATTATTTATTGTCCGAAATATAAGAGCTAATTGACTAATTTAAGTAGATTAAAAAAGTTTATTAAGTTAGTTATTTGTAATAAATAAATGTTGTCTTTCTTAAAATATTTTTGCTAATGAAGTGTATTAGCTTTAATATTTGATGAAATATTTAAGATAATTACAAGGATTACTTTAAGGAAAAATAAATAAATATGAGAAGCAAGATAGATTGGAGTTTTATATTTAGAATCAAATTAAAAGTTAAATTAAGTTTTGTATTAAGAGTTGGAGGTGGCAGTAATTATTACAAACTGCTGTTGATCAAGTTGGTTTCTGGTAAGACTGCCTGTTTCCATTTCGGCATATGATAAGGATTCATCATTGATCAAACGATAGTCGTGGCTAAACAAATTGGATATCATAGAATATTTGTTGAAATCTATGTTCTTTATTGTCGGCCATAGCCACTCTTAGTAAATTGCTACCTCCGATTTAAGTTAGTTAACTAAGTTGAGTAGATTTAAAAAATTAATTTAGTTATTTGTAATAAATATGTTGTCTTTTCTAAAATATACTTACTAGTCAAGTGTATTGATCAGAATTATTATTATTACAAGGACTATCTAGTGAAAAAAATAAATAAATATAAAAAATAAAGTAGATTGGGTTCTTATATTTAAGACTAAAATAAAGATTAAACGAGCTGTTATATTAAGGACTAAAGTTAGTATTTTACAATTGATGGCTGAAATCTTGTATATTAAAAAAAAAAAGGATTGGAAAAGCTGTTTTTATTTAGAATCGACGTTTTCCCGTCTCCTGCACTTTTTTTTTTAATTTTTTAATTTTTAACTTTTGCTTTTTCCCTATTTTCCATACACTAAATCGCCCACTAAAACCTCCACGCATCGTATGAGATTTTTTTTTGGGGGACTTCTTTATCAGTCGTAAAAAGGGGGGCCGAAAACCTGTCCCTGCACGAGAAAAGGAAAAAAAAAACTAGAAAAATCCATTATATTCCTATTTACCATAGGGAAAAGAAATTTATCATAATACTCATGCGAAGCATTATCCGGTTTTTAAGCTTTCGTTCATCACTTTTTTGCATTTTTCATAGAATGTCAAATTTATTCAAATTCAAATAAAAAATGTCACGTATAGTACATCGCACGCTGTAAAAATTCTAATTTTGTTGTTGAATATCACATTATTGTCACCTAAGTTGGGCCGACGCCATAGAGAATTTTTTTGATACGAAAAAATTTAAGTAAGTTGGGTTCTAAGAGCTCATCATAGCTAGGATAGACCTCTAGGCTCAGAGAGAGCTTACAGAGATACTTACAAATCGCCCATCAACAAAATTTTCACATAGGCAGCTGGATTCAAACTTACTACCTTGTGAATTATGAGTCAACTCCTTACTAACTGGACCAACTCTATGCTATAAAGAATTGTAATTATTTTTTTCTTTGACTCCAGTCGGGGCATCATGCAGCCCACATTACGAAGAGCGAGGCATAGCATATTCCCAGATTCCCAGTCCAGGTGGACCAACCACTTCTTAAACACAAACCAAACCCATAAAACATGGACCATAGACTATAGTGCAAGTGAGAGTCCCTATCTTTTTTAGCAGGCCTATGAGGTTTTGTTTGGGTGGGCTCGTGCAATGTTAACTAATAAATTGGCTCTAATGAAAGATATTAGTTTTAATCAGTATTCAAATCCTCACTTAAAAATATGCCTATATTTAGAATCTCATAGTATCTTAAATAGTATTGCTTCTAATAAAAGGAAGGATAATGATATCTAACCAAGAAAAAAGAGCATGTGATTATATGTTCATTGATAAAAATATGACAATTATTCATTATATTTAAAAGTTGAAAAGATAGTACTCCTCCGGTCCTTAATATAGGACCCAATTCTTGAGTTGGTTTTGGTTCTAAATATAAGACCCATTTCTCATATTTATCAATTTTCTCTAAATTACCCCTATGGATACCCCCTCAACCATAGTCAAGTAGAAGAGGAAGATGGGATATTAAGAAAGATAATTATGGTGTTTTAGGAAAAATGTGTCACTTTTTTTATAATTAACTAACTTACCTAACTTCCTTAATCTAATCAAATTAGTTAAATGGGTTTTATATTAAGGACCAGAGGAGTATAATATTACCTCAAGTCTTAATTATAAGACCTCATTTGTAGTCTATAAGTGAGGTCTTATAATTAGAAGCGGAGGCAATAATCAACACTCAAGGGTCAAGAGTTAAATCTAAAGGCATGCATTCTCACCTTTCATTAGTTTAATCTACTTTATACTTACAAGGAGACAACAGTGTATCGTTTAACTAACCAAAGCCACAAAGACTAACAACTAAAGACTCAGACTAAAGTAGACAATCAAGATTATGGGGGGCCTACCCAAATGATCCCCCGGGATCTCATCCAATCACAAATAGTAACACACGGGTAATAATGTATTGAATAAACATAACAAGAGTAATGATAAGATTTATCTCATCAAGTGAATTGCATGATCTTATTATGTTCGGTTAACAACTAATTGTTTATTTACATTATCAACCAAAAGATCTTATCCAATAATTTTATATTTACATTTCAGTCTTCACAAGAGTAACTCTAACAACCTTCTTTGCACTTATTTGAAGCACTTCAAATTATATTCTATTATTTTTTGAATAAATATCATACCAACTCTTTCTTGTGCATGTTTATTACAAATCTTATACCTTGATCACATGTTTATCTTAACATCTTCGTTTTTTCTGTTTCCTTTATACTCCTTCAGTCTTAATATAGAACATAATTATTGAGTTGATCTTGATCATAAATATAAGACCTATTTTTCATATTTATTAATTTTTTTCAAAATACCTTTATTGATACTCCCACAAATATAATCAATTAAGAGAAGAAGGGAGATATTAAAAAAAAATAATTTGGTGCTTTAAAAAAAAATATATCATTTTTTATAATTTACTAATTTACTTAATTTTTTTAATTTAATCAAATTAGTTAAATCTTGCATGTTTACATGTTCAGGGAAAAAGCATCAAATCTGCCGATAGATTGACTGGGGGCATTGGCCTGCCATAATTATAACCTGCAGTTAGATATGATCTATCAAATTTAACATGGGACCAACCTGTGCAAAGCAAATAACATCCTTCTCTTCCCCATATACATTTGTAAGAATGAATGTGTCCGTGTTTGGGTGGAAAGGTCAAAAAAAGGAATCTGATTGACTAAATTATGATTGCGTGGAGGGAGGGAATGAACCTCCCAAGTTTGAAAGATGGACTTGGAGCCCCAAATATAAAAGAAAAGGGTCGTCACGTCAGGAGAAATTGAAGGGCTTGGCTAAAGAAGGGTCCCCACCTGAGGAAGATGTTGATGGTTGAAAGGAAAAAGAAGATCATATCAGCCTGCCATTGCCTGCCTCTCATTACATATTCTGCAGCAAAAGTTGACCCTACCATTTCCCAGTTCCCACCACCCATTTGCGTTATAATATTCCAAGCACACTTTGACACCTGTGCTTTACATCTCAAACTTTTCAATAATATGGTGTTATATATGAATTTTATATTAGAAAATTTTGGTTAAAAATCCCTGGGAAAAATGACATAACAAAATTAGACATTATAATATTCCAGTTAGGGACCTAAGATTTGCTGGTCAAAAAAAAAAAAAAGTTAGGGACCTAAGAAGTCAAAAGCCCAAAAAAAAAATAGTACTTGATCTGATATTTTACAAATGTAATTAAATAACTAAAATATCTTTATATCATTTTTTTTATAAAAAAACTATTAAATTTATCATTGTGAGTATATTTCATGTCATTACTTGTTCAATATTTGTTATTGTCAATTTACAACTTATTAATAAATAACTTATAATTATTAGTACATTTTTTGTTATTTACTATTCAATATGGGTTATTACTAGCTCACAACTTGTTAATAAACTTTTTGATACGAAAACATTTTTGTTATTTAACTACATTTGTAAAATATCAAATCAAATATCACTTTCTTTCTTGAGATTTTGACTTCTTAGATGTCTCAATTAGAATATTATAATTTTTAACTTCTTTTTATGTTATTTTTCCAAATCCTCATTTGAAAACTTAATTGACTAAAAAAACCAAAATTTGAACAAGTGTAATTGTAATCCAATAATAATATGCAGGTGTAATTTTTCTTTTTAAGATATGCAATATATCATTAATAAAATACGACACTCATTCACACACAACATATCTAACAAAAGATATGTTGTACATAACTAAAAAAAAAAAGTTGTACAAACGAATCATAATCATGAGCGTTCAAATTTAACTTTTTTTAGTTAATTAAGTTTTCAAACATTATTTTTTAATCAAATTCTCCCGCTTTGGATTTCTTGATTTGCCTAATAGAAATTGAATTTGAAATTCTTATTAAGAATTATTTCAGAGAATGGCAAATCCTTTAAGAGACATGAAAGGATGCCAAAATCGTCTTGACCCGCTCCATCGTCAGCATCACCGACCTGGGGACTTGATGGAACATAGTGGGACCCGACAGATAGCCTCCCTTAATAATAAGTTCACAAATAAATAGGAGCCCAGTACTACAATAAATTCGCACATCTCACCCTGCATTATTGGTTTAACAGCCACAAGGACATCAATGGCATTTCACTTCTTTTTGCTTTTTGTAAACTTGAAAATCTCCGAGTCCCAACAAGTGAGCATTCCCAAACGGGAATGAAGAAGAATGATGATACCCTCAGTACATAGATTCTCGGGCATCCAATGCTATATGCATAAAATAATCTCCAAGAAAACCAAAAGGAATTAAAGAAAAGGAGTGAGATTTAAATAATAGAGAGAGAGAGAGAGAGAGAGAGAGAGGATTATGAAACTACCAGCTACATATATATCATTCTGTACATATATTATATCATGCAATGTCTTGTAAAGATGTGCAGAACAGCTAGACAGACCCTATGCCACTACCTGGCCTAATATCAACAAAAAACTTGAGGTGAGGGTGTGTCTGAGAAATTTAAAACAAGCATGATACTAAAACCAAAAGATTCTGAAGTGAAAAAGGGTTGTTCCCAATGCAACGGTCCACGCGCTTCCCTATTCAAAATTGACAAAATACAAATGGACAAGGAGCCCCCACCAACACACTCAGCCATGCACAGGCCATGTCCTTCCCGCCAAACTTCACAAGAGAGAAAAATAATGGCTTCCAGTTCATTGTATCAGAGGCACAGAGATTCTTTAGTCCTGCACGGGCCATGTCCTTCCCCCAGATTTCATGAAAGAAAACAATGGCTTCCAGTTCAATGTACGAGAGAGATTCCTGTGTAAAATCAATCTGCAAGAGATAAATAAACCAAACTAATCATAAGACAAACCAAACATGTCCCAAGTATGCCTAAACATAGTTCCGAGTAATTTCATGATTTATTTTATCTTTTGAAGTTTACCTGAGAATTTTCCCGCCATATGATATTGTAGGGTCAGGGCCTGAACTGGGGCTGCCTTTGTTTGGCCGAAGTGTACTTTTCTACCCTGCTTTGGGACTGTGAGAGGTAAACTTGGCACTGTATAACAGTTTTACCTATCCTGAATCCTGGAACAACAGTGAAAGCGACTTGTGTATGGTCGGAAAAATCATCATCATTCACACAATCCATGTACACTTCAGAGAACCTACACCCCTTTTTCACTTGAAAGATTGAAGCTTGAGGCTCAAAGGAGAAGGCCAAGCAATGCAGGAGCCATACCCTCTTAGCCATCTCCGCAAATGATGTGAAGAAGCTAGTATCAGGAAATTCCCCAGCATTTAGAAGGTCTCTCTGGCGCAGGTTACCGAAAAGTGACAACTCCATCTTTGGATGAACAAGCCTTAGGTACTTGGCCCTGCAGAATTTGGCAAATGATGATCTTGGCTTCTCAGAAAGAAATTCTTTTGCTTTCATGAACTTCAGCTCATTGAATCTCTCATAGAACAGCTTCTGCTGATCATTCCTATCTGGAGGACTTCCACTATGAATAGAGAAGTTAGGAAGCCGGAAAGACTCAAACATTTCCCTGCAAACGAAGGACTCAATGGCAAAACACTTGTGATCTTCTTTCCAGTAGACAATGTTCCTATGAATAGCATTCACAGAACCATCAATATCCCACCCAACGGATCTCATTTCATCCACAAGCAACCTTACAAAACTTCTGATCGACCTTATTGTGTGGCGAAGAACAGAGTTAAAATGGCTAGAACTTAATCCAGATATATGCAGATTATCAAGCATAGATAATGAGCCACTTTGATTCAATCTCTTCTCCATCATTCTGTTATGCTTGTTAGCTTCCTCTAACTTCTCCCTTAGAAATATAATCTCAGATTCCTTTAGCCTTACCTGAGATTCTAGCTTCTTCCCCGTAACCTCGAAGGTTTTGTTAACACTTTGCAGCTCCTTCAATTCAGCTGCGAGAATGGCTGTCTCAGGTGAAGGATCTGACTGTTTCTTGACGTAACACTGCTTTAGCTCAGACAAGTTCTTCAACTCAGAGACTATTAATTTATCAGCAGCTTCAATCCCATCTGGATCATAAGGAGATTGAGCAAATTGAAGCTGGGCATATGAAGCCTTAACAAAAGAAATGCTGGCAAATACTTTTGCTAGCGAAGCTTCTGCGGCTAATCTTTCTTGAAGCTCTTCATTTTCAAAGTTACGACACAAGCTGTTACCTTCATCCTTGAGATTTGCTTCAGTCTTAACTTTCTTTTGTCCTTCAGTTTGCGCAAATCCAGTGAGTGCTTTAATGTGAAGAACCTTGGCAAACGTGCGACCCAATTTACTCTTTCTTGGTGCAACTGCTGATGGTTTAACTGATTCCATCTGCAAAGAAGTATTACAGATTATGCAAATGAGATGAGAGTGATGAAATGTATTAAAGTTTTAAAAAGATTCACAAGAGCAATAAAGTTTAAACTTTAAAGACGATGGCTATCATGATGAGCACGTTGAAGAAAAGAAAAAAGGAATATGCTTTAACTCTCAGATCGAGGCCATCAATGGGAGATGGAATTTTTCTTTTTGTTCTTCATCTGTAAAAGTTCTCAGTAACTTTCAAAATTGTCAGAAAGTTGGTTCAATAAGGAACTTGAGAAAGCATGGATTCTAAAAAAAATCAAGAGTATAAACACGATGTAAAGATTCAATGAAAATTTCAAATGTAAATGTTTATTGACCTGACAATAAGGATGTCGGTCCAAGATGGAAATTAGGAGCATAAGCCATAAATAAAAGCCAAATTAAGCGAGGGCAGAAAAGAAGAAATAATCAGTAACTGAATCAGTTTAACAATGGTTACAAGATTTACGTTAAAAACAAACAATATTATTCATATTGATACTTCTGTTCAGATATGACACGTTAAGCAGGCCTAACTTAGTTTCTCTAACCTATTGCTTCAATCAGCTTGAGAGCAGTAGGAAGGCGGAAAAAAAAAGCATGAGAGCAGTGGGCCCATCAATTGAATAGTCAGATATTCCTTGTAATATGTAACCAGTCAAACTAGTCTTGCAGATTCTTTGGTATGAATTATTGTTAACACAATAATAACAAAAGAAATTGTTAAACCACAATTAACAAAACCCATCAATTCTAAAGGCAAACCCTTGAATACAAGATCTGCAACTAGAAAGGAAAAAAACTAGGTAAACGTAAACCGCAACTGCTGCAATCTGAAATTCTGACGACATGCGAAGTGATTTTTTATTCACAAAAATACTAGTTTCCTGACTTATATGCCTTAGGATTCCCTGAGATCTGGATATTCAAAATCTAAAAGACACGGACTTGATGTAAATTAGTACTTGGTATCTCCTATGCACCAAAAGGACTCATCAAAGTGAATATTTGACATGTTCCTTTTTTTCACTTTACGATCATAACAGTAAGAAAGTTAATCACCCCCACCAAGCATTACCACGTGGTAAAAGATCTATTATACCCCATCTCTACTGCTCACCACAACAATAGCTTGATAAGATGGGAGTGTACAGAGACAATGATTTTATTAAGCATGGTGATGTCCTCCATGACTAATCCCAACACCTCACCGAGCACTTATGCAGAACACATAACATGTTTTTCGCGGCTACTGTCACTTTAAACACCGAGCATGACAGACATTCACATGACAGTGTATCAAAAGTCAAAATCAGACAAGATGAGATTCTTGGGTGCTTTCAAAATCTACCGCACCCGAGATTTGCTACCTAAAGGAATGTAAATAATACAAACTGCGAAAGGAGGTCTAGCATTCGGTTGTTTCAACCAAAGCCTATTCACACTAAAGGAAGAAGTTGACCCAACGACGATACTGCCTGCGAGCAGCAGCTTAGAACTCGGAGAAATTTCACACTTATCATTTCATGAGGGTTACAAATATCATGACAGTTCATTATACCTTCTAAATTATGCCGCGAAATCGGGCGGAAAAGAAAGCGTCAACTTCTCTTCATTATGGAAACGTAAAACTCAAGAAAACAGAGTAACAACACTTAAATACATGTCCCCTATAACTGCGACCTTGAAAGAGCCTGCAACCAAAGACTGATAAAAGGGTAGAATCAAAAACATGGACAAAAGAGCACAAAGGAATAGACTTTTCTCCAAACACAAAAACAACAGAACACCATAAAAGGCGAAAAACAATGAGTATTGAGTAATACCAGTACTAGCACAACACCTAGTTGCCCAAATGAAAACTCAAAAATTAGGATACAGTTTATCAAAGGAAAAACCAGAACGTGTCATATTTTAGCCAGCGAATAAAACGAAAACGCGTCTAAACCATAAAGATGTTCCCTTTAGAAGATATGAAAAACAAAACACCGACTTTGGACTTTAAACGAGAATCACAAGCCCGAAGCTTCTGATTCTGTTTCCTACTACCAGCACCACATCCCATAAAAAACTCCTTGACGTAAAACAGGATGATGCTACTAAAAGGAAGACTTTATACGAGGATCAAAAGCCAGAAGAAATGAAGAATGAATGCGAATGGAGTTTCCTAAAGCCAACCTCAAGTCAAACGTAAAATCGGGTCCCAATCGCTATCTCGATACAGACTTGAATGCTCTGCTCTTTTTCCGTTTCCTCTGAGCTTCGAAAAACATGCCCTCTAAAGACGAGGCTAACGGGGGAGGTGAACCTTTAACCTTTTCACCGAGGCAGAAATAAGACAGCTGTGAGACAGAGAAAATCCAGAGGGAAAAATTTCCTGGAGGGAGGGAAACCGAGAAGGGGGAGAGAGAGAGAGAGAGAGAGCGGGAGGGAAAAGGTGGGAAATGAGGAAAACAGAGACGGAATTGAGAAATGTCCGACCACACTGGTGACTAGGCATAGGGAATATAAAAAGAAGAGACCCCAAGAGGCCGAATTGGATTTTCGATAATTCATCGATCGCACGTTTCTGCCCTTGTTCTCCAAGGGTAGCGCCTATCCGTTGCGTTGGAGATATCGAGGTCTGGTAGGGGTACCAATGGAATTTCAGGTGCAGGGTAAAATCATCAGATCCTTACGTAGGTCAGGGCTGCGCGTTTCGTTGTTTATTTCTAGAGAGTTTTTTTTTTTTTTATATACATATGTTAATTTTAAAAATTAATTTTTTATTAATATTTAAAATAAAATTAATAAAATTTCAAAAAAATATTTTGGTTAAACTATATTTTAAAAAAATAAATGTGTAATTTTATTTCTCAAGTTATTTTTCATATACTATTTTACGCGCTATCTTTTTAATAGTGTAATTTTATTTTGATTTTCTCTGGGTGCAATCCTGGAATAAAATTGCATGTGAAAAAGATTAGCTGTAAAATTATACTCAAAAAATTTCTATATAAAATTGCACCAATGGAAAAAAAAAAAGCGTGTCGTAAATGAGATTAGTACGAGATTTGTAGACTCATTCAATGAACGGTCGAGACTTGTGAAACTCCGTTTCTGATGAAGTGGACCGTTTCTTGGTTTCCATCCGCACACGCACTCTTAGGGTGTGTTTGGATGAAACCACACGTGGTTTAAAAAAGTGATTATGAAAAATAGATTCTGGAGAGAATAGATTCTGTGAAGAATAGATTTTGTAAAAAAGTTATTCTGAGAAGTGAGAGTGTTTGGATAGTTGTTATCAGAAGCACTTTTTATATATACAAATTACTAAAAAAAAGACATAAGTTAACATGATAATTACAGAAAAAATAGATTTTATGATATATTTTAATTTGAAGGAATAAAATTGTTAATAATATATTTTTTACCAACATAATTAATAATACATAAGATAATATAATTAATAAATAATTAATATGTATATATATTTATAAAATATAATATTAAATATGTTTATAAAAAATATGTTTATAAAAAAAATAACAAGATACATATCTTATAGGCTATCACACTCTCCCTTTTTTCTCCAAAAGCAAAATTTTTTTGCTTTTTCTAAAACCATGATTTTAATTTTTGGGTGGGTGTTTGGGTGACTAATATCCAAACCATGGTTTGGGGTGTCACTCAAACCCACCCTTAATCATCATTATATTGGTACTATTAATATCGACAAATCACCTCTCCTTAGCTGTTCGTTTAAAGCAAATTACTTGTTTTTTTGGGCCCGAAAGTAAATTACCTATCCCGCTCTTTTGTTTCGTCAAGAAGGTGTTTAAAATACCAAATTATAGTTTAGAGAATAGTTTCTGAACAATAAATTTTTAAGAGAATAGATTTTGTGAAAAATAAATTTTATAAAAAATAATTCTGATAAAGTGAGAGTGTTTGGATAGTTGTTATCAGAAACACTTTTTATATGTGTAAATTACTAAAAAAGGTATCAGTTAATATGATAATTACATAAATAATATATTTTATAATATATTTTAATTTGAAGAAATAAAATTGTTAATAATATATTTTTTACCAACATAATTAATAATATATAAGATAATGTAATTAATAAATAATTAATATATGTGTATATATATTTATAAAATATAAGATTAGATATGTTTATAAAAAATAATTGAGGGGTTAATTGAGAGGTGTTAAAGTCATATTACTATTTGGATCTATTCTAACAGGCACAATCATACTTTCCAATTTAAGCCAGAAGCAAAATGAATTCACTTCTTCTGAGATTATAGTTTCGGGTTTGAAACCATGATTTTGAAACCAAAACCATGATTTATCAATTTCTTCTCCTATTTGGCAAGTTGGTTTAGGCTCCAAAATCATGATTTTGAAGGTTGGCCAAACAGGCCCTAATATGCCCTCGGTTCACAGTGATAAGACATTTTTTTAGAATCTTATTAACAAGTATAAGGTATTTTTTGTCTTTCAAAATATACAGTTCTTCTGAAAATGCCCTGAAGTAAGGGGTAATTAATAATATTTTACTAATTAACAGACCGATCAAGTAAAGATATATAAATATAAAAATAATATGTAATTTAAAAGCTATTAAATAATTTATAAGTATTTCACTTCACCTTAGGATTTGAGTCCGCAATTTTATTCATTATAATATTCATGAATACGAATAACGTGAGTCCGTAAAATTCAGAGTTCGGGACTCATTGGTCATAAATATTACTCATTTGATCCTTGATATAAAACTCATTTAACAAATTTGATTAGATTAAGTAAGTTAGTTAATTATAAGAAATGTGGCATGTTTTTCCTAAAATACCATAATCATCTTTTTTAATACTCACTATTCTTCTTCTATTTAATTATGGTTGAGAGAGTATCTATAGGGATAATTTAGAAAAAATTGATAAACATGAGAAATTAGTCTTATATTTATAACCAAAATTAACCCAACAATCAGGTCCTATATTAAGAACTGGAGGAGTAACATATTTAATAAAAATCATAGAAAGACACGTAATCTTACATATCATAAAATGTACTTTGTTTTTTTTGGATATTTTCTATTGTTATTGATAAAAGATTAAATTTTAGTTCAATCCTTTTATTACAACATTAAAGCAAGTTGATAATCAGATTGTCGGCTTACTTGGCCACTGAAAACTCTTATTATCTTATGTATGGTCTAATTTAATGATAATCTCAATTTAATTCCAAAGGCTGTAAGAGTAAGATCTGATTAAGACCTTACAGATTATCCCCCAGGCAAAAAAAAAAAGTCCTTTATTTGATTATATAGTTAAATCAAGACTATATAGCTGGCCATAATATTTAATTAAGCAATATAGGACTTCAGTTTAAAAGTCTTAATCAGATAACATAATAATCTGCCCTTTTGGTAGAATTGGATGGTCATGAGAACGCATGCATAAGAAGACATTATTAATTGGGCCACATCAAATAGTATTTGAGTTTGTTTGAATTAAAGTTTATCCAAGTTCCTGGCTAAGTTGGCAAAAAATAAAATAAAAGCTGTTGGCTAAAATAAAAGTTTATATAAGCTACAATTCACACTTTGAAAACAAAAATAAATTAATATAATATGATTTATATTTAAATATTTACTTGTAAAAAAAATTACTTGGATAAATTGAAATTTATTTGGAAGATATAATTAAAATGTGGGTTTGGATGTTTGACAACTGATTAAAAAATAGGAAAGATATCACCAAAAAAATCTGAAAATTACTAAATCATAAATCTAGTTCATTTGGCGGAGATTTTCGCTTTATTGTACATGTATATGTATAATTTGATAACTTGAAAAAAATATTAAAATTGTAACTACAAAGATAAAAAGATGTTAATGTATTATTGAAAAAATAGTAAATACGAAAACAACTTATTTATCATGTACGATATATCATGTATAATTAGATATATTTAATAAAAAAATTATACAAACACATGAAATAAAAACAATGAAATTTTATACTGCATTACTCCCAGTTGTTTGTATATGAAGAGTTAAAAAAAACACAAAATAAGTGGTTTTTGCTCTAACTCTAAATTTGGTTAAGAGTTATTTGACCCAATAATAATAATAATAATCCCAATTATTTCTTCAGGATTATAATTGAGTTGTGGAGTTTTAAAATGGCATATCAAACAAATACTTAACTAAACTTGATTTTTCTATTATTCCAACTTTGTCGCCTGTACTGGTCATTTTTTAAAACCCTTTTTTTTTTTTTCCTGACCAGAGGACTTTCCAAGGAGTTGGGTCATAAAGAATTTGCTAAAATCAGTGGACATATTAGTTAAGCAAGAAATGATTTTCGCATAAATGAAAGATCAATTATTTTTTTCATGTATTTTTGTATGCATGTTCTCTCCTATCTAAATCTAAGAGTTTGTTAAAACACTTGTATCAGTTATAAAATATAAAATTGCAATTCATTTTGTCTTTTATAATTTTTTTCAGAACTATTCTTTAACTGCATGTATCAAAAAAGAATCAAATGAATGGTTTTTAATAGAAACAACTAAATGAAATACTTTAAATAAACCAACATGTTATTTACAAATACAAAATTTAATTAGTTTTTGATCTATATAAAGTAATTATGTAGCCCGTATATTTTAAAATAGAAAGATCAAGTCATTTGTACACGTAGGTGTTATTTCATTGTCCATGTCTCACCAGATTTTGAAAACATGAGATACGAACCAATTAAAATGGAGAGAATCAAGCAAAAAACATCTTTAAAAATAATGCAATTTTTATATTAGAAACACAAAATGGTATAATTATTGGTATAATTATTCTAAGTGTTTAGAGACTGATTGACATGAATTTTTATTGAAAAATTGCTATCCCGTTACGCTTATAAGAAAATTAAAAATGTTTAGGCATTTTATATAATTTAAATTGTTAGTTTTATATAATTAACAAAACCTCTTGCTGTTATGAAGTCGCTGGAAATGGTCATTTTATTATTATTTCATACAGTTAGATTTTTTTAAAAAAATCAAAGACTTTGGATGCCAAAAAACTGTCAGGGAATGAGATTTGACGATTGACTAAATAAATAATCATTTTGCTTTATGTGTGATCGAATTTCTAATTCCGTGGTATACGACGTGATTGGTATCTGAAAACGACATTGGAGTGTTCTGCGTTTTAAGCGAGACAAGATTGACAGACTGAAATGACGCAAACATTTAATTTCCTGTCTAATTCCGTGAATAGATTAAATTAGGTTCATGAAAAACATAATATATTTTGAAAAAGTAAAGATATTAGGAGACAATGTCAATAATGCACACGTAGGCTCGTGTGAAATTTAATAAAAGGTTGTAACAAAATCACAAAAATAAAAAATTCACTTGATCACTTTACATCCCACTCCCCTTTACGAATTTCCCTTTTTAACATTAATAAATATTATTTTAATTTAAATTATACTCTAGCCATACATAATTTATAATATGTATTGTGGGTATTTAATTGGCACATGTCACAATTAGGAGTAGGTGGGATGTAGCAATACAGAGTCTTTAAAGGAGTGGAGACAAATGCACGTTTCATGCACTTAGGACATGTGCGTAAAATAAATTAATTAACCATCAACTTAATTAAAAATCCAATCCCAGCCTTAAAATTTCTACTGAAAAAGAAAAAGAAAACAAAAAGTAGGCTCCTTTTATTTTCAAATTCAAACAGCAAAATAAAGTTTTTTTTTTAATCATTCCAAATTTCCCAACACATGCCCCACTGGAAGAATCGCGCAGTACAATGATGATTTGTTATAATTATTATAAAATTTAAAATTCCACATATACTTTGGAATATTAATCCTGTTAATTAATCCATACGAGAAAACTTCTAATTTTTATGATTATGTAGTTAAATAGAAAGAATCTAGCAATGATGCTAATTAGCGGTCAGCAGGGAGGCAATTTACAGTAATTAACCTGGCTTTGGCTGAAAGAAAAGTTATGAACCGTAAAATTTAACATTTATTCCAGTTAAAAAATAAAGACCCGTTTGTTCGTTTGCTTAGAGGGGCAATCGCTGTCAACCAAAAAAAAAAAGAAGTTATAAGCGAAATTAAATTCAGAGCCACGTATTTATTACAAGAGAGCTTTTACGCGTCTAAATAATGATCATTTAATTAAAGAAATCCATTTTGAAGATGTTGGAAAGCAAATTATTTAAAAAAAAAAAAGGACAGAGAATCTGCTGAGCATAATAAGTGGACTGGGTCTGGAGGGGCACGGTCAAAATATCGATAAAGTCGAAATCCCCGAAATGGCGCGAAACACCAAGATTGTTGGATTGTGTGTGTATATTATATTTTATTGCAAACTAAAAAAAGTGTTTAGATAGAAAAGTGTTTATAAAAAGTGCTTAAGCACTTTTTTATAAATTGAAATAAATTTCTTCACATATTTATCTTGTGGATTATAAAATTACTTCTGAAACTATGGTTTGGTTTATATCTAAACACTTTTTAAATTTTATATTTAGACGTAGGGTTTTTTGAGGACTTTGATTTGAATAATTTGATTTTTTAATATAATATTATTTCTGATTTTAAATATAAAATCTAATTTATAATGCAATGATTTATTTATTTATATTCATTCTAGCAATGTTTTTTTTTATAAAACCCCTAATGCTCTAGTTTTCAGTCAACAGAAAGAAGTAAATATAATGGATTAATTGCTAGAATATTTTAAGATACATATATCATGATTTTTAACATGATAATTACAAATAATTAGTTTAACTTTTTCCCCTTAATTTTTGTGAATTGCGTACATTCTAATATAGTAACAGATGGCACCCTTTTGGCTCAGAACTAACGGATGCATCGTGGGTGGTGGTGATGTGTTATTAATCTTAATGGAGCTTTGTATTGATAGACTGATTATATATAAAAATGAAAAAAAAATTAAAATAGAATTTGGACGAAATCTTTCTCATATTATTCATTCCTTTTTCTTAGGCTGAAAAAGATTTGCTTTAGTCATTCATGGACAACACGGCACCCGTATGTTATAACCTTTTTCGCATTTTTTTTTTGGCCCCAAAACATGTGCTTAAATCTGACATTTATAATACTCATTCTACTTAATATTGATTCTATATAAAAGACATATTTTATAAATTTATTAATTTTTTAAAATTAATCCTATTAATATTTGACCAATAATAATTAAATAAGAGAGGGAGGAAGTGAATTAAAAAATATATTTAGGATGTTTAAAGAAAAATATATAATTTTAATTAATATCTTTAATTTACTCAAATTAATTAATTAAGTTTTATGTTAAATATAAATGAGAAAGAGGGAAATCTTCTTTTCTACAATCTGAATGGTCCAGTCGGCCCATTATTTTATTGAAAATCTCAGGGTCGGCAAGCCGGCAGGGGCACCCACACCTACCAGGCCAATGTCAAATTTCTACATTGCTACTACAAAATATTCTTCCCTTCAACGTCAGCGTATCAATTGGCCAACAATATATCAATATATTACTTTTTGTTTGCTTATTTAATTTTTATTTTAGTTTTAAATATAAAATTTAAATATATTTTATTTATTTATTTATTTTTAAATATATTTCTTATAATAATAATAGTTCTAGCCAGTAGCTAATACATTTGATTAGTAAGAATATTTTAAAAAAGATAGTACTTATTTATTACAAATAATTAATTCAACTAATCTCCTTAATCTACTCAAATTAGTTGACAGATTTTATATTAAGAACTCCAGGTAGTATGTATTAGAAAACAGTGCATTTTCCTACAGTACACTTTTTTTCCCTTTAATATCATTAATTAAAACGGATTAATATAATTTTTGGCCCCTGAATTTTGACTTTATTTTTTTCTCTCTAAAATTTAAAATTAGTGGTTTGGTCTTGAAAATTTAACACCAGTTCGATACTTCGATCCACTTAAAAAAATTTAATTTCGAAATAGGTTTTTTTTTGTCTATAAAACAGAGTTTCAGTAACCAAAATCACAAATTTCGGTCATCAAGATCAAAATGGGGTAAAATTTTAAGAATTACAAATAATGTCAGTCTTATTAAAAATGTAAGAAATGAAACCATTCTCAAGCCATGCTCTATTTATTTTGGCAACTCGTTTGGGCTCTTCATAGTTTCATTCTACTTGTTTCTTACTGCTTGCTCGGTTCAATTTAGTTAAATTCTGGGAGAATGATGAAGCTTAGCTTTTCAAAAAGTTAAGATTTTTTTAGTAAATCAAATTAAAAAATTCATTACTTTCCCCCCAAAAAAAATTCCATTTATTTATTACCTACCAAACAATCCCATAAAAGTGGGTTTTCAACTGTCATAAATAATTGTGTCAAAAAACGTCATGAATAATTTTTGTTTATTGCATTTAGTCTTATATGCTTGGAAGCGATGTCGTATGAGTCCCAATAAATGAGGTCTTTTAAATCATTAGCGGAAATATTTTAATTAAAATCTGGCCAAAAAAATAGTTTAATTAAAATGTTATAATTTTCTAAAAAAATAATTTCCCACCTATTTATTTATCCCCTGCCAAACAATCCCGAGAATGAGTTTTCAACTGTCATAAATATTTTTAAAAAAAAAAAAATCAAATTTTTTGTTTATTCCATTTAGTGCCATATGGCTTAGAGGACTGAGGTCTAAAGCTTCTCTCGTTATAAAAGTATCACTTTTCGTTAAGTCAGGCCACCAACGTGTACTGTTTTTCACAGCTAATTACGAGGGCCATGAATTACGAAATTGAATAAAGAGAACGGCATTGCAGCGGAAATTCACAACTAAATATTACTATACCACCCATCCTTAATAAAAAAATTAATTAAATTTTTTTTACCAAAAATACTAGTTAAGATTTAAATTTAGTCTTAAATATAATATTTTATTTTATTTTATCTTTCAAATTTATAATTTATTCTCAACATATCTCTATTAAATGTACTCATTAAAAGATTTCCATCATGAAATAATTTTAATACATATGATTAAAAAATATAGTTAAGAAGAAATAATACAAAATTGTTATGAATAGCAAATTTATTTACTTAATAATTGGAAAAAAACTAATTTGCTTAATATTTTCGAATATTAACAGTACATTAATGAATGTCTTCAGTTTTTAGCTAAAATTGAAAAATATTAGGACGTAATTGAAAATTCTCTTAATCTTAAACCATAACAAAAGGAACTGCCCAAGAGATATGTGTCCTGGGGATCTTGCATCGTACTAACGGTGAACGCAGTTATAATTATAATTATAATTAGACTAGAAAGTATGAGGAATTAAAACAAACTTTTTGGTTTGATTATACTTGGGAATTGCCTACTCCAGAAAAAAAAAATACAAAAGCAAGAATAAATTAACAAAAAGGGGCAAAACTACTCTACGTCCGGCCTTACAGGTTGTGAAGGATGTCTATAACAAAAGAAATATAGTAGCGAAGAGGGTCTTAGAAACCAAAGAAGCCGAGCTCGCTAGCCCTCTCCTTCTCGAATGTCTCGAAGTACTGGTAAATAATGGTCACTGCAAGTAAAATCCCAGTGCCTGATCCAATTGCCCCCATGAAATCAGCCAACACGGTCAGTGCACCTATGCAGATCCCGCCAAATGCTGCCGCCGTGGGGATATATCGGTTCAGCTCCTTCTGCAAGTTCGATTCACGGTGTCCTGGCATCACCATTTGTTGTTCCTGCAGAGTACCCCACCAAACTGTCAGCATGATATATGACACGGGAAATTTAAAAAGACCAACTTTATGGACGCGAAATCTGCATAACATTTGTAGCACTTCATCCCAAAACTCTCAAAAAACTGGGTGTTCAAACGTAGGTTACAAGATTGGCCCAAGACAACAAAAAGATGTATAGTCTACAAGAATTAGCAGATGCCATAAGCAACCTTGAAATGCAACTTCATTCAGCACAACCTCAAGTAATGTCAGCTAACATTAGAGTTGGCTTAAAGACAAGTTTATTTCTTTTCAGGCACAACATTGCTTCAACATAATCGTCTGGTACAGTGTGCCAAACTTTACCCAGTTGAGCACAACCTAAGTGAACTGGAAAGAGACCCTCAAAAAAACTATGTGCAGATATTTTTCGTTGTGTATATTAAGAGGAAAACACTGATAATTACATCAAATCAACCCTAAAACAAGAGCTTTGATGACACGTGGCACTGGAAGTCGCACACAACTTATCAGACATCTTCAATTACAAACTCATATGACATGAATTAAAGGATGACAAAAACAAGCCAGGCATGTTCCGCAGACACTGTTAAAGGCAAGTAAAACATCAAACTAAATCTGCATAACTAGTATTTCTCATTACCTTCAATTGTTTGGCAACATCTCTAGCAGATGATCCAGAGACTTCAATCCAAGTTTTAGAGAACAAGGCACAGGCCGACAACATGAACACCAAATAGAACAAAGCATGGAAAGGATTGGCTGCCATATCAGCCAAGCTGCCAGGAAAATAATTTAAGCAAGAACTTCAATAACAGTTTAAGTAAAAACAACGTCAAATTTATGATTGGTAAGAGCATTAGGTCACATATAACATATCAGACATGGCACAAAACTATAGAGGAATATAGACCCGATGAAAGTTTGAAAAATCACTTTTCATACCTAGATGGTGCTGTAATGTAATATGCAAGGCCACCCACAGGAATAGACTGACCACCTCCATATTCAGTCTCCTTCCATTTGCCCAATAAGTTCACGATGAAGTTCCCACTGTACTTTCGGTGAAGCAGCTGTGATCACCAAATAATAAGTTGTTAAAATATTAAACACCAAAATGAAGTCCAAGATGCAACGTACAACAAACTTTACTACCTGAGAGATAAAGTACAGATTGGAAACCAGAGCAGACTGAAGAATAATGGGCATGTTAGAGGTATAAAATAGTTTAATGGGATATGAACCCTGCTGTCCACGGGCATTCTTTGATCTTACAGGCAAAACCACACGGAAACCTTGGAAGTATATCACAATCAAGAAGATCAAAACAGTAGCAAGAAGATTTGTCACGTTAGGAAGATTCTGCCTGTAAAATGCCTCACGTAGAGCACGAACTTTGTCTGTTCTAGTTATCAACAAATGGAATAGAGCAATAACAGCACCCTCAAATTCAGCACCCCGTCCACTGTTAATGGTGGTGGGACTAAATGCCTTCCATATGATATTTTCACTGCAGTAAAATAGGGGAACTCTGATTAGGCAGTCAATAAAGGTCCCATGCTAATATTTCCTGTAAGACTAGACAGCAAAGCCGGGGAAAGCACAGCACTAGCAAATATAAAATACGTGACAAAACTCACCAGATATTAGTTGCAATGAATAGGGAAATTCCAGAACCCAGGCCATATCCTTTTTGAAGAAGCTCATCTAAGCAAATCACAATGATACCCGCAAAGCACAGCTGAATGATGATGAGTATAGCATTCCCCACTCCAAGTTGGCCCACACTACCATACATCCCAGAAAGAACATAGGCAACCGCCTCTCCAATAGCTATCAAGATGCCAAGCAGTTTCTGTGCTCCGTTTCTGGACCAAAAAAAAGTAGAAATAATTTAAACATACGGCACAAAACAATCTAGACGCACATAAGGGCAGCAAAATTTGCAGAAGTAAAGCTTTGCAAAGCCTCTGCAAGAAAATAATGCAAAAAAAAAAAAATGAGACAATTGACAGCCATAAAATTCTGATTTCATCAATAAGTTTTGCAACTATTAGACAGAGCTACTTTATGACCGCCAACATCCACAAATGAACAGAGACACTTACAAGAGGGCTCGATCTTCACGGACATTGTTGTCTACTTCAATGATCTTTGAACCAGCAAGCAGTTGCATCACCAGCCCAGAGGTAACAATGGGGGTGATCCCAAGCTCCATAACAGTTCCACGGTTTGAAGCAAGTATAACACGCATCCAATAGAATGGATCTGCACCGGTTGTTGAGTGTATTCCATAGAGAGGGAGCTGACTACAGACGAGGAAAATGAACAGAGAAATTACAGTGTATATGACCTTCTCCCTAAATGGAATTTTCCTGTCGGCAGTCTGAACTTCAGGCAGAAAGGAGAGAAATGGTCTAACCAGGTGAAGCACTCTAAACCCACCTCCCATCTTATGGAGCTGCACAAGTTCACCAGCACAGAAACGTGTTAATTAGAATATATACATAAAAGGACCATATAGAACTATTAGGCAAATAAACTAATTGATGGTGATGGTGGTTAATAAGAAGAAATAAACATCGCTTTCAGTTTTGAAGGATGTTCGGGATTGACAGATCCCCCCCGTTTTTCCGAGCAGATAACATATTGTCTATTCTACGAGCAAAGCAAATCGTACGCCTCAATTGGCCAAGCTATGCTTAATCCTCAACATTAACCAAAAAGCAAGCTAACAACCCAAGGAAAAATTTTGGCAAGTTTCCACTGTCAGCCTTGCTGGCCTCCAACTACGAGGGCAAAGACATGAGCATTAAGTTGTACGGATCGTGCAGGTCATAGACAAGTTAACCCATCGTGTGGATCGAAGAAAGCAATAGCAACGCACGCAACATAGCTGGATTTGGCTGATGCAGGGGACGTCAAACACAACGAACACCAATCTAAATGGATGTCCAAATCGAAAAATAAACCCCACAGCACCGATCAATAATTCGCATGATAAACATTAAGCACGCGGGAAAGCATAGTCAACAGCACGAAGCGAGATCGGAAAGAGGCACAGGAATACGAATTAAAAACAGATCCAAGAATTTTCCGATATGGAACATGGCAGGGGGAAACCGAGAGATTTACCCAGAAAAAAACGCGTATTCGAGATCAGCGGAGGAAGGAGAGGTAGATTCGGATTCAGAAGAAGGGAGCCACCGGATCTGAAAACAAAGTTTGATTCTTTTAAATAAACGGAGAAAGGGTTTTCTCCGGCGGGCTGGGCGCTTGCGTCAATGAGTGAAAGAGGACGAATATGGAGCCAATCACTGTCAAACGCGTTTACAGTGACCGTGACGTGGATATTTTAGATCTTGCAGATTTTATTTTATTTTGGCTAGAGAGAGGAAAGACGCAAAATCTCTTTAAAATCTAAATTTTGGGTCATATCATTTCCATAATTTTTAAAAGTTCAAAATAAAGATATTAATACTTGTATCAATTTCCATGTCCTTTAAAAAATAACATTTAGTATTTGATATGTAATTTTAATTTTTAAATACTTTAAATAAATACTTAAAAATAATAGATATTTTAAATACTCAAGAAAGTATTTAAAATATCTATTATATCATATCCTTTTTAAATTTAAAAAATTGAAATTACGTATCTTTTAAAAAATAGAAAATGCAATCATTAATTAGATATTATAAATCTGCTCTGGTATTTCATTTCACTACGGACACTGTCCTCACTTGTTTCTCTGCCAATGGCATCATGTATTATAGGGACCTTACAAAGGGAAAGCACATGGACTTGAGAGCGGTGTTAATTGAATCTATCTCATCTCCTTCTTCACATCAAATCACTGGTTGGTTTGTGTTAGTTCAATTGGGTTGAAAGCTCACCCTCTCCCTTTATTTTCAGTTGTTGTTATGGATACTCGTGATATGATGATCCACTGAATAACATCAAACTGCTGTAACTTATTTTCTTCTTGCTGTGACATGAAGGCTGGATAGTGATGAGCTGACGGATGAATCTTATAATTTAAAAGGTAATTTCTCACAATTATTTTTTATTTCCATGGTTATTTTTTTTTAATTGCCTTTATATTCGATTGAAATCCTCTATCCTTCAAAGCAAAATTGTATCATGTAAGTCTAAAATTTTTCTCATTTTCTTTATCAACAACAAGGATAAGCCACACCTCGCTGATTTTTATCTTTTTTAAGAATGCACACAAAATGAGAAAAATTATACTCCTCCTGTTTTTAATATAGGACCCAATTCTTAAGTTGGTTTTGATCCTAAATATAAGACTCATTTCTCATATTTATCAATTTTCTCTAAATTACTCCTATGGATACTCTCTCAACCATAATAAAGTAGAAGAGGGAGAGGGGTATTAAGAAAGATGATTATAGTGTTTTAGGAAAAATGTGTCACTTTTCTTATAATTAACTAACTTACCTAACTTCTTTAATATAATCAAATTAGTTAAATGGGTCTTATATTAAGGACTGGAGAAATAGTAACATATTTATATATATTATTTATTGCGCATAAGTATTTTTTAATTGAGGAATAATTTTATTTGATGTGTTATTAGGTCATAAATATGAACACTTTGTCATGTGTGAGAGTTTAAGACACTAGACCATTGTGGTTGACTGGTTGGCGTGTTTTTATATTTATGTAAGCTCCAGCTTGCTGACTTTTATTCGGCCATAGCCCTTATCTATGACTTGGAGGATATGGTCAAATGCTAGCCGTCGCCTTATGACCAATTGACCACGTCGTTGTCTCCCCCGATTTTTGTATGAGCTGGGCCGAAGATGAACTTAATGGTAACCTATGGCCCATTGAAAGCCCATTTGACCAAGCATCTGGCCCATTTGAAAAGGCTCGCCTCATGATCCAAGCCCACATTGAGACTAAACCCATTTTCTTTAAAACAAGTGTCATGAGGCGAGGGATCGGAGTACAGAATCAAGAGGGAGGAGCGACGCAGAGGATCACAGCTTGACGACGGACAGTAATAAAAGCATTTCATCTCCTTCCCTCCTCGGAAAACTCACTTTCCGCGGGTTGATAAAAGACGAAAAGTAACGTAAGGGGCACCAAAAAAAAAAAAAAACAAAGCACTCAAGAAAGCAAATCAGAAAGTGCATAAAGTGTGCTGAGCTGAAAGGCGTTGCGAAACACCGCACCTTCGACCCATACTTGTGGGTTTGTACGCTACTGTAGCTGCTGAAGAAGTACCGCCCTTGTAGTTCCTACTTGCGCCACCCAGATTGCGCCTTGGGTTCTGACAATGCTCATTCCAGCATATGTCTGTGTTTGATGCGCGTCTTCTTCTTCTCTTTTTGTAGTTTCGCCCCAAAGCGATTCACTCTCTTCCAATCTTTGTTTCTGGTTGGATCACTTAGTGAACCATGAGAAATTACACCTTACTGTGTGCTTTCATGGTACTTGCTGTCACTTGCTCTCTTCACTTTCATGCTCAGGCTGCCCCTGCTGGTAATGATTTCTTCCCCATTTTGTTATCAATTTGGGTTGGATTTTACTGATCTGTTTTCCCAAATGGGTATGCTTAGTCCTGAATCATGATAATTTTGTGCTCTCACCCAACTATTGCTAGCATTTCGGTTTGATCTCCCTCGTTTATCTGTTCTTATCTTCATATTTTGTTATCACCGATCAAATGAATCTCCTAGCTCATTCCTTTGCCCTTTTCCGTTTTCCTTCTAGTGGGTGTGCTTTGTTTATATATACTCTTTTATTTTCTGGTTACTCTGGCTGAATAATGTGATCTTTTCAGGACCATTGATTAAGCATATTTCTTCGTTTCTCAAATGGACGAGGTCTACCTCTAAGACGCCTCAGTCAGGTTAGATTTTTGCTCTAACAGTCCTTTCCTTCCGATAATAACATTGCCATATGTGTAATATGATATTCTTGCTTTCATGGTATGACCGTAATTCGCAATTGCTCTTCAGATGGCAATGTTCTTCAGTTCGAGAATGGTTACGTTGTTGAGACTGTGGTGGAAGGAAACGAGATTGGGGTCATTCCTTATAGGATTCGTGTTTCCGAGGATGGCGAACTCTTTGCTGTTGATTCAATAAATAGCAACATTGTCCGAATTACTCCGCCGTTGTCCCAGTGTATGATTTCTTCCTTACATTTTCTCCTGTAACTACTATGACGTTGATTGATAGAACGTGACTGGTCAAACTAATTAAGCAGTGGTAGGCGGTAGCATTGTACCTTCTCGCATCGTCTAATAACTGTTCAATGAAGCCTATCAAATGAAAGATATTTGGCAATTGAAATAAACTTTTCGATTTTCCTTTAGATTTAATTTAAAGTCGTGTTTTTACTTTTTATCTTTCTGCAGATAGTAGAGGAAGGCTGGTGGCTGGGTCATTTCAGGGTTACACTGGACATGTTGATGGGAAACCAAGTGATGCTCGTTTTAATCATCCCAGAGGCATCACCATGGATGATAAAGGGAATGTTTATGTTGCAGATACCCAGAATCTGGCCATCAGAAAGATTGGAGATACTGGTATATACTACCTGAGTTTCAAAGATTTCAGGTCTCTAGGCTAAGTCGGGACTAAAATGGCCTATTCATTTCTGACAAAATTAGAATAGAGTTTTAATATGAAACACAGTTGTAGCAATTCAATTTCAACGCAATGTGTGTTATTTGTGCTGTGAGACGCAGTTATGGAATATGCTTATCTCCAATGAGTTTTCAATGTTTGCTAGAGATACTGTTTAGAATGAGAGAACTCCAAGATACATATATGGCACCATGGTTATAGCTTTCACTCGGAATACTTGCGCCAGAAGATTATGAACTTATCCTGCATTTCAAACTAGTAATTCTACCTCCCTGGTTAGCTGAATGTGTGACTTCCATGATCACTTAGCTACTCACAGATGAGATCCTTATCTATTGAAAGAACATGAATGAAAATTGCAAAAAAGTAACACTACTGACATTTGTAATTATTTTTAGGTGTGACAACCATTGCTGGAGGGAAGTCCAATGTAGTAGGCTACAGAGATGGCCCAAGTGAGGATGCTAAGTTCTCAAATGATTTTGACGTGGTTTATGTTAGGCCAACTTGCTCCTTGTTGGTCATTGATAGAGGAAATGCTGCCCTTCGGCAAATATCCCTCAACCAGGAGGATTGTGATTATCAGTATAGTTCAATTTCAACCACAGGTCAAAGTTCTAGTCTTTAGTTTGTCAAGGTGGTCATAATCTTTGTAAAGATAATAATATTCTTTCTCTCTGATCTTCCAAACATTTCAATGCCAAGAAAATTTTGAACGACAATAATTCATCCAAGACTTATGGTCCTTGCTAGATATGATTGTGATTTTGCTAGCAACCCATACAAACAAAAATAAAAGGGAAAGAATATACAATGAAATGAAATCAATAAAAATAATGAAATGTGTAATTGCAGTTATGATGGAAGAAAAGAGAAAAATCCTATATGTTGATTGTATATTGTGAGTTTTGTTTTTCAAAATTCTACGAACATTGGTTGCTGGATGACTTTCTTCGCGTAAGTTTACTTGCTCCACTTTTGACAGGTCAAGCTGCCACATGGTTCCTTTATTGGTTGCTTCTTAATAAGGAATATCTACTTTTCTGGTCTGTTTAGACTTCACTGAGAAATACTTCGTACAATATTTTTACTGCTGAATTTAGTTTGCGTAACTGAGGTGTCTGCTCAGCGCTTGTTTTTGCTCCCTTGAGTGGTTTCATAAATCATTATTGCAAATGTGACTGAGAGAAATAAATCTTAACTTCTGCTCATTGGTCTTCTGAATTATTTACCAAAAATCTGCTCTGAGTGTGCTCGTTACCTGCAGTATCTTCTCATTGTTGGGGTTTTCTGCAGATATTCTTACAGTTGTCGGTGCTGTCATAATAGGATATGCCACATGCATCCTGCAGCAAGGTTTTTGCTCCTCTTTCTTCTCCAAGACGGTAAGTCTCTTTTGCTTCTGCAGTATTAGTGTAAATATAAAATTCACTGGCATTTGCCATTTTGGTGACAACATTACGGCTGTGGCAAATAGCCAATTATCATTCTCCTTTGTCTTCGGAACCTCTGCATATGATGAAGAACATCACTAGTTATCGGAAACTTTGTTCATGCATTTAGAAACCAAAAACCTAATCGATTTGACTGCTAGTTTATTTTTTGCCATGGAATAATTTCTTTCCTGTCAGTGTGCATTAAGTTTGTGTTCACTTTAAAATATACTGCATCGTTGCTGTTTGTCTGATAACACTGCGTAAATGCTGCAGCAACGGTTAGAAGGAGAATTCAAAGGCCAAGCAAACAAAGAAAAACCTATGTCCATATTAGGGAGTGGTAAAGACGAGCCAGGATGGCCATCTTTTGGACAGCTTATCGTTGATCTTTCTAAGCTTTCCCTTGAAACATTGGTTAATACATTCTTTCAATTCATACCTTCACGTTTCCGATCTGATGGCCCTGAGAGAGGCCTAACACCGTTAAAAGATGGTCTTCAGATGCCTGAAGACGAAACAGAGTCCCCATTGGTAGGTAGGCAGAGTGCTGCTCCTCCTATTATTGAGAATAGACAGTTCCATACGCCAAACACAGCTGAGATATATTCAGAATTGAAGCCCCACAAAGTGAAATCAAGCAGTTTCAAGGATCCCTCCTTATCCAGCAAGCACCGATCGTCAAAACGACAGGAATATGCTGAGTTCTATGGATCAAGTGAGATTCCACCTTACATCAAATCCAAGAGCCAAAAAGAAAGATCTAGACATCGGCAACGAGAGAAGAGCGGAGAAGTGGTTTATGGGGCAGTTGGAGCGGAGGCAAAACCTGTTGAGATGAAAGCAGCTGATTATGACAATCAAAAGTTTGATCATTATAATTTGAGGACTAAGTACATACCTGGGGAGTCCTTCCGTTTCAACCCTCAGTAATAGGTGCTACATATTTTTGGTGCCCTGGTATTGTGTTCTCCGTGACATTAAATATGTGCTGTAAAGCATAGGATTCTGCAACTGATTTTGTATTATGGAGCATATATTCTGCAATCTGCACTTAACTAACTAATCCAGATCAGACGGGATAATTTTTTATGCATGTGCTGGAAAGGCTCCACTAAGCAGCTCAAACAAATGATAAAACATAAAATATGAGGGAGGAAATCTTTAAAATCAAACCTTGCTTAAATGTTCAGCTTTATTCTTTATGGGGGCACTATGATTTTTCTCAAAAGGTAGGATCTAGTCTTCTTGATGTTGAACAATACTTAAGGTTCATGATTTTAATTTTGTCAGGCATGGATGGTAATTTTAAGAGGTAGTAGTGGTAATTTTGAACAGTAGAAAAAGGATTTGAGCCTTCTTTAAGATTTTTTTGCCTTTTGAATGTTGAAGGTTTATATCAGAGTCTTGTAAAAGCTCTGTTTTTATACAAGACACGTGGAGACAAAATTCGTGAAAGAATCAGTCTTGTGATGTTGGGTTTTAAACTTCTTGTAACATCTGTAAGAATCTGGCAACAATATCTCAAAGTAGAGATGGAATAAAAAGGAAAAGATGGTTTTTCTTGCCCATACATGAAAAGGATGGCTGGTTGTTCTGTGGTTCCTCTCCGCCATTGTTCTCTTTTTCTTTTTTCTTCTCTCTCTCCCCCTCTCTCTCTACACTCACTCACACACACACACATGCATTTTATATTATTATTTATAATTCTAATTATTTGTGGCTTTTGAAAGGTAAGGTTGGGCTTTCATGAACATGAGCATCTTGTTTAAACAGTGACTTGGATGAGCCCTGAAGCCATCTCGTGAAATTCATGTAAAAGCTCCACCTTCCATTAAAAGAAACAGTTGATTTGCTCCGCAAAAAGTGAACACAAAATTAGTTGAGCTTATCTATATGCCTTGGAAAAACTTATTGACATTAATTTAAATTTCCTTTCCGGAAAAAAAAAATTGAAAGGAGAAAAATATTTTCAATTAATTCGCACATGAATTTTGTGGTTTCTAAAACAATTTTTATGTTAGCATGCGTAGCATCTCCATGTTAAGCTTTATATTCTATTTAGGATTGAAATCATGGTCACAAGATCAAGTCTATATATAGCAATAAGGCTTATTGATTAATTTGATTAAAATTTTGTTAATTTTATTTATTAATATTTTGGGACATTCCTTGAAATGCGAATTTGTGTTTGGAAGTATGAGGAATGTTATGTTGAGTCTATCCAATGACTGAAAACAAAAGCCAAGTTCTTTGTACTAATGTACCTCTTCCTAAAAATAGGATTTTTTTTATTATTTTAATTTTGATTAGATAATTGATAGGATTTCATTTGGAAGTATTATCACCGCTGATATCTATTAATTGACGTATTGGTCATTTAGTAATTAATGACAAGTGTAGTATAATAGTTCTTGTTTTTCATCCCACTTTCATGAATATTCTATTTAATTTATAAAAAATACCAGATTTAAAATGTCACAATGAATATTATGCGATTAGCAATGAAAATAGGTTCACTTTTTTCCACAAAACAAAATTATACTACTGTTATAAAATATTCATTATATAATTATTATCTCTATTTAATAAATACACTTTTTTTTTTCCTATCTTTATACAGTAATTCATAAAATATTTCATTTGACTCAATTTTACATACAAACAATTCTTCAGAAAAATTATACAAAAATATCTGCTGATTTCAAAATGATAAGTAGGTGATTTTGACAGATTTTAACCTATTAAAATCATTATAAGAGTAGTTAAAATTATTACAAAAATAGTTAGCATGATGTATTTGTCTTTTTGAAATTCAAGATATGATTTTCTATCATTTTCATCAGTTTCTTTTATGTAAGTTATTGTTGAAAATAATAAATGACTACTTTGACCCAAGTCCAATTCAACTCAAACAAAATATTTATAATTTTTTTTACAAAGAATTTTTAATTTTTAATGGGGAAAAATTAGAAAACTATTTTTAGGAAATTATGTTAATGGATGGATTCCTGAGACGGTGCTATTTACCCATTTGGTAATATCGCTAGCTCGTAAAACGCTTCATCCTCTTTGACTTGCCGTCCCAGTGAAGTTCATTCTAATTTCAAGTCTCCCCCTTCTCTTTCGCTGAGCTCTGCGTTTTGCAATGGGTTGTGCAGGATCCTCACAGTCCAAAGCTGAGGGTGAGCCTGCTTTGTTTTTCTCTCTTGCTTTGATTTATCTGAATCCACAGCTTTGTATTGACACTGAATTTTAAAGGCTTGAGAAAATAGATGTTGGGTTATAGTTAAAATCCTATTTCCTTCCTGGGTTTTCGCTTGTTAGCGAATTCTTCATACTATTAATTCGAAAAGCCCTCGTCAACTATGTCAACTAATGATTTTGGAAAAATCAATTATATGAAAAAGAACTTATCTGCGTTGCAAGCAGGTGGGAGGGGGGGGGGGAATCCGTTTGGTAAATATATACCACATTCTGTGAATTCCGTGCTAAACATCGATCTCGTTGGATTTTGTTTTCCAGGAAATTCTTGTCGGTACGGTATTTCTGTTAGCTTCTTGATTCTTGCTCTAGGAATGGATATCTTCGGATTTGATTTAAACCATGAGTGTTTGTAATTCAACTAAGCTTCTTGATTTATGTTTATTGTTTGCTGTGTTGAAGATTCTGTTATTGAAGCGGACAGCAGAAGTTGGTAGTTGGATCTTGAATTGAAGATGAAAATTGGTTTCCGTTAATTCGCCGGTGAAGCTTTCTTCAAATTTTAGATGCGCGTATTTGCTAAGTGTTATGAAATTTTTGAATCGTCTACTATAATTTTTATGAGAAGCTATGAGTATTTTAATCCATGTGCTCCGATTACTGCTGATTTGAATCTCAGAATTAAGTCGACTTTGAACTAGGGTGGAGCATCATAAGATGCCAATCATCTTTGTCCTCAGTCATACCCATAATGTGTAGAATGTTTTACGTTAATTAAAGTTCTTCCCCATTTCTATGAATCGGTGGTCAGTCAACTTTCTTCTGCCCTCCATTTGCCAATACTTAAGTGCTGGAATTATTATCTTACAACTTGTTGTTGATGATAACGTTCAAGTTTTAGATTATTTCATGTCGCTTTCATTCATGATGTTGTAAATTTTGTAACATTGTAGGTGGGGCTGTGAAAAAGATCCGAAAGCCTAAGCCTTGGAAGCATCCTCAGCCGATAACAAAGACTCAGCTAATACAGTTAAGGGATGAGTTTTGGGATACAGCTCCTCATTATGGTGGCCGTAATGGTATACGATTATATTTCGATGAGTGGGCAAATCTTGAAACTTTGCAAGCCTAACAGAAGATTAAATTTCCTTGTAACGATTAAGGAATTGAGTTTTATATGAAGGTTTTTCGTTACATTAAATTATTCACTTCCCATAGTTAATCCACTATTCTGCATTTCTTCGGATTCCTGCAATTAGTTCCCCCCCCCCGGGGGAATACTTCAATTAGATTCTTTATCTCAATGTTATTAAACTGTTTATCTGTAGTTTGCTGCATGCTTCAACCTTTTCAAGTATGGTCATTTTGAAACTGTTGCTAGGGTATTTGTTATTCATGAAAAGTTTGGCTTAAGAAGAAAATATTTACTTCACATCATTTTATGAATCTGTTCACTCCCCATAATTTTCTGTATTTCGTTGAATTCCTAGAATTGGATTCCATTTGTACTGATTTTAGATTCTTTAGCCATAATTTACAATTTGCATCAATCTCTTCCTGTATGGAAAGAACGTAAACATGAGAAAGAATTCGGAGATGATTAGTTTACAGATGGCCTTGTAGTTTCTTGTACGCTTTCCCTCTTCTTACGAAGATAAGCTAAATGGTTTGTCCGTTTTTGATGTGTCAAATAAAGAATTGTTTCAAAGTCAATACTTTGTTTGTTAGGTGCAGCCAAAAGCTTGAGGTTTCACAAAGTATCCCAATTTGATAATGATGTTATTCCTAATGTTATATTGAAGTTTATATTTCATGCTATTGTGGCATTCTGTATAAATAAACATTCTAGACATTAAGAGGATTAATAACTCGTGAAGATGCAGTGGTCTAAGCCTAGTCTTTGATGAAGAGGTAATAAATTCACGTCAAGGAACACCTAAAAAAGTGATTATCTCCTCACAGTCCTGTTTAATTGAGCAGTTACTGTTGCAAATATGAGGTAACTTTTGGGGTTTGGGTGCTACAGTGAGGGGTGGCTTATATGAATGCTGAGCAGGTGAGAGATACACAAATGTCAGTATACAAACTCAAATCAGTTGTGATGCCATTTGGCTGGACAAGCGAGGTCACTTTGGCAGAAGGATCCACGTTAAAATTAGGATCTACCATCAAGGGGATAACAACAGAAGATCAAAATTAGTTTTCTCATTTATCTGTTGCAATGTTGATCAGCGTGCTCTCTATATCTTTGCTGTTCCATTTCAAAAAGAATACCCGCCTGAAACAGTGTCTCTTTTCCAGAGAAATTCGTTATGGCCAGACCAATTATTTTTTGAGTTTTATAACTGCATGGGTATAAGGTTTTACGATGTAAACTAGTTAATTGAAGCGCATTTCTCATTTTCTGCATGGTAGAGATCTGGGATGCTCTTAGAGCTGCTGCTGAAGCTGATCTAACTCTAGCTCAAGCAATTGTGGACAGTGCTGGGGTCATAGTCCAGAGTTCTGATTTGACAGTGTGCTATGATGAAAGAGGTAACAAGTGCATGACTTGTTGCAATTCTTCAGTTACTATATTACCCAACAAGCTTGAAATGATAAAGAAGAACAAACATCTTGGTGTTGACTTTCATAATTCTGTTTTCTATACTTGCGTATCTTCCAATTTTCCTGATTTTTTCTTCAAATGTATTGCAGGAGCAAAATATGAACTGCCTAAGTATGTTTTGAGTGAGCCAACTAACCTGATTCGGGAGAGTTAATGACAAAAGAGAGTGATTGGTGGGAAAGTGGATGTAAATCATGTACATTATTATCTCAATTGATCTGGCAACTTCCATAGCGGTAGCAACTCTTATTCCTTACCATCTCAACTTGATGTTTACTCTCTCTCGGAACCACATGACACACTATCTCAATTGTTCAATGAGTGTGGAGGGTTCTTGATCTTCATCTTGAAATACAAAGACCATTATGTTTCATTTTCCTTCCCTAATGATGAGCTATATATGGAAGCTAAAGATTAAATCTTGAGAAGTTAAATCTTGCCTTGCCTTCCCTTTTATATAATTTTTCCAAGCCTTGCATATTGAAAAGTCCAAAGTTGGCCTTTGATGCAAATCCTCTTGGAAATCTACTATACCAAAAGGCTTGCTTCACGGTGAAGATGAGTGAGTGATACGTGAATAGACGCACTGCAAATGTACTTGGAGTTATGCAATTTTAACTTTTAAAGAAATTTGTAGAGAGACATTTCCGTTACGTAATTTCAAAGAAAGAAATAGTTGAGGGATGAGAGCGTAGGCAGATGAAGCTGCTGCAAGGTTGAACAGATGGGCTCTATAGAGCCAAAAGAAGGAACAGTGATAATTAGGAGGATGGGATGTGTATTTATATATATATGTATGTATGTATGTATGTATATGTGTATTCTCTCTTTAACCTACTCCATGGCTAAAAGTGATGGATGCGATCTTTATAGAAAGATTATAAACATGGGTTCAAGAGATTCACCAGCAGCTAGTAAAGTAATGTTCACGCTTGAAGGAAGATTTCGAGGGCTTTGTTTCCAGATTCTATGCTTTTGTGTGCTAGCTGATATAAGTATATCTAGGCGTAGAAAGCCTATCCAAATGTATGCATGTCTCCCAAAATATAGTCACATTCCTTTATTCATTCGTCAATCACACAGCATGAGTATGGAATGTCTCCAATCATTTGCTGGTAAAAGTTTCGCTTAGCATAATTCAGGGGATAATTTTACAGTGAAATCTTTAGTTAATTTTTTCTTTTTTGGAAAATCTAACATTGAATCCACTTTGATAATCTAATCTTTTGTCTTTATACACGCTTTAAAAATTCTCATCGTACCGATTATATGAGATCAAGGTAGAAATTTAAAAAAAACTTGGGCGATCAAGGCAGAAATCTCCATAATAATTATCAAAATACGGAGACACTTGACCAAACTTTCTATGGAACCTCTCCTCATGACACGGTTCATAAAATTTCAAGCAGGCCAGACTATAAAATTTAAATCCTCTTCATCTCACATATTAATTCTATAGTATTAGGTAAGACCCATCTTAGATGTTACAATTTACAGATGCTAGATTAAATCCCAGTTCGAGCTGATCTGAGCGACAATATTCCCTACTAATCATGCTACATCACGGTAAAAGTGATTTATCTATTTACCCGCCATCTTCGAGCATGCAACGCCACCGCTGCAGAGGAGCTTAGAGCATCGGAATTCGAGCAAACCCAAATCATATAAATGGGCAGAATGGTAATCCAAAAATGATGATATTTACTTAAAGCATGAATTACTCCAACTAAAGTCTGTTGGCTCCTCCTCCGAGAAATTGAAATGACTATGTGAAGATATAAACCTGATCAAATCCTCTCCTAAAAAACATAAAACATTTACACAAGTAATTTTACGTGAAACCCAAATTAATAGCTTGTGAATGCATTTTGGGCTTACCCTGCCTTTCCACTATAAGTGGGAATGTAATTGTAAATGAGATTGTCCAGAACTTCTTGAGCAGGTGGTCTGTTAATAGATTTCCTAGCTTCACTGAATCCAAATGCATGATAGATAAAGCAAGTTAATTTAGTCACTAAATCCCAAGTGTTTTTTCGCTAATAAAAAAGCGTAGCTCAACCAATGGTTAGGGATTTCAAACATGTTTGCAGAACCTTTACCCATGATTTTCAATCCATCAAAATGGTTTAGAGGTAAGAAAGTCTCTACATTTCAAAACAGTGAAAACAAATGGCTTAAACATAGATTTTCATAATCTTTCGTTACTATTAAACTAGCTATCGGTATCACTGTACAATTTCTGGCCAACTTGTTTAACTTAAAACGCACAAGAATGAGAAGTTGTCATATTTCGAGTTGAGTAGTGCTAACCTCACCAAAAAGTTTGCAGCGTATTGAGTCACTTGGATGGCCTCCTCTGTGTGTGGGATTCTCGGTGAGGCCCACTCGAAAGTATTTTTCTGTGACATCATTTGAAAAGAACGTTATGGAGTTTAATGTGAACTAAGTTCTCATAGAATTAATTACATAGTGTTGAGCAGTTGAAGTCCGCAATAAGACATAAAGCAAAGCACATTCATGGCTCACCTCTGGATGCCATTGGAAGCCAGTCACAGGATAGTTCCATGAACGTACAGTGGATACATAATCCTAGTATAATTAATGATAATACACATTAGTTTTCTTTAAGAAGGAACGGGTAACGATTCATGAGTAAGTCAGATGTTTTAAGGAATCCGTCATTCAGCTTCTTTACAATACCTTGTTATTTTCATCCTTGGAAGTTGTCAATAACTCAAAAAACCTAGACAATTTTTTATTGTCCAGGAATCTTCCCGGGGATATGCCCAACTGTCGTGTTCAATGCCAGATGCAAATTACATTCATGAACTTCAAAAATACAAATCAAATGTAGGACCAAAAAAGCAGATAACCTTTGATGTTATCACTAAACACTATAATCAAATTATCCATACAGATGCACATTGTGAACAAGCGCATTTGTAAGTTCAGTAAAAGTACTCGTTTACACAGCGGGTAATTGACAACAACACGATACTCACATGGTGATTTTGCATCACAAGACAATCGGTGGTCAGCTTCTTTAACAGGCCTGGAGGAAATCTGCAGGAAAGAAGTGAATCTCAACCCTTTTTTTTTTTTAACCAAAAAGTGAATCTCAACTTGCATATCTTGTATGGAGCAAGAAATAGGACGTATGGAAAATTAGAATCTTCAGAAACACAAAAATCACGAGGATTAAGTCCAGTGCCCTCTGTAAACACAAAAATCACGAGGATTAAGTCCAGTGCCCTCTGTAATGAAAGACATGCAATGTGTGCAAGAGAGAAGAGAGAGGAAAGAGCCATCAGTAAGGAACATATTGGGAGTGAGGGAGGAAGATTAGATTATCAGCCATTGGACTTCTCTAAAATCTCAACACGTCCTGTGTATGATATCTTCATGCATCTAAACTTGCTTTCAGCACTTTAACATCCATTAATTTCTGAGATAAGTTGACATTGCAACAGCAATATGTTAAGTAAACATATTAAGTAACAGATCCCAGTGTTTCATTCAGCATCCAAAACACAAAAAGCAGAAGAGACGACTCTGTTTAAGCAGAAAACATATATGTATGAAAGAGCTCCATGCCAATAATCAGCCTTAGATGGACTAAATGCTTAAAACATATGCCACCTTGGATTGTTTACCTTTCAAATACTGTTCCATCAATAGTTGCATTTTCTGTAAATTGGAGAGTACTTGCCTGATTTCTTGCACTAACTTCTTCAAGAATATTGTTATCCTATCACCAAGAAAAAGAACATACCTGTAAAACCACCACCACCACCACGCCCAACTACATTTTAAATGTTTCCACGTTCGTTCTCTAAATTCATGCATCTAGAGAAAGAGGGGGAAAGGGGCACAAATGTGACTGGGTGAGACCCCGTATCACATCTTTACACCTATAATCTCTTTTCTTTCTATCTCTCTCTAAATGCAATATTGCATTATAATGTTCCTAATTTCCTTCTTTGAGGTGTTGCAAACCAAAATTTGTTATGGAAGAAAAAATATGAATAAAAAAGGTTGCTAAGGTAGGAGGGGAAAAAAAAAGGGAGGACAGCATGTAAACAGTATTCATTCTACGAAACATAGCAGAAGAAGGATCTTTAGGCTGGAGCTTTCCTCATATTTGATTATTTCGAATGTTTAAGCAGAGTATATCATCCTGGCTTATAGAGGAGAATTTGACTTATCCATACGGGAGTTTTCATCATCCGGAGAGCAATACTAGAAACAAAATAATTGAAAGCAAAGTTATAGAACCGTAAGAGGGAAATTTACCTCACTAACGATCATTGTTATAAGTTCAAAACCTAAGCAGGTAGCATATAATGGGAAATGGTTTCCACCATCATTTTTCTCCAGAACTTTCTGCAGCATAGATTAGCGAATCTTAAATTCAAGCAAGAGTGACCATGTGAAAAATATTCCATCAAGTCAATAATACTAATCGTTAAGTGAGATTTTCAATTATCAAATTCCTAATTCAAGAAATATCGAGATTGCATACAATGCAAAGAGAATTTCTAACGAATGCAAGGAAGTATTACAAGTGTCTGTTCATTTGTGAGAAGTGGAAAACGATAAACAGATACCTTGAATATCGCTCGAATAGTCTTGAAATATAGCCCACTGTTAGCCCACCCACCAGTAAATAGCACTCCATTCACCAAGTCGAGCTTCTGCAGGTAGCAACGGTAACCAATTAAGCACCTCAATGTGCCCTCATCGGAAGAAAACAAAACGGAATCTTGAATATCATCCCTACAGAGTACTCAGTTCCCAGTACTCACCTCACTGTCTCCTTCCACTTACAAGAAATATCTCAGGTTATTAACATTCTGCTGTGTTCATTGCAACTTAACACTACCCCTGCTACTCTATACTCGCAGTCAAAACATTCACAAAAATTCCAGATAGTAGTAAAAATCGGATGATCATTTAAAAGAAGGAAGGCATGAATCATGAAACCTTAAGAAGCTTTTCCGGAGGCTCGGTGTAAATAAGGGGAATAACTCTCGCGCCGGCAGATTCAACGAATTTGACGTAGGAGGCAGCAATATAAGAAGCACTAGTGGCGTTTGTGAAGCTTCCGGAGTCGCCGTCGCCCGGGTGGCTGACTATCCCGATGACCGGTCGGTAGTAGAGGTCGGGGTCTGGGGCGGGGCAAGTGGAAGACGATCGTTGATTAGGCATGAAAATCCCGAAGTGAGCGTCAGCCGATCCAACACATCTCAAAAGGATGATCAGCGTCGGAATCCACATGTAGCTCCAGAAGCTAGTCATAGTGGTGGCAGGGGAGCTCCGGACGGCGTCTATCGCCATATCGGAGTAACCGGGGAGATTGACCTTCGGAAGCGCGAAAACAGCAACGATGAGATTAAAATAACTACCAGGTGACGACGAGTCGACGTTAATTGAGATATCCTAGGTGGTTGATGTAAAAGCTAAGAAGGTAAAGTTCGTTAACTTGATTATTTGCATTAAACAGTTTTTTAAAAATATTTTTATTAATTATATATATTAATTAGAATAATCACTCGATAGAATCTTTAACACAAAACTATGTTTTAAAAAAATAAATAAATATAAAAAGTAAAATAAATTAAAATTTTATATTTAAAATCAATTTAAAAAAGTAAAACTAACTTTTTGAATAAGTAGAACGTTACACTCAATCAATGTATGTGCATATTTATAGCTCATTCATTAAGATGGCGTCGTTAATCTAAAAGTTAGAAGAAATTTTAGTGCTTATCACAATGATGAGTACTATGATACTCTATGGTGATATCTAAATTATTTAAAATCAATTTTGATGGTTTAGATTTAAAATTTTCAACAAGTGATTTTTAAATAAAAATTTATTTTAAAAAAACTATTACAATTATTTTGGATTATGTACTTATTAGAAGAAAAATATTTTTTAAAAATTAAAATATTAAATATTAAATCTCAGTTGATTATGTTATATTTGAATTGTTTAGATTTGATGTTTAGATTTGATGAGTATCATGATGCTTATCACTATGACGAGCATTGAATCTGATTTTTAAAAGTTATGGGTCAACATGATGATCGGATATGGGGTTGAATGCTGGTGGCCGTGATTTTGGATTCTGACAATTATGCCAACCCTTGGATTCTGGATGGGATTTTCGTTTCTGAGAAAAAACTCTTTGCATTTTGTGCATTTTGGCTCTTTTTGTCCCATACTTCTCAAGTCAGCTTTCAAAAATCTCTTTTCTGGCTACAAGTTGGTTTTTGGTTTCATCATCTCCTTCTTCCATTCCCTCCCTACGCTCTGCTGCTTCTTTTTTTCCCCGTCAAAAGCTTTTCTTCCACTCTTCTTTTTCTTTCAATTTCATCTTCCATTAATTTTCTTTCCTCTTGCTTGTTTTTCTTCTTCTTTTTTTCTTTCTTGACTTAGGTTTCATTTTAATTCGTTAGTTTTATTGTAATCCTTTTAGCTTTTAAGAGACGAGAAAATTTTTCTAATTCTTAACATGTTAACAAAGATGTAATTTAATCAATTATTCAACTATATTGGTTAAGAATATTACAGATGTATTTGCTAGCTTTTTGAATGATTGGTGTTTTCCTTTTGTTGACAATATAATTTTTTGCATATTTTAAAAGTGAAAGAACTTTATTGTGCGTGCACTTCTAACCCTTGATTCATGCTTTAGAGTACAGGCGGGATGATGTGGTAAATAAGGTCAGCAACTTGTGTAAGCAACTTTTGGTTATGTCACCAATGAAATCCACCAAAGATTATGGTCGACAATTGATGACGCAGTGTAACTCGCGCAGGAAAAGACAAACGTAAATGTTGCAGATATTAAAATATCACTTGCTTACACACACGTACATAGCCTAAAAGCTACATAAATAATTAATAATTAATTAATAGATATTAATTAAATTAATTATTTACAATAAATAAATGTTATACTACTTTCGGTCCTAATTATAAAAGCTAGTTGACTAATTTGAGGAGATTAAGAAAGTAAGTTGAGTTAGTTATTTGTCCTAAATAGGTATTGACTAGAACTATCATTATTAGAAGGATTACTTTGAAAAAAATGTATAAATATGAAAGACAAAATGAATTAGGATCATATATTTAAGACCAAAATAAAAGTCAAATAAAGTCTTATATTAAGAACCAGAGATAGTATAATATACATTTGATTAAGGGTGTTTAGCAAATCCTATAAACACTTTTTAAAAGTACTTTAACACAAATCGATATAATTTTTATCACGTTTATTTTTTATATTGTAAAATTATTTTTAAAATTTGATTTTATCCAAATACTTTAATTTTCTTTGAGAAAATGTGGTTTTTGGGGCAACGCTAACACAATTTAGCTATTTCTCTGGACGAGCCATCTTCAACCACGCACTAAAATTTCAAAACGTAGCTTCTCGTATCGGAGATTCAAAAAGCACATGAAGAAGCATCATAACCTGATAACGAAGGGTCCATTACCTAGTAACACAACATTATTGTACAACAGCAAATTAAGATATCTATTTGTAGCCACCATCACACATTCACACAGACAGATCCATGTTGATTGACCTCTCTCCAGAATTCAGAAATGATTATGTGAAGATATAAACTTCATCGTATCCTCTACTGCAACAAGCATATAACAACTTGAGTCAGTGAATGATGAGTAAAGCAGAACATATAGATTTTAGTATCTATCTTTTGCATTCGAGGGCTTACCCAGCCCTCCCGCTATAAGTGGGCTGGTAATTGTAAATGAGATTGTCCAGCACTTCTTGTCCATCTGGTCTGGTCCTTGATTTCCTGGCTTCACTGAATGAAGAACCCAACATGTGTTAAAGTGTTTTTTTTTAAAAAAAAAAAACTTTATACATAATACTGCTACGTAGTAATACTATATTGGTAGGGCGGGGTGCTGAAGATATTATATTACGAGTCCTGACCTGACCAAAAAGTTTGCAGCTTGTTGAGTCACTAGAATGGCATCTTCTGTGTGTGGGATATTTTGATTTACGGCCCATTCAAAAGCATTTTTCTGTGACATATCATTTGTAAAATAAGTCATGTAACTGAAATGAACCATCTGAACAAAACCCTAAAGATAGAAAATAATAATAACAATAATAATGGAAAGAACATTGAGGGATCACCTCCGGGTGCCATTGGAAGCCAGTGACAGGGTAGTTCCGTGAGCGTACCGTGGATACATAAACCTAATACCGCAGTAACTGATGTTATTACATTTCATATATTCAGAATAGAAGATAACAAGAAGTGATGAATATACATTTAAAATAAATAAATAAAACAACAGATGACGCTCCATAATACCTTATCATGTTCATCTGTGCAAGTTGTCAAGATCTCAAAAAAGTCAGATAATTTTTCATTACGCCGGAGCCTTGCCGGAGATATGCCACACTGTCAAGTCCGGTGTTTAAAAAAAAAAAAAAACAGAAGAAGAAGAAGAAGAATTATACTCTGAATTTAAAGAAGAATCTCCATCTAATGGAAATTTATGTAATATTTTTATTTTAATAGATAAATAAATAAGTTATACAAAAACAACTAATAAGGAACAAAGAATTGAGACTTGAAGATGGTTGAAGACATGAAATGAACTATCCTATCTTCAGGGAACCTCCACTTAAAAATTACAGAACTTTCCATGCGGTTCCAGATCATCAGCAAGCATGTTGGGCTTTATAAAACTCAGTTTCCGCCTCCCTGATTTGGCGCATCAGTCTTATTATAACACCAAGATATCAGTTGTAGATGAAAAGGGTAAGAACAATTTATATGCGAGTTCTCACAGCACACTCAAAAAGAGTTTTCATAATACACAAAAGTCAGTGACAGAAATTTACTACTCACACGATGATTTTGCATGACAAGATAATCGGTGCTCAACTTCCTTAACAAGTCTGGAGGAAACCTGTGGTTGAAAGTGACCATCAATTTGCATATCTCATATCTGTGAGACCATGACTAGCTACGGACTTAATGAACTTAGAAATTCAAAACATGGATGATAAAAGACATCATAAATACTAATATCATAGATTAATTTCATGCCCTCTATAATGAAAGAGAAGCAGTAATGATAATAGTCCACATAGAAACAGGGAGTGGCAACTAAGGTTCAAAGCTGAGCTTCTAGAAAGTTAACCGAGACTGCAAACAGAGAGACAGGATAAGCCAGGTTTTCTTCAATTTATGGTAAAGTGCGAATGGCACAGATGACATGCGACAAATTTGAGCTCTGCAAACAGTTAATGGTGTTATGGGAAAATGGGCAAAGGGCTTAAATCTAGGATTCTATTTTAAACATTTTAACATTTATTTCGCATAAAGTTTGGAATAAAGCAGACTGCGCCATCAACATTTCAATATGTTAAACATATGGAAGTAGCAAACCCTGCGGTTCAATCAGCTTCAGAAACATAAAAAGCAGAATAGATTACGATCATCAACATTTACATGATAGAACTTCGTATGAGCAAACAATCCCACTTAAATACGAATTTAAGGGCAAACTTTGCGGTTGATTGTTTACCTTTGGAATAAAGATCCATTGAGGTTTTCTGTGAAAAAATCAAGCTTAGTTGCCTGATTTAATGCACTAAATCCTTCAAGTATATTGTGATCCTATTATCAAGGAAAACAGAAGCAATTCTTTAATTTTCTTTTTCCTAAAAAAAGGACTTCAAATGAAGAAGCAGACTTCAGAGCTCACAAAATATTCTTAGCATGCCATGAATGTTAGAAGAGGTAATGTTTCAACTGTCATGCGTCATGCTGTATATTTTTCTACATATTGCGTAAACCGTATCCAGTCTAAGAAAATTAGCCAGAAAGAAAATCTTGAGGCTACAATTTACCTCGTGAATTTTGAAATTTTAGTTTATATATTTACCCTGACTTACAATAGAAGATTGGATTCATCCACAGTTTAGTTTTTCCGGAAAGCGATCTAAGTTTGGACAGACAAAATCATTAAAAATAGAAATAGAGCCATAGGATGGCAAATTTACCTCGCTAACGATCATTGATATAAGTTCAAAACCCAAGCAGATGCCATATAGTGGGAAATGATTTCCACCATCGTTTTTCTCTAAAACTTTCTGCAGCAATTAGCGAAAAAGAAACAAACTTTTCAATCAAATTACAGTAACTTTCAAATGCACATTAGCAAGAATTAGAAATGGATAAGGATATATATATAGATATACCTTGAAGATTTTCTTGACAGTCTCAAAATATGATCCATTTTTGACCCAACCACCAGTAAAGAGCACCCCATTGACTAGCTCCAGCTTCTGCCATTAGAATGCAACACTGAGTTCTCAAACAAGCATCAAATAATCTTTGTTCTGTTGTACTATTACATACAAAGTCTTCAGAATAATTCTTATCGAGAATGTCGCATGAGAAAACGCTACTTTATTCGATTCATTCTAAAATCTGAACATAACCTTTTCGATTTCAAAACAGGTCAAGATAGTTTAAGAAATTCATTTCAATTCAGACCATTATATATTTATGTGTTAAAATATGTTGGTGCATATAATTACACATTTATGATTCATATTTTATGTTAGCCTAACTCAAGTTACTTAATCCAGTGAAATCTTGTACGGCAATTTAACTATTATTTATCTGAATTATTGTTAGAAATCACCCTTACATCATCAATCAAAATTTAATGGGGATAATCTACGCCTTACTATTCTCTATTTTGATAATTTTATTTTAGAATAAACACGATGGAAAACAAAAACAGTTTTTAGCTACTACATAAAAATCTGGACAAAAAAGTTATCACTCAAACTTTTTTAAAAAAAAAGGAAAAACAATTAGTGGTCAGCTATCAAATCGGATCTAAAGAATTTATAAGAAAATGTGCGCAAAAATCAAGATCCATTAGCTTGAAGATCTCCCAACATGAACCACGTAAACCGATCATTATTGGTGTTTGGTCCATTTCAAAAGTGTGTTTGTATAAACAACACTTCTCTCACACACACTTGCTTTGTATAACCTAAAATCAGTTAAAATCATGATTTAATTTCTATCAAACACCCTTTCAAGTTGAAAGATATTATTTTTTTGCCTCGTATGCATAAAAAATATTTTCACCGAAGAAAACATAATAGAAACCAAGCATTAGTTTCAAGTTTCAACTAATACCTATGTTATTAAAGGAAGATATAAAAATAAAAATACATCAACCATGAAGGTATGAACCATCTAACTAGTAACTACTATATTTTCATAATACATACCAGGATGAAGGAAAACTACTAGCACTTGTAGATCCACAAATAAAAATAATTATAACTCGGTAAGATGCACTGTTACTGTTTTTCACCGGAATATTTTTAGCGGGAACAAACAGGGAGGCCTAAGACCGTCTGTTTCTTCTTTTGGCTCCTGAGCTACGATGAAAAGCAGCAATGGGCGATACATACCTTAAAAAGAGCTTCGGAAGGCTCATTATAGATCAGCGGAATGACTCGAGCTCCGGCACACTCAACGAACTTGACATAGGAGGCGGCGATGTAAGAGGCATTGGTGGCGTTGCTGAGACGTCCGGAGGCGCCGTCACCGGGATGGGTGACAATTCCGATGACCGGACGATCGTACAAGTGTGGGTTGGGGGCGGGGCAAGAGGAAGACAGTTGAGGCAACCAGTCATCGTGGCATTGACTAGGTAGAAGAATGTCGTGAGCCTCACCAGGTCCAAAGCATATCAAAAAGGAAATCAGAATCGGAATCCGAATGTAGCTCAGGAAGGTGGTGGTGGTAAAGGAGGAGGAGCTCCGTACGACGTCGTTGGCCATGTGGGGGGAGGATTCTGGAGGAATGGGATCTATCATCTATGGGAATTCATGCTAGCGACCGCGGGGGTGTCCTGTAAAGGGGAAGCAGAGCTGAAAAGGGGCGGTTAGATAAGACACTCATGTGAACCAGCTCAATGAGTACATGTGCCAAATGTTACTTGGTGAATCAAACGAGTACCTAAGTCGTGACACAGTATGCAAATCAAGTGAAGATACTGATTGTTTTGAGAACTTGTATACCACAGAGTTCCTCAATACAATTAATAGCTCTGGATTGCCACCATACAAGTTGATCCTTAAAGTTGATACACCTATTATGATATTAAGGAATATCGATCAAGCAACAGGTTTATGTAATGAGACACGATTGATAGTGTCTCATTTAGGCAAGAATGTCATTGAAGGAGTAACTTTGAATAGGTGTGGTATAAGCCAAAAAGTCCTCTTACATAGGATGGATATGAATTCTTCAAAAAATAAATGGCCATTTCGTTTAAGGAGAAGACAATTTCCAGTAACTGTCATTTGCAATGACTATAAACAAAAGTTAAGAACAATCGTTAAGGAAGGTTGGGTTATATTAGACTAAGCCTGTTTTTTCACATGATCAACTTTATATTGTCTTATCTCGTGTCAAGTCAATCAATGGTTTGAAAATTGTGGTCAATGAGAATGGTGGATGCTGTCAAAATACAACAATCAATGTTGTTTATAGGGAGATATTTAATAACTTGCCTTGAGGTTTGTTTGCACGTTAATTTGTGTTTGATCCTACAATTTCAATGTTAACACTTTGTGAGGTAATTTTCATCCTACCAATACAAATGTTTTTTGATGCGACAAGTGACATCACTTTTTTAGTGTGACACAAAATTCCTGACTCAAGTGACGTTGTTGTAAATGAATGTGATATGTGTGATTGCATATGGCAACATTGTGTTATTCAGAATTTATGAAATGCACACGTGTTATGTGAGTATGTGGTATGAAATTCTCCCGTGCAAAGCACGAAGTTATATTATAAAAAGGTTCTTAAATATTTCACAATTAAAATAATAAAAAAAGTCACTGACACGCTGGTATGTTTCACTTTTATCAAAATGGCTCATTCCGGTGAATTGGAGCCTGCCAACGGTCCCCCATAAAAAGAGAATGTTTCTTTATTTTTTTTTTATTTAAATCACGGGCTGGGCTACGGGACATTTGTCTTTTTTTTTTTTTGGGGTTTTTATTAAGCTCTATCTATTATTTTGAAATTATTTTTTGCGTGCATTTAGCATTACATCTGGTACTTGAAATATTAAATTCGTGGTATATCTAATACTTAAAATATTTTTTTAAGTGCATCGAATAACATAAACTATTTTTTAGTATATTCAATACCCTAAAATATTTTTTTAAAGTGAGTTTAGCATCTAAAATTTTTTTTTAATTCAATACAAAAAAAAATTCAAAATACTGAAAGCATTTAAAAAAAATATTTTAGGATATTAAATATACTAAAAAACATTTTGAATAACCAAATATACCCGATAAAATATTTTGAGATGCCCTTTAACTTTTTGTTTTTAATAGGCTAGAAAACTGAATAACTAGCAGACATTTGGGATTTGTTGTCTTTGGTGGACTTTTTAACTTTCTAACTCATCATACATATTAACAAGTGCTTGTAAAGTATCAAGTAAAACAGTTGTTAATTCTCAAGAATCATAAATATATCCATAAAAATATAATTTCAATCATCCAAACCCTCACTATAAGGGCTAACACACAAGCCACATAAGTCTATCCCCTACTATGGGGATCAATCAGATGTATAGGCCTATCCCTCACTCTGGGATATGAATAAAAAGTCATAAAGGCTTATCCCTCACTATGAGAGATGAAGAAAGCCAACAAATGTGCATCAATGGTGGCCTTAACACATGGTAAAATATGACTTAACTCAAAATTCAAATCACAACCAATCATTCACAATATAATAAGAAATATCTCAATCTTTTCTCAATATATATCCATGAAACATAGATTATATATTTTTCCAAATGGTTCAATCACAATTCCAAAAGTCTTATAAGATGAATTTTTATAACCCAAAAAGTATAACATATCTCTTTGACTTTCAAATAAACATCATTATTCCAAAATAGTAAAATACTTACAAACAACATATTAGCATATATAGCAAGTAGAAAGTGGTTACCTCTCGCCAAATCAATGGTAAGGATTACCACAAGGTCAATCCTTTACTCAACCAATAATTAATCTACACAATTAATATAACTATATATTAATATAAGCTAATTAATTAATTAAGCTTGTATATATTAGTTAAAATTTTAATTTAATTTAATTTTTATTCTAAATTTTTGTAACTCTCATAACCCAAAATTAAGTATTTTTGAACTAACTTATAATTTTCTCACAAGCCAAATTATTTATTTACATCCTCTGGGATTATTTACTTTAATAAAAAAAATTCAAAATTTTCAAATATGAAATTATTATGTTTTAAATTCTAAAAATCTCATTTAGAGTTTAAACTTCAAAACCAAACTATTAAAAATTCAATAGTACCTCAAATATTTATAAATAAATAATCTAAAATGGTATAACTATTGTATAAATATATATTTTTTCATAAATAATAATTTTTTAGCTAAAATAATTATTTAAAACTTCTAATCACCCCATAAAGAAAAATAAACCAATTAAAATCTCAATAATATATCAAACAATCCAAATAAATTATTTAAATTAAATTTAATTGGTAAAAACATGATATATGCCATATATAACATATTGTTTAAATAAATAAATTAATTTAAATATTAAAAACTAACAAATGGGCAAATCTAAATAGACTAAAATTAACTACTCATTCATCTCCAAATTTCTATAATCATCTATCATCAAAACTCAATACTCACATCATATATAAGTCTCAAAATTTTCTCTAATTACTATAATAATATTATCATTAGAAAGCTTAAAATACATAGAAAATATTCATGAAGAAAGTTTGATGAAAAGAAGTAATTTTATATACCTAAATTATCTTCAAAGCTTGCCTTCTTCTTTATTAGTCTGCTCCTCTCTCTCTCTGACACTATTTCTTTCTTCCTCTCTTGCGCACAGAGAAAACCGAATTGTGGAGGTATATTTAACACCCCACACATTTATTAGGGGGAGTTTCCCCCTAATAAATTCTCTCCCAACTCCCAACTCCCAACTCCTCACCGAAAATTTGGTGGAAAGTAGGCTCTCTCTTTTTTTTGGTTTAAATAAAATATTATTATTTTATTATAATAAAATATTATTTTTGCTATTATTTTTTTTTATAAATCCTATAATAAAATTTAAAATATTACAGGTTTTATATTTAAGACTAATTTAAAAATCAAACTAATTCTTTGAGCTTGTAGAATATTAATGCAATTTAGGAAGACCCAATCAATTCAAATATTGGATTTTTCAATTGAGAGAGATAAAAAAAAATTCTCACTATTTTTTAGATTTATGGATCCAATTTACTTCAATGGACGTTTCATTCACTTTGTTTTTTTCCCCATACACAATCAAGGTATGTGCATATATATGTATATGTACATATATAAGCTCATTAATGAAGATGGCATTGTTTATCTAAAAGTTACGGGTCAACCTAATCATCAGATTAAATAATAAATGGTTCAAATTTAATATTTTATAAAATAGATATCCACCTTCTCTTTTATTTATATAATAATATAATAATTTTATAAAATATGAAATATGAATCATTTATTATTTGATCGAAGTTGATTGAAGATAAAATTTTGAGAAGAAAAAGATTGGGGGGAATTATGAGATTGTCTCCTCCCGTGTTGAATGCTGGTGGACGTGATTTTGGACTGTGACAACTATCCTAACCCTTGGATTCTGGATGAAAATTTTCGTTTCTGAGAAAAAACTCTTTGCATTTTGTGCATTTTGGCTCTTTTTGTCCCATACTTCTCAAGTCAGCTTTCAAAAATCTCTCTGGCTACAAGTCGGTTTGGTTTCATCATCTCCTTCTTCCATCCCATCCCTAGGCTCCACTGCTTCTTTTTTTCCCCGTCAAAGTTTTTCTTTCACACTTCTTTTCCTTTCAATTTCCTCTTACATTAATTTTCTTTCCTCTTGTTTGTTTTTCTTCTTTTTTCCTTTCTTGACTTAGTTTTCATTTTAATTCGTTAGTTTTATTATAGTCATTTTAGCTTTTAAGAAACGAGAAAAATTTTCTAATTCTTAACATGTTAACAAAGATGTAATTTAATCAATTATTCAGCTATGTTGGTTAAGAATATTACAGACGTATTTGCTAACTTTTTACATGCTAGGTGTTTTCCTTTTGTTGATAATATTTTGCATATTTTAAAAGTGAAAGAACTTTATTGTGCGTGCACTTCCAAACCATTGATCCATGTTTTAGAGTACAGGCGGGATGATAATAAGATCACCAACTCGCGCGAGCAACTTTTGGTTATGTCACCAATGAAATCCACTAAAGATTATGGTCGACAATTGATGACGTAGTGGAGCCCGCGTAGAGGAAAAGACAAACATAAATGTTGCAAATATTAAAATACTTCTCGGGTACTCAATTTTTGATTTTAAATATGAAACTTATTTTTTATATTTATTAATTTTTTCTAAATTAACTTTATAGATACTCCTTCAATAATAATCAAGTAGAAGAGAAAGAGAAGGTATTAAGAAAGATGATTATGGTATTTTAGAAAAAACGTGTCATATTTCTTATAATTAACTAACTTATCTAACTTTCTTAATCTAATCAAATTAGTTAAATAATTCTTATATTAAGAATTAGAAGAGTATTATTTGCTTATACATACACACATGCCTAGCCTAAAAGCTATATAATTAATTCTTAAATATAAAATAAATAAATTAAGTTAATTATTTATAACATCATCTTGCCTGATATACATTTGTTAATCGTGTCCATAAAAATTCATTAACATGAGTAATAACCATAAAAATTACTTGAAGGTAAAATAAATAATATTAGAGACAAAATAAATTAAAATTTGAGATTTTATATTTAAAATCAAATTAAATAGCTCTTGTATTAAAAACCCAAAGTAGTATTTATTAATAATTTTATGTAAATTATAAAAAATTAGTTATTTCCCGTATTAAAAAGTTGTTTGAATAAAAATTATTCGTTCAAAAGCTTTATTTAATGTTATAAAAATTTATAAATTGTTAAAATATTAGATAAAAAAATTATGACTTTAAAAAAATATATCGAGTATTAAGAAACATGTTAGAAGCTAATTAAAATTGGAGGGAGTACATAAAAATTACGGCACCATAATAGAACAAGAAGACTTGTCGAAGACCACGTTTTGATGGGATGTTTAGATAGAAACCAAACTATGGTTTTTAGAAGTGTTTTTACGATTTATGAAGTAAATATGTGAATGAGTTTACCTCATTTTGTCAAAAAGTGCTTTTGAAAAGCACTTTTGAGAGTTGCCAAACTTTTCCTAAAAAAGGGTGTTTGAATGAAACCAAATCATGGTTTGGAGAATAGCTTTTGGAGAATAGATTTTGGAGAGAATAGATTTTGTGAAAAATAGACTTTATAAAAAAAATGATTTTGAAAAGTGAGAGTGTTTGGATAGTTATTATGAGAGACACTTTTTATATATACAAATTACTAAAAAAATTATACATTAATATGATAATCACATAAAAGATAGATTTTATCATATATTTTAATCTGAAGGAATAAAATTGTTAATAATATATTTTTTACCAATATAATTAATAATATATAAGATAATATAATTTATAAATAATTAATATATGTATATGTTTATAATATAAGATTAAATATGTTTATAAAAAATAATTGAGGGGTATTAAAGTCATATTATTATTGAGATCTATTTTGACAGACACAATCATACTCTCTAATTTGAGCCAAAAACAGGATGAATTCAATTCTCATGAAACCATAGTTTTGGACTCTAAAACCATTGTTTCAAAAAAAAAAATTTTGGTTGCCCATCCAATTTATCAGAGTTTTGCTCCAACTACATCTAGATCCGACCCACGTCGCGCACTTGGTTATGGCGAGTGAGTCTCTAAACGAGAATTTCTGCATACGCTGTGACTCGAACTCAAAACCTCACTTAAACGGTACCAAGCTGCTTCCCACTTAGACCTACCTCCGTTGGTTATTGCTCCAAAATTGATACTGTTTGAGTGACATTCCATCCAAAACATGATTTTGCCTCGCAAACCATCGTTTTGGAGGACACCCAAACAGGCCCCAACACAATTTGGCTATTTCCTTGGACGAGCCATCTTCAACCACGCACTAAAATTTCAAAACATAGCTTCTCGTATCAGAGATTCAAAAAGCCTGTGAAGGAGCAGCACAACCTGATAACGAAGGGTCCATTACCTAGTAATACAACAAATTACGATATTCATTTGTAGTATACAACATTATTGTACAACAGCAATTATGATATTCATTTGTAGCCACCATCACACACGCACACACGCACACACGGGGATCCATGTTTGATTGACCTCTCTCCACAATTCAGAATGATTATGTGAAGATATAAACTTCATCGTATCCTTTCCTGCAACAAGCATATAATAACTTGAATCAATGAATGATGAGGAAGGCAGAAAATATAGATTTTAGTATCTATCTTTTGCATTCGGGGGCTTACCCTGCCTTCCCGCCATAAGTGGGCTGGTAATTGTAAATGAGATTGTCCAGAACTTCTTGTTCATCTGGTCTGGTCCTTGATTTCCTAGCTTCACTGAATGAAGAACCCAACATGTGTTAAAGTGTTTTTTGTCAAAACAAATTGTACATAATACTACTACGTAGTAAAATTATATTGCTAGTGCGGGGTGCTGAAGATATTATATCACGATTCACGAGTCCTGACCTGACCAAAAAGTTTGCAGCATGTTGAGTCACTAGAATGGCATCTTCTGTGTGTGGGATCTTTTGACGTGCGGCCCATTCAAAAGCATTTTTCTGTGACATATCATTTGTAAAATAAGTCATGTAACTGAAATGAATCATCTGAACAAAACCCTAAAGATAGAAAAATAATAATTACAATGGCAAGAACAATGAGGGATCACCTCTGGGTGCCATTGGAAGCCAGTGACAGGGTAGTTCCGTGAGCGTACTGTGGATATATAAACCTAATACCGCAGTAACTGGTGTTATTACATTTCATATATTCAGAATAAAAGATGACAACAAGTGATGAGTATATATTTAAAAATAATAATTAAACAACAGATGACCCTGCATAATACCTGATCATATTCATCTGTGCAAGTTGTCAAGATCTCAAAAAATTCAGATAATTTTCCATTATCCAGAAGCCTTTCCGGGGATATGCCGTACTGTCAAGTCCAGCATTAAAAAAAAAAAAAAAAACTCTGAATTTAAAGAAGAACCCCAGCAAATGAACATTTATGTAATATTTCTATTTTAATAGATAAATAATTAAGTTATAAACAACAACTAATAAGAAGAAAAAAAGAATTGAGACTTGACGATGCTTGAAGACATGATATGAACTATCCTATCTTCGGGGAACCTCCACTTAAAAATTACAGAACTTTCCATGCGGTTCCAGATCATCAGCAAGCATGTTGGGCTTTATAAAACTCAGTTTCTGCCTTCCTGATTTGGCGCATCAGTCTTATTATAACACCAAGATATCAGTTGTAAATGAAAAGGGTAAGAACAATTTATATGCGAGTTCTCACAGCACACTCCAAAAGAGTTTTCATAATACACAAAAGTCACTGACAGAAATTTACTACTCACATGATGATTTTGCATGACAAGACAATCGGTGCTCAACTTCTTTAACAAGTCTGGAGGAAACCTGTTGTAGAAAGTGACCATCAGTTTCCATATCTCATATCTATGAGACCATGACTAGCTACGGACTTAATGAACTTAGAAATTCAAAGCATGGATGATAAAAGACATCGCATGTAAATACTAATATTATAAATTAATTTCATGCCCTCTACAATGAAAGGGAAGCAGTAATGATAATGGTCCACAAAGAAAGAGGGAGTGGCAACTAAGGTTCAAAGCTGAGCTTCCAGAAAGTTAACCGAGACTGCAAACAGGGAGAGGAGATAAGCCAAGTTTTCTTCAATTTACGGTAAAATGGGAGTGGCACAGATGACATGCGACAAAATTTGAGCTCTGCATACAGTTAATGGTGTTATGGGAAAAAGGGCAAAGGCCTAAATAGGCTTCTATTTCAAACACTTTAACATTTATTTCGTATAAAGTTTGGAATAAAGTTGACTGCGATATCAACATTTCAATATGTTAAACATCTGGAAGTACCAAATCCTGCAGTTCAATCAGCTTCAGAAACATAAAAAGCACAATAGATTATGATCATCAACATTTATCTGATAGAACCTCGCATGAGCAAACAATCCCACTTAAACTACGAATTTAAGAGCCAAATTTGCGGTTGATTGTTTACCTTTGGAATAAAGATCCATCGAGGTTTGCATTTTTGAAAAAATCAAGCTTAGTTGCCTGATTTGATGCACTAAATTCCTCAAGTATATTGTGGTCCTATTATCAAGGAACAGAAGCAATTCTTTAATTTTCTTTTTCCTTTTAAAGAGGACTTCAAATGAAGAACCAGACTTCAGAGCTCACAAAATATTCTTAGCATGCCATGAATGTTAAAAGAGGTAATGTTTCAACTGTCATGCGTCATCCTGTATGTTTTTCTACACATTGCGTAAACCGTACCCAGTCTAAGAAAATTAGCCAGAAAGAAAATCTTGAGGCTACATTTTACCTCGTGAACATTTTGAAAGTTAGTTTATATATTAACCCCCGCCTGACAATAGAGGATTGGATTCATCCACACGGTATTAATCTTCAGGAAAGCGATCTAAGTTTTAACAAACAAAATCATTAAAACATAGAATAGAACCATAGGATGGCAAATTTACCTTGCTAACGATCATTGATATAAGTTCAAAACCCAAGCAGATGCCATATAGTGGAAAATGATTTCCACCATCGTTTTTCTCTAAAACTTTCTGCAGCAATTAACGAAAAAGAAACAAACTTTTCAATCAAATTACTAGTAATTTTCAAATGCACATTAGCAAGAATTAGAAATGGATAAGGATACATATACCTTGAAGATTTTCTCGACAGTCTCAAAATATAATCCAGTTTTGGCCCAACCACCAGTAAAGAGCACCCCATTGACTAACTCCAGCTTCTGACATTAGAATGCAACACTGAGTTCTCAAACAAGCATCAAATAATCTTTGTTCTGTTGTACTATTACATACAAAGTCTTCAGAATAATTCTTAATAAGAATGTCAAATAACGAAAACGCTACATTATTCGATTCATTCTAAAATTTGAACATAACCTTTTCGATTTCAAAACAGGTCAAGATAGTTTAAGAAATTTAGTTTCATTCAGACCATTAGATATTTATGTGTTAAGATATGTTGGCGCATAAAATTACACATTTATGATTCATATTTTATGTTAGCCTAACCCAAGTTACTTAATCCAGTGAAATCTTATACGGCAATTTAACTATCATTTATCCGAATTATTGTTAGACATCACCCTTCCATCATCAATCAAAATTTAATGAGGATAATCTACGTCTTATTATTTTCTATTTTGATAATTTTATTTTAGAATAAACACGATGGAAAACAAAAACTGTTTTTAGCCACCACATAAAAATCAGGACAAAAAAGTTATCACTTAAATTTTTTTTAAAAAAAATGGAAAACTGATCATCGGAGGGTATTTGGTCTATTTTAAAAAGTGTTTTCATATAAATCAAAACAACATACTTACTTAGGTATAACTTAAAATTACTTTTAAAATTATGATTTGATTTTTACCAAACACCCTTTTAAGTTAAAAAGATATTATTTTTTGCCCTGTATGCATAAAAAATATTTTCACTGAAGAAAACATAATAGAAAATAACCATTACTTTCAAGTTTCAACTAATACCTATGTTAATTAATTAAAAGTAAGATATAAAAATAAAAATACATCAACCATGAAGGCATGAACCATCTAACTAGTAACTGCTATCTCTGATCCTTAATATAAGACCTTGTTTAACTTTTATTTTGGTCTTAAATATAATATCCCAATCTATTTTGTCTCTCATATTTATACAATTTTTTCTAAGATAGTCTTTTTAATAATATAATTTTAGCTAACACATTTGATTAATAAAGATACTTTAGGAAAAACAAAACCTATTTATTACAAATAACTAACTTAACTTGTTTTTTTAATTTTTTCAGATTAGTTAACTAACTCTTATAATTAGAACCGGAAGTAGTATTATATTTTCGTAATACATTTCAGGATGAAGGAAAACTACTAAGGGGTGTTTGTATTATGCTAAAAATGCTTTTTAAAAGTATTTTTTATAAATTGAAACAAACTCCTTTATATATTTATTTAGTATGCTATAAAAATACTTTTAAACTCATAATTTTGCTTTTATCCAAGCACCTCTTAACACTTGAATGACGCACATAACTCAGTAAGATGCACTGTTATTGTTTTTCACCAGAATATTTTTGGCGGGAACAAACAGGGAGGCCTAAGACCGTTTGTTTCTTCTTTTTTGGCTCCCTAGCTACGATGGAAAGCAGCAATGGACGATACACACCTTAAGAAGAGTTTCGGAAGGCTCATTATAGATCAGCGGAATGACTCGAGCTCCGGCAGACTCAACGAACCTGACATAGGAGGCGGCGATGGAAGAGGCAGTGGTGGCATTGCTGAGACGTCCAGAGGCGCCGTCACCGGGATGGGTGACAATTCCGATGACCGGGCGATAGTACAAGTTAGGGTTGGGTGCGGAGCAAGTGGAAGACAGTCGAGGCAACGAGTAATTGTGGCGTTGACTAGGTAGAAGAATGTCGTGAGCCTCAGCAGATCCGAAGCATATCAAAAAGGAAATCAGAATCGGAATCCGAATGTAGTTCCGGAAGGTGGTGGTGGAGAAGGAGGAGGAGCTCCGTACGACGTCGTCGGCCATGGTGGGGGAGGATTGTGGAGGAATAGGATCTATCATCTATGGGAATTCATGCTGGCGACTGTGGGGGTGTCCTAAAAAGCGGAAGCAGAGCTGAAAAGAGGCGATTAGATAAGACATTTCACTATTAAAAGTAATAATAAAAAAAGTACTGACACGCTGGTATTTTTCACTTTTGTCAGAATGGCTGGCTCTGGTGAATTGAAGCCTGCGCACAGTCCCCCATAAAAAGAGAATGTTTCTTTTATTTTTTTTTATTTAAATCACGTGCTAGGCTACGGGGCATCTGTTTTTTTAGGGGGCTTTTTATTAAGCTCTATTTATTAGTTTAAATTTTTTGAGTGCATTTAACATTGTAAAAAAATTTGTGATACATTTAGTACCTGAAATATTAAATTTGTGGTATATCTAGTAAATATTTTTTTTTAAAATGCATCGAGTAATATAAAATATTTTTTGACAAATTTAACATCCTAAAATATTTTTTAAATGAGTTTAGTATTTAAAATATTTTTTTGTATATTTCGTATAAAAAATTTTTTCAAAATACTGGACAAACTTGAAAAATGATTTTTTTTATACTAAATACACTATAAAATATTTTGAAACACTGAATATACCCAATAAAATATTCTGAGGTACCCATTAACTTCTTTTTTTTAATAGGCTAGAAAACTGAATAACTAGCGGGCATTTGTGATTTGTCGTGTTCGGTGGCCTTTGGGCTTTCGACCAGACAAGATGAGGGGCGATGGGCGGAGAGAGCCTAGGGCTATGCGTGGGGTCCACCGGTGTTCTGCATATTAGAATTTATTTGGGCTTACAGATAAATTCTGGGCCCGTTACTTTCACTTTTGGGCCAAACCTTTAATAACTTCCGTTGGTTGAAAATATAAATTTCGCATATTTTAAGGTTGAAAAGGTCATAAAACCTGATTGTTTGTGCAGTTTTAAATTACTGATTCATCTTTTAACTGTTTTGATGAGTTCATGCTCTGGAGTACGTACAGGCCTGACTGATGATCTCATAAATAAGATAAGCAAACTTGTGTTAGCAACTTCCGCTCATCTCATCAATAAAATCCACCAAAGATTATGGTCTAGAATTGATGACGACGTACGTAGTGCAACTCGCGTAGGAAAAAAAACAAACATGCTGTGAATAATGTTGCAGATATATAGTAGGATCATACCAGGAACAGAATAATAATTCATCAGCAACACATGTTGATAGGATTACCGTAGTACAATAATAAGACTCGTTTGAAAAAACACATTAATATCTGTTCCTCTCGAATCGACGAGCCACCCTTAACCACTCACTAAGATTGCAAGACACAGCTTCTCGTACTAGAGATTCAGCTAAGGCTGAAACTACATGAAGGAGGAGCGTCATATATAACCTGATTGATAACGGGGGGCCCGTTAATATTACAACGTTATTGTAGAGTAGCGATTGTGATATTTATTTGTAGCCACGACGACACATTCACACACACAGATACGTGTTGATTGTGGAAATGATTATGCGAAGATATAAACTTCATCGTATCCTTTCCTGCAACAAGCACATGACAATTTTTACATCAGTGAATGTTAAGCAGAACATAGTTTAGTATCTACCTTGTTCATGAGATTGCGTTATTATGGGCTTACCCTGCTTTCCCGCCATAAGTAGGTTTGTGATTGTAAATGAGATTGTCCCGCACTTCTTGTTCATCTGGTCTGGTCGACGATTTCCTACCTTCACTGAATGAAGAAACAAACGCGTTTTAAGTGTTTTTTTTTTTGTGCCTTAAAAATCATACATAATAATGCTAATACCTCCATACTTTAATATGAGAGTTAGTTTAACATCTTCAATCCATTTTGTCTCTTATATTTATCTATTTTTTAAAGATAATCCTTATTAAAAAGTAATTCTAGCTAATACACATGATTAGCTCTATTTATTACAAATAATTAACTTTAAAAACTTTCTTAATCTACTAATCTATTCAAATTAGTTAACTAATTTTTCTACTACTTCCGGTCCTAATTATAAGAGCCAATTGACTAATTTGAGAAGATTAAAAAAGTAAGCTGAGTTAGTTATTTGTTCTAAATAAGTATTGTCTTTCCTAAAATATCCTTACTAATTAAGTATATTGACTAAAACTATCATTGTTAAAAGGGTTACTTTGGAAAAAAAAGTATAAAGATAAGAAACAAAGTGGATTGAGATTTTATATTTAGAACCAAAAAGTCAAACACAATCTTATATTAAAGACGGGAAGTTGGTATGTATTAGTAGACTGGGGTTCTGAGGATATCGTATTATGAGCCCTGACCTGACCAAAAAGTTTGCAGCATGTTGAGTCACTAGAATGGCATCTTCTGTGTGGGGGATCTTTTGACGTTCGGCCCATTCAAAGGCATTTTTCTGTGACATGTCATACGTCGAACAAGTTAATTATGTCACTGAAATGAACCATCTGAACAAAACCCTAAAAGAAAATATAATGCAAAACACATTCAGGGATCAGTCACCTCTGGGTGCCATTGGAAGCCAGTGACAGGGTAGTTCCGTGAGCGCACTGTGGATACATAAACCTAATACCGCAGTAATCTGATGTTATTACGTTTCATATATTCACACTAAAAGATGACAACAAGTGATGAATATGTTTTTAAGGAAAAAAAAAATAACAGACGACACTGCACAAATATACCTGATCGTATTCATCTGTGGAAGTTGTCAAGACGTCAAAAAAACTAGATAATTTTTCGTTACCCAGAAGCCTTTGCGGGGATAGGCCATACTGCCAAGTTCAATATCAGAAAAAGATCATACTCTGTAGTTCCGGAAGGTGGCGGTGGAGGAGGAGAGGCTGCTCCGTACGACGTCGTTGGCCATGTTGAAGGAATCAGAGTTATGAGGATACACGGTGGTGACTAGTGACCAGGGGAGTGAGGGTTATTATATAGGGAAAGCAGAAGATTTTTTACCCCAAGGGATGACTACAGTCGTCAAAACGGGCTAAGTCTATCGGGCCAATCCTTTTAAATCATTTTAAGTGGAGGGTCGGGTTTGTATTTTAGGTGGTTTAGAAGGAAATTGATTTTAAAAAGGCTAGCCTTATAGGGATCAAAAATAAAAGGGCCAACCCTTTAGGACTAAGGGCTAGCCCTTTTAAGCCCGCCTATTTTTTTATTATTATCAATATATTTATAAAGTTATAGATTAGTCTTTTATGAATAAGTTTAAATTAGAAAAATACTTAGAAGAATCAATACTCAAGCTAGATAATTGAAAAAAATTAGATGTCTTGGACTTGTGGAAGAACAATTAAAATCAATTTTCAATTCTTTCAAGAATGGTAGCTGATATTCTTAACATTTTAATCACCATAATAGCTAGTAGATCTTCATTTACTATCATTTTACATATCTTAACAAAGTGTAAAACTTTTCTTATTCAAACAAATGTTCAGGCTCTTATTTGTACTTATAACTATGCATAGTTTTATTTTAGATAAGGTAAATGAAGACAAAAACCTTAATATTTTTATCACTGAAGAAGAGCTCACTTGTAGTAAAGAACAATCAAATATTACTAATCTTGATGATACTGATGAAGATGAAGATAAAGATAATAATTATGTTGATATTGTTAATCTTTAATTGTGAGGTTTTATCTTTCTGTTTTTTGTGTTTTGTTAGATTTTGATTTTTTTTATTTTGGACAATAGTTTATTGGCATTTAATTTTTTTTCTATACACCACTAATTTATTTTACTTATATTTATAATTTGAGTAAAAAATCTTAGAAGTTTTGTTGTTTTATTTTTATTTTAAAATAATTAAAAAGAATTTAAATTTTAAAAAATAACATTAAAAAGGGCCAGCCCTTTTAAGCTATGAGCCCGCATGTTTAAGGGCCGGGCTTTAATAATTAGATAATTTTAAGGTATGTGGGCTTTAAAAGACCGGTCTTTTTAGGCCCTGGCCCTTCAACGGCTAGGCTTTTAGGGCCGGGTTGGCCCTTATTGACAGTTCTAGGGATGACCAACCTGACACGTGTCACGTAATGACCGAAGAGAAGACCCCGACACTTGTATCACGTTATCACCGTTCTGTGGTCCTGGTGATGGGATTCTGCGAAAAAGCTGAACGTCTTGCTTTCTTTCTTTTTCTCGTCTTAATTTTAAACTGTGGTTTTTTTTTTGTTGACAACTCAATTCACCAGGTTTTATTCTGATTAAATTTAGATCTGACCCGCGTCGCTTATCTGGCTGTGGTGGGTGAGTCTCCTAACAGAAATTTCTACAGAATTGAACTTAAAACTTCACTTAAGCAGTACTAAACGGTTTATTATTTGGACCAACCCCGTTGGTTAAACTGTGGTTTTTGAATCACGTGGATTAATTCCAAGGGCAATATTTGTCATGTTTCGACTTTGGGCTTTGGACCAGAATAGACAGGATATGGTGCGTGGGGTCCACCGGCTTTTGAGTTCCGGAAGCTATCATATTTGGGCTTACAGCGAATACTGGGCCTGTCACTTATACTATTGGGCCGAAGTTCCGTATTCGGTAAGATTTTTTACCACAAGTGATTACCGACCTGACACATGTCATGTCATCACCAACCTGTGGGCCCATGCAACAGCAATTCAAAAACTATAGGACGCAATAATGCAGCTTCATTATTTCGTCTTTATATAAATAATAATTATAAAGCAGCTAAATTATGGTTTTTACTCTGACAAAAAGAATGCTGTTACGTGCCAAGTTGCACATGTGTTGGTATGAGTGCCAATCACAACAGAAGCTCTAACAGTAGTTATTATTGTAATTAGATAATTAATTTGTAAATATTAAAAAAAGTGTTAAATTAATTATTAGTACTAAAATCAGATCTTATAAATAGGATTAGAGGTAGTGTATGATAATAAGCAATAAACCTACATGTATATATGTGCTACATGCTTGTGCGGTTTAAATATTGTCTATGAGGCTTATATTCTGTGTGATTCAGAGAAAGAATTGTTAATCACGATTGATTAGCTTTTATTTAGTAAAGTACGTCTAACAAAAGTCTAACAAAAATCAGAAAAATAAACATATCGTCTCTGAAAATATTGAGCCAGAATGTAATGGCTTACCAAAATCAATTGTGGAAAGTTGATACAGTTATTGGAGCTCTTATTAAGATCACAAAAGATAAAAAATTGTGTGGTACTAAAATTATTTATTGTAAACTTGTATTAAAAGGGTTGGATTAGTTAGTCAGAAATGATTTTACCGTATATAAGATAAGTTTGTGAGAAAAGTTATATCTAAAACTTATGTTGAAAGTACTTTCTTTAAGTGTTTATAGTGTTTTTTAACTACCTTCTAAATTGTTTCTGATAAGTGAAAATAAGACTAAGGATGAGGTATTAAATGAGCATATAAATTTGTGCAATTCCACTATGACCTGAACTAACCTACTTAGAAATTTACCTATTTTAAAACTTCGATTGAATTTAAAATAAAATTTCTGAAAATAGATCAAATAAGTATGAAATTTACGTAACACCACTGCTAAAATGGTCCGACCCCACTAAAAAAAAAGAGAGAGAATTACCAAGGAGTCTTGTGGAAAAAATTTAATCATCAAAAAGTTCTAATAGCCTGAACTTATTGTTATTTCTTACTTTAAAATTTATTATTGTTTATTCTTCACTTGTCTATAAACTTTAAGATATAATTAAATGCCACCTTTGAGACTTGATTGTAATTCATCCCTAAAAAAGTTCAATTATTTTAGACTAAGTTGCTTGAAATTTTCTTTTTGAAAAATCACTCTGCTATAAGTGAGTCCTTTGGACTGGATGGTCCTTGACCGACCAGCCAATTTGATTCCAGCACATACTCCCCATTCAATTTTGTGAATCTCCAATATAATAACGACACCCCTAAACCCACTTAATTGGCTTAACAATATTAAATTCTTTCATCATTTGTCTTCGAAATGACAAGAACAAGACATGATTGTCACTTTGTTACAAGGAATTAAGCATGCTTGATCTCTCCGATCCCATAAACCTTTGGTCCACAATCATCTTCCACTAGCCTTATATATAATATTTTCTCTTGGCTTTAAGGTGGAAAGGAGAAGGACGTGATTAATTTAATCCTTCTTTGGCTAAAGCTTCATTATTAATAAAATTACGCAATATCAAACTTTTGCCACAACATTGACATGTTTACTCCATTAACTTTAAATAATATTAATCATCTTTCACTTGATTATTCTCTACTCACTTCAGTTTACTAATATACTTATCTAATTTTATTTATTAGACACTTTTAATAAGTTTTACTGAAATTAAAAAAAATGTTACTTTTATTCACTATATCTTAAAATTCAATAACTTTCTAATTTTACTCATATTTAATATATATACACTTTATATTTTAATGACTAGTTCCCATTAATAGTAATAATATGTATTATTATACGTTCATATGAAAAATTTAATCATATAACTAAAAATTACCCGCTCACTTTGTCTTATAAATGATACTAAAGGAATAATAATAATAATAATAATAATAATAATAATAATAATAATAATAATAATAATAATCTATTTTTATGTATGTATTTATGCGTGATAGTCACCTCTCTGAAAACCTTTCTTCTTAACTCTTCTTCATCTTAAATCTTAAACATCATTAATCCTTATCCAAAATATGCCAAAAAGATCCTTCTAGATCATAGATTTTCATTCGTAAAAGAGGCATTGAAGTGGAACTATTTCATAATGCTAATTAAGCCCCACTTACTTAATTTGTATGTTACGTAGAACCCCATTTAGCTTCCTGGAATTAGTGTCAAAATAGAAAATCTCATAAATGAAATTATCAGTACGCACATATACTACCTCCAATTCTTAATATAAGATCTTATTTGATTTTTATTTTAATCCTAAATATAAGATCTCAGTTCACTTTATCTCTTATATTTATCTCTTTTTTTCTCAAGATAATTCTTCTAATAATGGTAATTCTAATTAATACATTTGATTGGTAAGGATATTTTAGGAAAGACAACACCTATTAATTACAAATAATTAACTTAATTTATATATTTAATCTACTCAAATTATTCAATTAGTTTTTATACTTAGGACTAAAAATATTATAGAATTATAGAGATCAATAATCAATCACATCAAGTTATTCTTCTAATCCATTTCAAATGGCACCAGATGTGATCTCCCATCACCCCTTGTCATCAACTATAGTCATAGATTTTATTTTATTACTACTTCCGGTCCTAATTATAAGAGCTAGTTGACTAATTTGAGGAAATTAAAAAAAGAAGTTAAGTTAGTTATTTGTAATAAATAGGTAGTGTCTTTTTTAAAATATCCTTACTAATCAAATGTATTGGCTAGAACTACCATTGTTAGAAAGACTATTTTAAAAATATATATAAATATGAGAGACAAAGTGAATTAGAGTCTTATATTCAGAACTAAGATTGTAACATACAAAATAATAATAATAATAAATAATATAATATGTTATTAAAATAATATTTATTAGTTTAAAAAAAAAACCCAACCACCCTTTTTCTACGGAGAGTGGAAAATGGGATGGTAATTAATGCAAAGGAAAAGAAGGGCGAGGGACAACTGAAGAGAAATAGGATAAGGCGTAGGTAGTGAAAAGTTGGGGGTAATTGACCAAGAGAAGAATATTGGGGGAAATGAAAGGAGAATTTGCGGGAGGAGTAGTAAATGATAGAAGAAAAAGAAAGGGGGAAGGTACGGATGGAAGAGGAAAATGGGAGATGGGCGGTAGAAAATCAGACATGGGGGTATTATATATATCATCATTCAAGTTATTTCTTTCAAGCCAGAGCAAGAGAGAGTGGGAGAGAGAGAGAGAGAGAGAGGAAGAAAGCAAAATCAAGAGAGTGGAAATACATGTTGTTTGGAAGATAAGGAAAGATTTTATGATCATTTAGGTACACAAAACTACTTCTTCTTGTCAAATTTTCTTTATAAATATTTCCTATATATTTATAGCTTTATATTATTAGTTTCATTATCATGTTTAGAGAAAATTTTACTGTTTGACTATAGAGTAAATATGGAGTTTTGACAATATATAACCGTAGAAATTTAAAGATCCATTATTAAGGAATTTTAATCGGCTTATTTTTGTTTAATGATTATTTTGAGAATTTTAAACTAAGTATTTGAGTTATTTAATATATTATTGAGGTTTTAATCAATTTAAATATTGAATAAGTTAAAGATATATTTTTAAAGGCTTGAAAAATTGTAGATTGAGAATTTTGTGAAATTAGATAAAATTACAGTTTGTTTATAATTTAAAAAGATGTTGTTTGGTTTGAGGAAAAAATTTTAAAGGAGACTATAATAAATAATTCAGAATTTTAATATAAAATATTTAGATTTTGGGTAATAAAAATATATTTACTTAAGTTGTTAAATTTAAATATCCTTATATGTAAATTATATTTTTCAAAATAATATTATATCTATTATAAATGCCTAGATTTGGGAGAGTTAATATATTTATGTAATTTTGGTTTAGAGGATAGTCTTAAAATTTTAGAGTAGTTTTGGAGTGGTTCTAAGTTTATATTAATAAATATTTATGTGCAATTTTATAGACCCTTGAGAATTTTAGAGTAAACTTTGTGTAATTATTTGTAAGCTAAAGAGTACCAGGTAACTCTGAAAATTCTTTTTTGTACATGTGAATTGTATATGATTATATTATGGATTTACTAATTATTATGTTACTGAAATATAATATTATGATTTTTTGTAAAATAAATGTTTTGGTATGTTACCTGATTTTATTAAGATTTGTTGCTAGTCATTATGATCAATATTTAAATATATTAATAGCTATGAAATTATCATGAGTTACTGTTAAATGGCATATGAATTTTATTGCTATCTTATTTTTAATAATCTATTTGAGAATATATTTATGATGTACCATTATTTACATATGACATGCATTGTTGGGTTAAGGATAGAAGGAAATTGCATGGATATAAAATTACTACATGGTATGTCATCACTCGGTGCACAGTGGATGGCACTTGTCAGGGCTCCTTCTTCCATGTTTTCCTTTGGCTGGGAATTTATTGGAGCTTTGGGATATGTGACACCTCCCTATTCACAAAAGAGAGGAGCCATAGTCTGAGTTTGAGCTCTATATCTTTGGCCGGACATATCTCTAGTATCGGTGAGTTTGGAATAATTTAGTAAAATGTATTAGTTCCTATCGGACTATATGTTAGCCTATGGCTCCAGTCAGTGGTATAAGGGTGAACAGTGATATAAGGGAGGCAGCATATTGCATTATTTTTGGATATATTGAAAAAAATGAAATTGAATTGAATTTATCAAATCTGTGATTTTTAATATATACATATATACAAACATATAAACAGATTTTTGCTTTATCATATATGGTTTGCTTGTATATGTTGGAATTTCAGTAGTTACTGAGAAGTTTGATCTCACCCCCTATATTAACAATTTTCAGGCGAAGGATTTAGTAGGAATCAAGGGAAGGCACCAATGGAGTGAGTCGTGAAGGCTTTTGTGCTCCTCAAGCACATGCTATGTTATATTTTTATTTGCCATGACTATAAAATTTTAATAGTTTATGTTGTTAAGTTATGCTAAAAATGTTTTGAAATTTTGACTTGTTTACAGTGTTAGAAATATATATGGACTTTTAAATTAAATATTTTATTGCGTATATTGACATAATTATGTGAGGTGTTACAAAGATAAAAATCAAACAAGGTTTTATATTAAGGACCGGAGGTAGTATTTTATAGCTCCACCTACTTATTTGTAATATTTGATTTGTCTCATCTATATATCTTAAGTTGTGTGCCTCAAGAATATAATTTAGGCCTAATACCCTACATTGAAGCACTTTTCTTTGGCTACGTCAAAGGGGTACCTTAGGAAACGACTGTAAAAAATTTCGTCATTTAGTCCCCATGTCCTCTAATAACCTCATTCTTTAACTTTTCTTTTACTGTGCGTGAGTTCTAAGTTCTTCATTGTCATTTCATGGACTCTTTTACGTAGGTACATACATACATGGCTACTTATACCAACAAAAACACATGTTTAGATTTATATTGACAATTTGATCGTTATTAATCTCCTTCTAGGATCAGTAACTGTCATTTTTCCCTTTTCATGGCTTGATGATTGAACCGAAGTGTATAGTGGGAAATCCATTGCTTAGATTCCCTAACTTTTAGTTTTAAACTATGATTATATATATGTGTGTGTGTTTATATATATAAAGACTTTATTCATATTGTTGGATGCAGCTGTCGAGTTATGACTGATTAACAATCGAATATAATATTGGACCAATGAAATTAATTAAAGAAGATTATAATAATGAGAATTCTTCAATCCATCCTCTCTATAAATGCGTTCTCTTCTCATGATCAGCCCATACCATTCAGCCATATCTTCAGTCTCTGAGTTGCTCATCAACATACGAGAACTCATGGAAGAACAAAAGCAATCAACCATCAGGTTATTATCAGTTCTTTTACTTGATCTGCATATAAACTTTGCATGTGTGCGTATCTGCGCGAATCTATATCAAACACAAACTTCAGGCTTTAATACAAGAGCTAGGGGTAGCTAGATAACCAATTTGTAGATATTAAGAAAATTAATTAAGTTAATTATTAGTAACAAATATGTCTTAGTTTTCCTAAACTATCATCTTCTATCATGTATATTGAAAATACCTCTTGATCGGGAGTCTCTTTAATATTATAAATTTGAAAGACAAGATAGATTAAGGTTTTATATTTAAGATCAAAGTGTAACTGTTTGTCTAGCTCTTATATTTAGGACTAGAAATAATAATAATAAATGATAGTTAGAGTAATGGTACGCTTTGAATTATAGATCTACAACAGATGCCTCAGAAGGCTCAACGGAAGCACATAATATGAAGTCAACTACCACCAACGACGGCACTCAACAAACAACAAATGTCAGTGAAACCAAAGCGTAAGTACATACTGATCATAGTAGACTTCAAATTTTCTCAGTTATCATCTGTTACGTTATTGAAAGTAATGGTGGTGTTTGAAACAGATCACATCATCATAAGTTTGGGGCAGATGCTAAAAAGTCGCGAGGTAGCCCAGGAGGCGTCGTAGGTACACATGATCACCCACTGGAATATGACTCAGCATCATCAGGTCAACCAACAGATGGGCATGAAAATAAGCAAGCAGGCTCAACAGGAGCACATAATAATATGAAGCCAGCCACTGCTTCCGACAGCTCTCAGGCGAAAAAGGAGACTGATAAAACTGAAGCGTAAGTACACTAAATTAACTCGCTTGAAATTTTCTCCAAGTTATATGTTTCTTGGAAGCCAATTAACTTTCTTTTTCAGTCAATTTCATTCTTTTACAGAGTTGTCTTCCATCATTACTATTGTTAACAGTAAATCCTTTTAATTATAAGTGGCACAGACTATTTCTGTTTCTTAATATAAGAGCTAGATATAAGAAATATTAAGAAAATTAATTAAGTTAGTTACTTGGAACAATTGGGTGCTGGCTTCCTTAAACTATTTCTTTTAATTATGTGGCCTGGAACCACCTTTGATTGAAACTCCTTCCAATCAATAGAGATATTTTGAGAGAAAAATTATAAAATTTGGAGACAAAGTATATTTTGAACCAAATACAATCCCTAAACTAGCTTTTATATTAAGAATAAGAGGTAATATAAAATATTGCATGTGTAAGTTGCAATGAATTTAATGAGAATTAGGTCTTACAAATGAGCTGTAAATAATGGAAATAAGAGTTAACAATACAGACCAAAAAATACTTTCAGGCAGAAAGATGGAGCAAAACCAGGAGGTAGTGAGTCAGGAAGTGATGGATCAGGATCTGCGGGGACCGATGGAGGTAGTGGAGGTACACATGACTACCCACTGCAAGGTGTTGCCAGTTCTACAAAGACTGAAGAAACTCATGCTAATCCCAACCAAACCACTACTTGCAAAAGCTCTCAGTCAACAGAGCAGAGTGAAACTCAAGTGTAAGTACTGAATTTATGCTTTAAATTTTTTCCCAAAGTGTCAAGTTTGCTTTTTTTATTTGGATTCAGTCAAGTTCGTTCTCTTATAGATTTGTTATATGTTATTTCTATTTATAAGATACTTCCAATATATGCTACAAACAAAAAAAAAAACTTAAACTGCATTAATTTTTTTTTAAATATAACAATTTTTTAATTTTACTTCTATTTAATATATACACCTTCTAAAAAAAAACTATCTACATTATAATAAATAAAGGATAAAATAGTACATTCATGATAAAAATTTAATGAGGTGAGATATAAATATGACAAAAAAAACCTCCTCTTTCTACCTTATAAATAGGACTAGAGGAGTATGTCATTATATGTGTAGATTTAATAATTATCATGTACTACCTCCGATCCTTAATATAAGAGCTCGTTTGACTTTTATTTTGATCCTAAATATAAGACCCCAATCCATCTTTTCTTCCATATTTATTCATTTTTTTTCAAAGTAGTCATTGTAATAATGTTAGTTTTAGCTAACACACTTGATTAGTAACAATATTTTTGGAAAGACAATACATATTTATTACAAATAGCCAACTTAACTAATTGTCTTAATCTACTCAAATTAATCAACTAGTTCTTATATTAAAGACCGGAGGTAATAGTCAACAAGAGTGATGGTTTTTTTGTAACAGATCGTCTCATCTATTGACTCGTGATGGACACCACCCGGGAGGAACCTATGGAGGCAACACAGGGACACACGGGTTATAGAAATTAATGGTGTGTTGGTTTCATTTCTGAAGCCTTTCGCAAAGTGATGTTTAAATAGGTTTCATAAACTTCATGAATAATGTTGTCCAAGAATTTAGTTTGCGTCCTGGGCAGAATGATGTAATTAGCTTGTGAGTTGAAATAAGTGTGGCGGCATGGTGTGTTAATTAGTCGTCTTGTCGTATGTTTTAATTTCAGTTCTATCTTTGATCTTTTTTCTTTTGTTTTTTTTGGGTGGAGGTTGTATCTTTGATCTTTGATGACTTCAAAATCATCCAAGATCCATGAGTGTGACGAGTTGATTTGTTAGTGATCGATCATCTTTAGCATGCCATATCAGCATCGCTTCCAGGTTTAAAAGATAGATAGGGACTAACTTGGAAATTGAATAATCTTCCGAAGAACAAGAATTAAGTATATGATCAAATTAATGATTCCCATGTAACACATTATGCTATATAGCGGTAAGAAGAATCTTTCAAGAACCAAACGTTACATGTGTTCTAATTTGTAATCTCGAATGACGTATATATACAGAGGGCAGTGGCTGCATCTGTCCATGGCCCCTCCTTCACTGATCTGCTATTTTTTTTCTATCTTTTGGTAACTGTCTTATAGCCTAACTTGTGCAAAGTAATAAGAAGAAGACCAACATGCACATTAACAAGAATTAATAACGGCGCTCCACAATCAGATATTTAGTATTTACTGAGTCCAGTGTTTGTTTGTTCCAGTCTAAATAAATATTTTATATATATATATATATATATATATATATAAGGAAGGCATTTATTCAATGCATGGTCTAAATAAATATTTTATAATTATTAGGGAGACATTTGGTACTAATGATTGTTTTAGACCCCATTGACTTCAAATTATTAATGTAAGCGGGATGAAAATTGAAATGAGAATTTCTGGATGAAGTGCTAATTGCTCTTTCTCAACAACTTATTGGCCATTACTGAACTTACATTCAAGACTAGCATACTCTCAAGTCTCAAGAAGATCACTGAGAGAAAACAACCAAAAACTTAAAGCAGCCATGGAGAGGTTGGATCACTCTTGCTGTTACTTCTTATCAACACAAGCTTTGCTTCTAATAATCAGTTGGCTGATGACTTCTCTCATCGTTGGTCTCAAACTTGGATCCTTCTCAGTACATCTCAATGCGACCAAAAGCACTTGTTCAACTTCTTCCCTTACGTTTGAATCCCAAAGTTCATCATCAAGGCTTGGATCAATAATCCCATCAATTTCCCTTGATTCTTCCCATGCAGATTTAACCCACCCCACTATATCTGTTCCCTCCATGAATGAAGCATCTAGCACCTTCTTTCTGGTCAATAGCTCAAGCAAAACTACTCCATAACTATATACATCAGATTTTCTGCTTACTACAGTTGAAAATGCATTCTCTGTCGCAAACCAAAAAAACAGGTTAATCCATTAAAGAACTTTCCAAGATAAGATTAAAGAAAAATAAGGGACAGAAGAGTCACCTGGTGCAATGTACCCCACTGTGCCAGGAACAGCTATAGATGTTGTTGAATCAGTGATTTGATCCAACACCTTGGCAATACCAAAATCAGAAATATGAGGCTCCATGTCAGAATCTAAGAGTATGTTTCGTGGTTTGATGTCTCGGTGTACTATGGTCGGATCACAATCAAAATGAAGGTATGCCAATCCATGAGCAATTCCAAGAGCTATCTTATAGCGAACACCCCAAGCCAAGGATGGTGGTGGATTCATTTCGTGCAAAACATCATGCAAGCTTCCATTTTGCATGAAGTTGTACATGATCAAGCCATAATCCTTTCCGAAACAGAAGTTCTTCAATCTGATCAGATTCCGGTGACGAATCTTGCCAACAATGTCAAGTTCTCTCCTCATGCTTTTGCTTTGCCCTCCATTGTTGGAAAACGGAAGCTTCTTCACAGCAAAAACATTTTTTGAATCCAGAGAAACCTTATAGACAACTCCATGAGCTCCTCTGCCAATTATATACTTATCATTTAGGTTCTCTGTTTCCTCCATGATTTTCTTGAGAAAGGAAGATGAACCATGACTAACAAACATTCTGATAATATGCCTTGATCTTTTGCAAAGGAGAAGCATAAAAGCCAGTCCTAACAACAGAAGAACAAAAATAGAGGATCCAAGTGATATCACTATGATTTTAATTTTACTCAGTCCTTTATGATGACTTGACATGGAGCCACAAGTCTTTAAACTGACAACCTTAGGGCAATTTGAGCTATCTGAGGGCAAACAATTAACACATAAACCAGGATTACCCAACAACGACGATGGTTGAGAACTCATCAGCTTCAGCAATGCATTTGGTACAGGACCAGTAAATGAATTGAACGAGATATTGACTTCAACTAATGAAGAGAGTTGTTCAAGAACTTCTACGCTTCCGGATAGATTGTTAAGAGATAAATCTAGTTTCAAAAGCATGTTCAATTTCCCAATCTCTAATGGAACATCACCTACCAACCCATTAGCACTTAAATTCAACCCATATAGCAGATTCTGCAATGATCCAATTAAGCTAGGAATTTCACCTCTAAATGCATTGCCTCCAAGTTGTAGCTCTGAGAGCACTTCAAATTTTGTTAAGAAAGTTGGGATGCCTCCGGTAAAATGATTATCTCTTAATATCAAAGTTGATAGCCCTGTCCATTTGCTCAAACTTGCAGGCAATGAACCGTTTAAGTAATTGAATCCTACATCAAAGTAGTCCATTTTGATACAATTTGATAGTGGAGGAGGCAAAGGACCTTGCAAATTGTTGTCAGAAAGATTCAGCTTCCGAAGATTTGCAAGTTTTCCTAGCTCTGAGGGTATGAACTCTGAAAGTTTGTTCATGGACAAATCAATATCAGTGAGATTTTTGCAATTCCCTAAACTTGATGGAATTGCTCCGCTGATGTTATTGTCACTGATGTCCATGTAATCAAGATTCATATCATTTTCCAAATTAGGAAGAGGTCCCATGAAGTTATTGGATTTGAGAATCAACCTTTTGAGAGTTGTGCAAGCTCCTATATCAGAAGGTATGCCACCTTGCAGTTGATTAATACCCACAACTAGCCTTTCTAATTTCTTTCCAAAACAAAGATTTGGAGGGAGTCTACCAGTAAAACTGTTATTTGTCAAATCCAACCACACCAAACTACTATTTATTCCTAAATTTTGAGGTATAGCTCCAGAAAAGTTGTTGTCAGCCAGTGAGATTTTTTGTAGCTGCTTAAGTTCGGTGACCTCTAAAGGCAGCTCCCCATGAAAGCTATTGCTGTACAAAAAAATATTCACAAGACTTGGAATTTTCCATATGCTAATTGGGATTTCACCCGTGAGCTTATTGTAAAACAATTGCAAATCCTCCAACTCAGTTAGCATCCCTAAATCACTAGGAATTTCTCCCTCAAGTTCATTGTGATGTAAAATCAACTCCTTCAAAGACCTACAACGGCCTATTTCTTTAGGTATTTGTCCAGACAAACGGTTCATAGGGAGGCGAAGAATAGAAAGTTTGGTAAGTAGGCCAAAGAAATCTGGAATGTTGCCTGTTAAGTTGCTGTTGACAGCAAAAACTTGTGTCAAGCCAGTACAGTTCCTTAATCCAGCAGGAATACCCCCACTAAATACGTTGTATGACAGATCCAAAAAATATAGACTCTTAAAATTACCAGAACCTGATAGAATTGGACCTTTAAGATTATTAAAACTTACATCGAAATAAGCAAGATTATAGAGATTGTTAAGACTTTGAGGTAAGATCCCCTGTAAACTGTTCTTACCTAGACTAACTTCCTCTAATTTGGTGCAGTTTCCAATGGAAGAGGGCATCATCCCAGACAAGAGATTATTTTCCAGATACAACCTCCGAAGTTTGGTGCTATTGCCAATATTCATGGGGATAGGACCACTTAGGTTGTTCAATTCCAAAAACACAGTGTCTAACTGAGGAAAATCAAACAAGTATATAGGAATTCCACCAAAAATTAGATTGGAATAAAGGTTGAAATATCGCAAGTTTTGCAAACTTTTAAAGCTATTTGGAATTTCCCCAGTAAGAGAATTTTCAGAAAGATCCAAGTGCTCAAGCATACTACTGTTGCTTAAGGCACTTGGTATTTTCCCTGTGAAGTCATTTTCAGAAAGGTCCAAATAAACAAGCATACTACAATTGCCTATCTGAGGGGGAATTCTTCCTGAGAGACTGTTAGAATAAAAAATAAGAGTTTGCAAGTGACTCAACTGTGCTATTTCTGGTCCTAACTGACCAACAATCGAAAAAGAAGTGAGGTTAATGGAGATAACACTGTGGGCATTGTCACACTGGATTCCTACCCATGAGCAGGGAGTTGAGTCACAGATATTCCAGCTTGAGCTTATGGAAGGAGGCACAAATGTCCAATGCTGTGACAGAGAAAGCAGAGACAATCCATCAGGGCTCAGAGCAGAAACAACACACAAGAAGGTAAAGAAGCCTAGCGTGAGCAAAAAGGGTCGTCTCATAGCGAAAAGGAAGAGCAGAACAAAAAGAGATGGTTACATATGTTCACAAAGGTGGAAACTTTCAACTTGGAGAAGTTGATGTGATGGGAGATGGAAATGAAGTTGAAAGCCGGAAGAAAGGAGACAAGCTAAGAAAGAAGAGAAGCCATGGAAAGTCAGAGGGTGAGGTTAGGCATTATATAGAGTTGATTTGTTCATTTTAAAAAGCTGGTCTAATCTGTTATCATTGACGTCGAATCATAATTTGATTCACAGACTATAAAATAAGTTTACTGGGATGGGAGAAAATTCACAGTTTTCATTAGATGTTATTATATGGGAATTTATTAGTAGCATTTATTAATGTTTTGCATACGGAAGGAGACTTATGGCAGCATTCCTAGGGGAGCAACAAGATTTTCATTAAACCTGCGACATCCCTTCTTATTCATTATAATTTGACACGTGTAACAGTGAAACAATGTTACTTCTACTTGATATCTAAGAGATCATGAACAAACATACGAATAGGTTAAAAAAAGGAAACCCCGTACATGATCCAATCTTTTTGTAGTAAACCATCATTTATAGATGTCTTTTAAAGGCCTGAATCACACGCGTTGGTAAATACTACCTCCGATCTTTAATATAAGAGCTAGTTTGACTTTTAATTTGGTTCAAATATAAGATCCCAATTTACTTTGTTTATCATGTTTATTCATTTTTCTCATGATAGTTTTTGTAATGGTTATACATGTTAAATATTTTATCAAATGACACTTAATTGGTAAGGGTATTTTAGAAAAGACAACATCAATTTATTATAAATAACTAACTTAACTGATTTTCTTAATCTATTCAAATTAGTCAATTAACTCTTATATGAAAGACCGGACGTAGTATTCAGCATTTATAGGGAGAAGTAGAAAAGCTTGTAATTTTCCTTTCTCGATTAATTAAGAGACTGCTATGGATTAATATTAAGAAAGTTTTGGACACCACACATTAGACTTAATGCGCTTGTGTGCTTGTCTTTTTAATTCTTTGGATTACACGTTCTTTGATATTGACCACTGATAGTATGTTTTATTCACACCATGTCATGATAACGTAGTTGAGAAGAGAATAACAACCCTTGAATTTGGCATGACGTAAATAGCATATTATGAAATTAATCACAATATGGACGCATAATGGACTTAATTATTATTATTATTATTATTATTAATTATTAGAATTACTTTTTACTGCATAATCTTTCTCTGCGTATTTACCGAATTTTTAATCCTCTGACTAATGTGTTTACCAAACTTTGGTGCCTCTTATTATAATAACTCACACAAAGTCTCGCGATAATCATTGCATTATTGCATTTTACATGTGGGCTGCATAAACTCAGGCTAATTTAATCAGCTTAAGATGGTGCAGCAAAAATTTTATCATCTGGATCATCATATCGTTTATCACTTAGTGTTTTGAGAAAATTGCAAATAAAGAGCCCCTGTAAAATTATAATTTGGGATTCTTAATTTGAAAAATAGCAAATAAGGATCCGGTCTCACTTTTACAAATATAAAATTATGGTGGAATGTATAAAATATCTCTAAGCTAAATGACAAGTTGACTATGAGAAATAACAAGTTTACTTTAGTGAATGATAATTTCAATAGACGAAATCACAACTTGACTGAGGTTATGCTAAATAACAAGTTAACTATGGGAAATGACAAGTTCACTTTAGCGAATAATAATTTTAGCAGACCAAATCACAATTTGATTGAGGGGCATTTTAGATATTTCACTCACATTTCATATTTGCAAAAGCGGGACCCGATCCTCATTTGCTATTTTTCAAATTTAGGATCTCAAATCACAATTTTATATATTAGAGGGTCTTTATTTATAATTTTTCCTAGTATTTTTGCTTCCTCTATTTTGGCTTATAGTCAACTACTGATCAATTAGATCGATCAATATAAAAATTTTATAACAAGTTATGAATAGCGGGTTAATAAAATTTCAGTAGCCTATGAAGTGAGCATCAATTTATTTGTGGGACAATAGTGCTTGTTTTAATGGGGTACTTTTAATCGTGTATGAAATATAAGCTAAATATATTACAAAAATTTTGTTTCGAATTACGTGATTTTATGATGTACAATTATAATCCCGAACATTAGTTTTCATCACGCTTTGCTATTGCTTAACCAACTAGAAAAAGACTTCTTACAATTAATTAAATAACTCCCTCTAATTAATGAGTTTTATTGAGCAGTATTAAAACCTTGAAGTCATTAACTAATTTCAACCGAATTACTTTATTTATGTAAAGTTATCAATAAGTATTTGTGATAAAGCTGAAAGGAGTATTATTTTGCTGTTTGTTTTCAATAAATTTTTTTTCTCCTGTCTAAATCTTCTGTGACCTGAAAGTTATTGAAAGTTGAAAGGAACAACTTTTTAACAAATGGGTTGGTGTTAAAAAAGAAAAAAACTTAAACAAGGTTTAATAATTTTGAGTATGCTTGTCCACTAATAAGTGCATCACGATGATGGGTGTTATGAATAGGATAGGAGGGAGCATGTTTAATGACAAGTTAATATATCATTTATAAGATTTGTTGAGATCCTCCACTCATATGGTCACCGGAAAATGCAATGATGTGAAAGGTCCAATCAGAGCTCCAGCTAGTTTTTTTTTTTTTTGGGAACGCATAATGGGGTATTCCGAATAAACTCCACAGGGTAAATTGGGCCTCAGGCCCATAATGATAGTCCATACACACCAACATGTATATGGCGATTTACTAGTATTCTCCTATTAGAGACATGTTTAAGATATTATTAGACAATAAACATAGATACTTTTTTTAGTAAGTATTTAAACCTTGATTTGTTATGTTCTAAAATGAATTGCTCCGAATTGATATTTAATTGATGCTTATTTTGGTGGATCGAATTGAATTTTAGTTCACTATCTTACTCCGTTAGACTCGACTCTTGTTTATTTTCATTTTACAGTTTGGGTCCTATAGTATTTTATCCGGGGGGTACCGACACTTCATTGGGCCCAAGCCATTTATCCATTTCGTGCCTCCCTTGAGAGCAAAAAAGGGGTTTTTAGGATAAGCCAAGTAAACTGTTTGGTGATGGATATAATTTTAAAAAAGAAAAGAAAAGAAAAGAAAGCAATAAAACATGCATTTGCACATAATTTAAAAGTATATCATATTAATCAAGAATTGTTAATCCAATATTTCTGGATGAAATGTAATCTAGTATTTATATAACATTCTTTACTTCCCCATTGTAAATAAGGAAACCATTTATTTAAGCATAGGCAATGATCTAACTGTTAAAAATAAGACATATAAACATGTGTGATTGGAAAACTTAACATAGTAATATAAAGAACTTAATTTAAGTATTTTTCTATATATATGTATGATACATTTTCTTTCCTTTCATAGAATATTGCTCTCTTTGTTTCTTAATATACAAGAGTTAGTTGGATTTAATTATAAATATAAGACATCCTATTTATAATTTTTTTTCAAACTAATTTACTTAATTTACAAACTGATATACAATCTAATATTATATAAAGATATTTTAAAAAGATCATGTCATTTTTTTATAATTAACTAATTCATTTAAGTTTTTTGATTTATAAAATTAATTAAGTTATATTAAAAATCAAACAAAGTACTTCTCCGGTTCTTAATATAGGACCTAATTATTAAGTTGATTTTGTTCTAAATATAATATTATTTCTCACATTTATCAATTTTTCTTAAATTATTCATATGGATACTTCGTCAACCATGGTCAAGTAAAACAGGGAAGAAAGATATTATTATTAAGAAAGATGATTATGGTATTTTAGAAAAAACATATCATATTTCTTATAATTAACTAACTTATCTAACTTTCTTACCCTAATCAAATTAGTTAAATAGGTCTTATATTAAGGACTGAAGGAGTATTAATTAGTGTATATATTATTACCTCCGATCTTTAATATAAGAGCTTGTTTGAATTTTAATTTGATCCTAAATATAATATCTCAATTTATGTTGCCTCTTGTATTTATTTATTTTTTTAAAAAAAGGTTTTTATAATAATTGTATATGTTAAATGTTTCATCAAATAATAGTTACAAGTAATACACATATTTAGCAAAACAATTAATTTAACTAATTTTTTAATATATTTAAATAGTTAACTAACTTCTATATTAACAACACAAAGTAGAATTATACATGTTTGTGGGCGCGTCCGCGTGGCGTAAAATTTTATCGCATCCTAACTGCAGATATTTATCTGGAGCCAATGTCAACATCAAATTTTATCAAAGAGCCATATTAACTTAAATTCTAAACAAAACCCTATTGGGGAACTTTCTTTCTCTTCAAAGAAACATGCAATATAACTTCTTTTTAATTTATCAAAAACAAGAAAAGGAGATAAATTTTCCACGAAAACAAACACAAATTGAAGATTGATTTTTGGGGGGGCGCAAATCTTTAATCAGATTAACTAATTAATTGAATTGGAGTCATCGGCCGCAACTTCACATGACTTGTTCACACTGTCACGTGGGGCTATTAGTTTCGGTTCAGTCAACCTTGGCACGGAGTCAGACCCACGCTCACGCGAATTACAATTCACTCCCACACCCCTCGGTCACCTTCCAATGGCATATTCGTAATTTGACTCCAATCTCGTGGCCAATTAGACCACCTTCATCGTATTTATTTTAATACTCTTTTAGTCCCGAGACACTCGATTTACCCGATCACACTCTCACAATCTCTCTCTGGTCGTTCCTAATTCATGTATTTCGGTTTTTCTACCTTTTAGTCCCGCTCGACCCGATCGTCTCACATCTTTCTGGTCGCCAATTCATGGTTTTTCTGCTTCTCCTTTCACACTTCCATAATTCTCCACCGGTTTTTCCTCATCATGATCTTCCTTTTCCGATCTCAATCCGGTGAGGTGTGTGGCCCACGCGCTTAGATCTGCTTAGATCTCCAGCGTCACTTGAGCTGCTTCAGTTTGATTTAGTTTTCTTGTATTTTACTGCTTCCAATTGAGCTGTTTCTATCCTTTTTTCTTTTCCTCAAGCGTCTTTTTCCTCCGATTCGTTGCTGCTTCAGCTCGTCGTTTTTGGATTAGTTATTTTCTCCTTGTGAACTTGTTCTGTTTTGTTCGCACTCCTTAAGTGCTTCGCGACAATTTGTTACGTCGTCTTGGAGCACTTTCACCGATTTGCTGCGTTTATTTTTTGGTTTGATCTTTGATTTCTATAGCGGGTTCGTTGAACACGAAGCGTGAAGTTGTTGTGTTAATTAATCAAGCTTGTGATTCTTTTCAACCATAAAATTTCAGTCAACTATTCCTCAGTTTTCGTTCTTGCAAGTTCAATTTCCAGTCACATTTGTTGCCTGAGAGTGCTCTTCGCGTTAAAGATGACGTCTGGGACGAGGCAACCGACTTGGAAGGAGAGGGAGAACAATAAGAGGAGAGAGAGGAGGCGGAGAGCCATAGCCGCGAAGATTTTCGCTGGTCTCAGAACGTATGGCAACTACAAGCTCCCTAAGCACTGCGACAACAATGAGGTGCTCAAGGCTCTCTGCAACGAAGCTGGCTGGACTGTCGAACCCGACGGCACCACTTACCGCAAGGTATCCTTTAGTTTTGCTTCTCATTTACTTTGTTTTTGGGGGAATTTTCGTTCCATTAGTGGCTTCATTTGTCAGTGAACTTGCTCAATTTTGCTTCTGTTTCTTTTTGACATTTTGTTGAGCGATCATCAGATCACAACCTTAATGCCTTTGTAGCTGAAATTGAGTTTTCCTTGTTTGGGTCGTCCTCGCTGATTTTAGCCTCCGCTTTAGTTCTTTTGAACTCCTTATTAGTTACCACCAGGTTCATTTACTTTATGAGCATATATCTGCATTTGGTTGCATCTGCTAGCATGTGGGGCTTGGCAGCGGCACATGCAAGCATATTGATCGAAGGACCTGATCGTGACAGAGTCTCAGAATTGTGACACATATAGGCTAACAAAAAACCGGCACCGTCGTGTTTGTTTTCAGGGATTTTCACGGGGAGATTAAACTTGGCTTGGATGCCTTTTTTTGGCTGTATTTTTTATCCTTTGGTCTATGGCGATGACTTATTAGTGGGGCTAGATTCTCTCTTTTTTATGCTTTTTATCTCTCACCGGTGGTGCCTGTCAGATCTGGTCGGGGTTGCCTCTCGCTTTAAAGCGTGAAGCACAAAAGATTCTCTCTCTATCTCCGTGGTCTGTGATGACTCACTTCATAAGGCCTGAAGGGCATAGATCTCGAGGGGACGAGAATGCCCATCGCGATCTTGCCTAATGACTGCCAAAAGTTTTAAAGGAGGCCTGAAAATTTGAACAAATGTTGGGGGTAGATTTGGTATTTAAGTTTTTTTCGTGATATATTTAGTTCGTTGCTGTGCTTGTTGCAACATGGCAGAAGCTTTTACAGACATCGCATGGTACTCTAATTTTGGATAGTCCTTTTTCCTCATTTCCCGTGATGGTTTCTTCTTTCTGCGGGTTGCAGTTATAATAATGCAACCACTTTATTACAACTACTTTATTGATGACGCTACAAGATAAGTTTTCACTGACACTGTTACCGTCCGTAACTTGGAGACACCTTGTGTTTGACTCTACCTGATTTCTTTATGCTGAATCATATTTTCTTTTCGTTTTCCTTCACATGAGTTTAAGTAGGCAAAAAATTATACTCGATCTGAAGTTATCTTCGGTCCTTCCTGTACTTTTGATGGGTCCTTGTTAAACCGAGGAAAAGGCCAGATTGCCATTGACGCCCCAGGACACGGCGACAGGCGGACAGCTTACTAATGGCTATGACTTATGTGATGGAGTTCGTTATTGTTGCATATACTGTTCCATTAGCGTTGATCATAAAATAATTGATACTTAACGAGCAATTAACTAACCAAGTATATTCGTTTCTCTCCAAATATATTCTTTAATTGTTCCCGAAAAAAATTGAAAACTGGAATTTATATTTTCTTTGATGAACGGCAGTTTAGTAGGTATTTGTGGAATAGGATAGAAAAGCATGTTGGGTATCCTATGCTTAGATTCTTCTGCTACATAAGTAGCTCTTCAGCTGGAGGATATAGACGCAGAATCTGTTTATTACTTGCTGATACAGTATGCGTTTGAATAGAAATTTTCTCTACCAGATAGTTCGACCAATTCAATGATGAGAGGAAGTAAATCTGGTGTACCCTGTCCAGATAGTGGCGTAGGTATGTCTTTGGAATATAGTCCACATGATAGATTAATATCTATAAGAAGTTTAAGGACTTCCGTAGATGCCCCGCTATAGAGGAATGAGTTCTGCTGATACTTGTCTGATATGGCAAAAGGAAACTCCTTCATATAAAGGTGTAAAAGAAAACGAAGTGGTTATCCACTCTAGGAGATATATTGGCCAGAAAATTATCATGACCGCTGCCAGGGATGGGAAAACTACTTCATATATGCTTCTTCGGAAATCGGAATAGTGGGGGGGAAAAAAGTATACAAGTGGATAACAGACCGTTTTTTCTGGATTTTACATCATCTGTTGGTGAAGGTATAGTGATAGATAGTATGCATGGAATTAAGGAAGAACACTTCTTTTAGAATTTATTCCATCTTGTGAAATGAGCTGGTCTTGTGTGTTACAATGAAATATTTAGTTCTCAATTCAATGACTGTGCACTAATCCAGTGCATGCTTGCCTCCCGCAAGCTTAAATGGCTTTTGCTGATGAACTTGGAAACCGGACAAATGATCTTGTACATTAACTGATCAGTCCTATACTGGTCTGGGTCAAAACTTAATTGCTTTTCTGAGTTTTGATTTAGCATCCCCCCACAAAACAATTGACATTATGCAAGGTGCACACTGGCTTCAGACTTTTGCTTCGGTAATCAAGGAAAAGCTGGAGCAGAATTGAAGGCCAGGTTTCCAGAAAAGATTAGGCTAGAGGTTTCATAGCACTTCTGCTGAGCCTTCAACTTTACATGATTTATAGACTCAAGCAACTCTTTTGTCTTAGATGAATGCATAGTATCGAGGCCTGAGGATAATGACTGGGTAAGCTGAGGATACTATTGACAGAGCAGTCAAGCAAGTAATCCATCTTTGGATAAGAGAAAGAGAAACCAAGAGCTAACCGTTTGTGTGCTGCATAGCCCAGAAATGGTAACATAGAAATACTGAAACCAGAAGAGCAGCGCAGACAATGCCAAGATAGTATTAGATCACCTAACCTAAACTTGTTTATGTTTTTTCGCTTTGTTAGAAAAGGCATGTCAATAGACAAATTCTTTTTTCTGGTGGAAATGTATCTGTCGGCTAAAGATACACTATGGTTTTGGATACCCTGTTATGTTGCAGTCGTTGGTTGTGCTATGTGCTATTTTTTGGACTAATCATTAAGCATACTATTTGTACATATAGGGATGTAAGCCTGTAGAACGTATGGATGTGGTTGGTGGTTCTGCGGCAGCAAGCCCATGTTCATCTTACCATCCAAGTCCCTGTGCTTCCTACAACCCAAGCCCTGGCTCTTCTTCCTTCCCAAGCCCACGCTCATCGGCCTATGCAGCGAACCCTAATGGTGATGGCAATTCCCTTATTCCATGGCTAAAAACTCTCTCGTCTGGATCATCCTCAGCATCCTCTTCGAAGCTCCCCCATCTCTACATTCATACCGGCTCCATCAGTGCTCCTGTCACTCCTCCTCTGAGCTCTCCAACTGCCCGAACACCCCGAACCAAAGGTGACTGGGATCATCAGTCCACTCGTCCTGGGTGGGTTGGGCAGCAATATTCCTTCCTGCCCTCCTCAACTCCCCCAAGCCCTGGTCGTCAGGTTGTTAATCCAGAATGGTTTGCTGGTATTAGGACCCAGGGCGGGCCTAACTCTCCAACCTTCAGCTTGGTCTCTTCAAACCCCTTTGGCTTCAAAGAAGAGGTTGTAGCCGGCAGTGGTTCGCGAATGTGGACTCCTGGGCAAAGTGGGACATGTTCTCCAGCCATAGCAGCAGGCTCTGATCACACTGCTGACATTCCCATGGCTGAAGTGGTTTCAGAAGAATTTGCGTTTGGGAGCAACACAGCAGGCTTGGTGAAGCCATGGGAAGGAGAGAGGATCCATGAAGATTGTGGATCAGATGACCTTGAACTCACTCTTGGGAGCTCAAAAACCAGGTAGTGTGCACATTTGATGAATCAGAATATGCCTCTTTTTATTTTGTTCGAATAAAAGATCGTTTATCACCTACTTTTTTGTGCCATTGCAGGTGAGATTACCATATAAACCAAGAGTCAGCATCCCTTGATGTGAACATTGACTAGGTTTGTTTAATTATGTAGAAAAGGTAGAGAGTAGGGAATTAAGGTGAACATAAAACAGTTGCTCTTTCATTGTATTTTATTCTTTTATTTTCTATTAGGTCATATTTGTTTCCAAGTTATATACATAGCCTTTAGTTAGGTGGGGTGGCTTTGCAAACCCTTTCATTTTGTCAGTGTCATGTTAAACCTTAATGTTATTGGAAAGATTAATCAATATACCTGTATGGATTTGGCTTGGTTTGCCAGTGAAAGCAAATTTACTTGAAACTTTGACTGTGCCTTAACCAGAATGAGCATAGCAAACTATACAATCAGCCCCTCTTAATTCCTCACTCCTTATTAATCTTCTCTTTTTCTGATATGGGTGACGAAATTTATAGGTGGCCATCATTATCCCTAGATTTCTATGAGATAACAGGAAGAAAGTGAAGTGCCAGACGGTAATCGTTGCCACAGTGGTCCAATGCACTATTTATGTTTGTAGTTTGTACTACTACACCCTTCCTTACTGGATCAATTGATTTCCTAAAATCGAAATTCAGACTTTGAGGCAGCCACGCTTCCATTTGATTGCGACCTTTCTGTTTTCCTTGGTACGACTGAGAATCAAAACTGATGTTCCTTGACTTCTCAATATCCATTTATCAACCCCAAAAAAAAAAAAATTTAAGATATGCATATGTATATCATGAAAACGCCTTATAATACCCTGTAGGGGGTTTGGCACCCGTCGTGGGATGTATTAAGGCGGGCCCATCTAAGGTTTTGTTGGTTTGTCCAAAAGCATTGTATTTGAAAATAGTGTATTATTCAGACATGTGTCGTTTACAAGAGTGTATAATAATAAAAATCATTCGAAGATTTATGAGATTGTTCTCAATTCTCATCTTAGGCTACCATGACGAAGCCAAGGCTTACGCTGATCTGGGACATTATGTTGCCTTATCTATAACGGTTTCATCACTTGCATGATAACAAAAAAGTAACAATTTTTAAAATATGGCACAAAAAAAACCTTTGTTTTCTTTTTTTTTTTTTGAGCTGTAAAAAAAAAAAACCTTTGTTTTCAAAAAGGGACAATAAGATTTCATGCAAGAAAGATTTTTCCCCGTATATTTTATAAATATATATGAAGCATGATGACAACTTCCTTGCATCAAGTGAGTTATAATTAATTTGTGCCCCTCATTTTGAAATGATCCAATCTTGTTAATCAATGCCATGTGCTTGCGCATCCTCCTTGATGAACGATTGGAGAAAATTGGAAAGAAGAAACAGGGGAAAAAAAAAAGAAAAGAAAAAGAAAAGAGAGAAAGAGAAAACTCAGCGGATTGGATAGAATACACTGTATTAGAAATAGGGGATGCATTATTATTAACATGATCATAGTGTTTCTTTATTGGATGACATTCTCATTGCAAATATATGTAGGCCACCCTGCAGATAACCAGCCAATCATAACTGCTCCTGCAAACTCTAAGGACACGAACCAAAACAAAATGTAATAACAATACGAATTTCTTTTTGTTTTCTTTTGTTATGTTTGAACACTACAGGAAATCTAACACTGAATACGATCACTATTCATTCCACCAACTGCAAATTCAGTCATCTAAATTTTGTTGTCCATTTAATTAAAAATAATTTGCTCCCCCCCCCCCAAAAAAAAAAAGGAAACCAGAAGAATTCATAGGTGAAATGGTTATTAATTCATCTCACAAACTTTACCAAACTTTTGGGAGGCACAACTTTACACAACAGGGGATCTGAATTTACATTTTCATGTGTTGGAGATTTTGATATACTTTCATGGGTTGGAGATATTTGCATTTTAAATAACTAATTTTTAACACTCTGGAAATTATTGCTAGCTGTTATTAATTCGATTAAAAATATAAAATTTTAAAACATAAAAAAATAATATTGATATAAAATTTAATTACAGCTTACAATAATAGTGTTATTAAAGATTAAGGATTAACCAACTTTAAACCGACATATTTTATACTAATATAGTTTTACTGGAATGGGACCAATCGATGCGGCGGATGATAAGGAATTGGGGCCCACAGGAACTGACCAAGTGGGCCTGCCCATTGTGGAGCCCACATCTATATGAGTGCCGTCCCAGCACAAAACGCACCGTCGGGTGCTTTGCTCCACAAGCAACGTCCCCGGCGGGACACGTGCACCGAACTCTGGCACGTGCGGCTGGGCCCTTTTATATCTCCTATTAGACAGCCGCACAAATGAGACCTGGTCAATGGCTTATTTCTTACTTCTCCTACTGTTCCAAAGGATGATTATGCCACGTGTTCTGTTGTTATAGATCGATTTTATGTTATATATTCAGGAAGAAAATTAAAATAATTCCGCTAAAAACTAGTTAAAAATTCAATTTGATTTTAAGTATAAAATCCCATTCTATTTTGCCTCTCATATTTATTTATTTGTTAAAAATAATTTTTATAATAGTTACATGTCTTAAATGTTTTATCAAATGACAGATATAATTAATACACTCGATTAGTAAGAGTATTTTAAAAAAATAACACATATTAATTATAAATAACTAATTTAATTAATTTTTTTAATTTATTCAAATTAGTTAATTAAAATTAAAGATAAAAAGTAGTATACAACTTTGTACCGTTAATAGTTTCAATAATTTTTGCGGATGGATCATCTAAACATTCTTTACAAGGTTGTAATTTAGAATTTACAGATTTTCCTTTTTTCAATTAAAAAAAACAACCATGCAGTCTTTGGTTATATCAAATAATTTGTTTATTTAATTAGAGGAATAGACGCTAATGAATCAATATTATAAGCAAGATCAAACTTGTGATCCAGAGAAGTTTTCATTCTACTAATAATAAACCAAAATATTGCTGATCAAACAATCTAATTTTGGGCATCAAGTGTCACCCTAAGTTGATCCGTGAAGAACTTATATCTAAACTGGCTAAAAAAAAAAAATCTGTTTTTCTTTCAGACAAAGCCGTGATGATATGTTGTTTTCTCTTTTTCACACGACTTTATCAGACTTTATTTCCCCACCTTGTTTCAGCCTTTTACAATTGAAAGCAAGCAATGAGAAAAGATGCATTAATTGATGCCAATAAGGTTCCATTTTGTTTTCCTTGTTAAAATATTAAGGTTCCATTAAGACCACCCCTTATATATCACACATGCTTAAGTTAAAAGAAAAAGAGAAATAATCAATCATTCATCCTTCCTTTATTCTTTTTAGAGGCCTACCCTTTTGAAAGCAATAACAAAAGCTGGCCTTCCCTTTGACTATAAACTCAACCTTTTTTTTTTTTGGGGCCCCTTTGGTGATTAAAGTGAAAAAATGGCTGTTTCATATCCCACTATCACTGAAAGTAATGTACTAATGTCATTGCATTATTTGCATTTTGACTTATCTTTTCTGAAACCCCATATGAAATCTTTGTCATGTGCACCCCATAAATAAAAAGTTCATTTAATTTGGTATAGAAATTTGATGGGATTTTGGTCATCATATTCATATATATCTTAATTTTGAATATTTTCTTGGACGCCAAAAATCATCATAATATAATCAATATTTCTCAAATTATCTCTAAGCTTGCGGAGATGGAGTCAGATATCTAATCATGAGAGGATCAAAATTGAATAATCATGGATAATAAAAATTTACATAAATTTTAGGAGTTGAAAAAAATATACGTAGTAATACCTAATTGCCTATATAATGTTAATGGAAAAAATTAAAATTTTGAGTTATGACCCCGGGCGCGGGCTAATCCCATCCAGCATACTTTGGCTAAGGAACGCAATATGACGGGACATTCTGTCATGTCCTGCACGGTATCTTGTTATGCTTATGTTATTTAACTGCCGTTAGACTTTTTAATCATCAATTTCTCTTCTTTTTTTTCCTTATTAATGTTGTCTTTATTTTTTAGACAAAATAAAACATAAAAAATATATAAGAATTAGTTGACTTATTTAAATATACTAAAAAAATTAGCTAAAGAGAGTGTTTGGTTTCCCCAAAAATACTTTTTAAAAACACATTTACACAAATTGAGATAAAACCCTCCTCACATATTTACTTTATATTACCTCCGGTCCTAATTATAAGAGATATTTGACTAATTTGAGGAGATTAAAAAAAAGTTAAATTAGTTATTTGTACTTAAATATGTGTTGTCTTTTCTAAAATATCCTTATTAATCAAGTGTATTGACTAAAACTATCATTGTTAGAAAGACTACCTTGAAAAAAATGCATAAATATAAGAGATAGATTGATGTCTTATATTTAGGATCAAAATAAAAGTCAAACAAGGTCTTACATTAAAGACTGAAGATAGTATATCTTAAAATCACTTTTAAAATTATAATTTAGTATTATTTAGAATTATCATTTGATAAAATATTTAATATGAATAATTACTATAAGAACTATCTTTAAAAAATAGATAAATATAAGAAATAAAAAATTTCTACCCTTATATTTAAAACTAAATTAAAAAAATAACGCTTTTATTATACTAATGACAGGAGGAAGCAGCGTATGGTTCATTTAATTGACCATTCCCTCTATCACAAAGGAACACATGGCAAGAAAAAGTCCAATTTAAAAAGAAAGTTCATACAGAAGCAAGCAGCCAGCGAGAGAGAAGCCGCAGAGAGGGAGGGAGGTAGGAGGAAGTGGTTGTGGCTCTTTGTGGTGCTTTTTCAGTATTCACATCTCATACACAACAAGTCTCACATCACTCTTACTTTCTCTTTTTCTCTGAACTCCATCATCCTGAATTTTGATCCGCAAATTTGGCTCATCAAAGCGTCTCTCTCATCTCCCAAATTCATGCTTTCCTTTTCTTTCCCTTTTCTCTCCTCACTTTCTTCTTATCAATACCACGCATGGTTTTCCGGCACACTTCCTCTCTGATCGCCGATCCTACTCCGGCCACCCCATACAGTTGTAGTGCCTAAATTTCAGCTCCTTAGTCAGCTACATTGCCAAAATTGTGGCCTTTCCCTGCTTTGTTCACCGGCTTGATTCCTTGCTTTTCTTTGCTCTTTGACCCAGAAATTTTCCAGCAAATGTGTGGTATAATCTGCTTCTGATTACTCAGCTTTACTCTTTTTTCTTGCGGCATTTTTGTTTCTGTGATTTCTCTGAAGGAGAGATGACTTCGGGGACGAGGCTACCGACATGGAAGGAGAGAGAGAACAACAAGAGGAGAGAGAGGAGGCGGAGAGCCATAGCAGCAAAGATCTTCTCTGGTCTCAGAATGTACGGTAACTACAAGCTCCCTAAGCACTGCGACAACAATGAAGTCCTCAAGGCTCTCTGCAATGAAGCTGGCTGGACCGTCGAACCCGACGGCACTACTTATCGCAAGGTACATCTTACATCCGCCATTTTCATTCACACCGTAAGGTTCTGTGCTTTGCTGAGTGGTTTTCTCGAAGTTGGTCTAAGAGAACTTCTAGCTTAGCGATGCTCTGATAATCCAACAAAAAATACTTCTATATAACATAACCATAACAATCAAGTCACTAGATTATATGTTGCTCGGCTCATGGTCTCCTGAGAATCCAGAACTCGTTCATGAATCTTATAGAGGCGAAAATCCCCCATTATCGTTCCTGAAAGAGCGAAAACGACTACTAAATCTGAACCGTTGCATGTTCAGGTGCCTCGCAAACAAGAATTTTGTTGACTTGCAGCTGGCCAGTAGTCAAGTACCTTGTCTCTATAGACTTTAGGACAGAACAGAAAATTGGTTATTCACACTTGTATATGAGATAAATGAGCAAGCATAAAAGAAGACTTTTGTAAATCGTTACTGATTCTGGAAATGTATCATAAAAATTAATAAGACGGACTATATATCTTACATCCCAGAACACTGCATTTTGAGCAGCATAAATGCTTGTCTGTTCTGATTATGCAAATCCAACTCTTTGGAAAATGTGATGGTGGATTTCCACATGCTACATTTTGATCCTCCTTTGAAAATATTTTGCATATGTAGGGATGCAAGCCTCTCGAGCGAATGGATATAGTCGGCGGGTCTGCAGCAGGTAGCCCCTGCTCTTCTTACCATCCAAGTCCCTGTGCTTCCTACAACCCAAGCCCAGGATCATCTTCTTTCCCGAGCCCATCCTCATCCCCCTATGCACCAAATCCTAATGCTGATGGCAATACCCTCATTCCATGGCTGAAAAACTTATCTACTGCATCATCTTCAGCATCTTCGCCCAAGCTTCCCCATCATTACCTTCACAGTGGCTCCATTAGTGCTCCTGTCACACCTCCACTGAGCTCTCCCACTGCGAGAACACCCCGAATCAGCACTGACTGGGATGATCAATCTACACGGGCCGGACAACACTATTTGTTCATGCCCTCTTCCACTCCTCCGAGCCCTCGGCGCCAGATAGTTGACCCAGAATGGTTTGCAGGGATTAAGCTTCCAACTTCCCCAACATTTAGCCTGATCTCCAAGAACCCATTTGGCTTTAAGGAAGATGCTATGGCCGCAAGCAGAAGGTCTCACATGTGGACTCCTGGGCATAGTGGGACATGTTCTCCAGCGATAGCAGCAGGCTCTGATCACACCGCAGATATTCCCATGTCTGAAGCTGTTGCTGATGAATTTGCGTTTGGAAGCAACACATCTGGGCTTGTGAAACCATGGGAAGGAGAAAGGATCCATGAAGAGTTTGGGTCAGATGATCTTGAGCTTACACTCGGTACCTCAAGGACCAGGTATTTTATTATTGCAGGATCAATTTGATTTTCTTCAGTAAATTAGAAGGGATTTGAATGTAGGTTTCATAAATACCGAGGGAGACTCTGGTATAAAGTTGAAACTAGAGGAAGTGTAGGTTTTAAAAACTAGAGAAAAATGTGAAGATAATTTACTCTTTTTCTCTTGGCCGTTGTAATACTATTATTTTTTTTGCAGGTAAAATACTTTATGGTCAGGGAAGTCAGTGGTTGAATGTGAACTTGGATTTCTAATTTTATTTGGAGGAATGTTTGAAGACCATAATCAAGATGGATGCAAACAGCAGCTCTCTTTTATTGTATGCTTTTGTTTAACCCCTTTCCCTTTGTTAGTTACTCAGTTTGCATACAGGTTTAGCGAGTTTTGGAGTGGATTTGCTACCCACTGATTTCATCACTGTCTTGTTAAACCGTGATGGTACTTGAATTCTGGAAATGTTGATATTCATTGCACGGCTTGGGTTGGCTTGGCTTGGCTTGCCACATAAGACACTGAATGACTTAGGAAAGTGTAACCGTGGCTCAGTGGCCAAAGCCATTCTGGAAATTTTATAGGAAGGTCCTCTTTAGTCGGACTGAATTATTTTGGAAATTTGATTGAGCATATTTGTAGGTATTTTAATGGTTGATTGACTATGACAACAGCATAGCTTGAAAAGCCATAGACCATCCATTGTGATTTTGCAACAAGTTCTTCCATTCCAGTGATGCTTTTAGCTTCCGGCCAGAATTGTATCAGAAACTGTAAAATTTGTCAGTGGGTTGGTGCTAATTGGAGATGATTCTAAATTATGTCCGTATAATTGCTATTTATCATGTCTTTCCAGCATTTTTGTATCGTATTTTTGCATTATGATCAATAATTGTGTTTTGGATTTTAGATCTTTGAGGCAACTCAAGGGTCAAGGGCCATGTGAAAATAGTGAGAAAAGTAATGGGCCTCTCTTACAAGTAGGATCCACTTGCCCCACTCTTTTCTCTTTTCCGTTTCTTTTTGTCATGTTTTTGTCTTTCTTTCCTAAACACCATAATGAGCCTGAACCCAATCTACCTTATTTTAACAAATCTTTAAAAATGTAATTGAAAAAACAAAAATCTAAGAAGTCATATCTATACTACTTTAAAGCACCAGTCTTTATGCAGTATCTCTCGGCCTGCCCTGTGTGTTCTATATGGTCATGTTTTATAACTTGGTGGGATAAGTAATCTTTTATTTGTATTTATATTACCTCCGGTCTTAATTATAATAGTTGATTAATCTGAAGATATTAAAGAAAGAAATTAAGTTAGTTATTTGTAATAAATAGGTGTTGTTTTTTTTCTAAAATATCCTTGTTAATCAAATATATTGGTTGGAACTATCATTGTTATAAGTATTACTTTGAAAAAAAATACATAATATGACATATAAAGTGGATTGATGTTTTATATTTAGAACTAAAATAAAAGTCAAATAAGATCTTATATTAAGGATCGGATGTAGTATTTTTTAAGATAAAAGTTTAATAGTTTTGCTTCCTTTTAAAATTATTTTTCATTATATTTTTCCTCATTTAGCTTGTCATCTGTGCCAAAGAAGCTCCACGGGACGGTTTTGTTTGTGTGGCGAAAGAAGAGGGTAATGAGGAAAAAGTTCTTAAATCATTTAGATTTTTTTTTCCAATAATAAGACAAAATTGATGTTAAGCTAGGAAAAAGGAACATCAATTATTGTTCAGAGAAATAAAAAGAACAAAAACAAGAAGATAAAACAGGGAAGAAGGGGTTGATTAAGCTTGATTTATAACTTGGTGGGATAAGTAATATTTTATTTTATATTTTTAATTTTGTTCATGCTTATTACATTAATTCTAAAAGCCCGCACCGCGTTTACATGATTAATCAGGGGTCAAGATAATGATTTAAATAAAAATTACTACCTCCGGTTAATAAAAACATGGGTTGTCAGTGTAAAACGTGAATTTATCGTGAGAAATTGTTTTTTGGGGGGGGGGGGATATCCTAGAAATTGGAAATGAAGACCAATGAATTGGATAATTGGTATTTTAGGACATTATTATAATACTTTTTAATTTTGTTGGTCATGGTTGACGCTTATCTGGTTATCTTCTGAATATCTCCAAAGAGACCAAATCAGAGAAGCCTACAATATGTCAGTTCTCAGGCTACAATATCCAATTTCTATTTTTGCACGTTTACTTAGCGGGCCCTTCTTTAAGCGGCATCCCATATGCTTGGATCAGCTCGTCACTCACCAACAAGTGTTAGTAAAAGGGATTTGGATACCTTAAACATCATGTTCTGAGGAGGAGTTCCCGCTATGGCGCTTGACGGTACCCAAGATATTAGTCTCTCATCATTTGGGTAGAAAGATACTCTGAGCAACTAAAAAAAAAACTCATTCCTCTTTCTTCTGATATTTCTTGTCATTTACAGCCGGGGAAAAACACCCCCTTCTTTGGGTTGAAAAAAATGCTTTTGTAATTGGTTGAATTAAATTTTTCTCTCACGAGTAACATTTAGAATTTTTAAAAATAACTTTTTAATTACAATTTACATAATAAGAAATAAATATGTGAGAAAAATTTGTCTTAATTATATAAAAATATTAAGCAGCTCCAAACAATCATATATTTATTTATAACACGAACAATAGTCTTGTAACCGAGTAATTTAGTGATATGAATGAGGTTGCAGACATTTTTGTCTTGGGAACAGTTGAGAGAAAGAATGATCACCTAATGCTGCATGAAATCCATCTTTACACTGGTGGCTTCAGCTAAAACGGGATGATGAACAATTTGTTGTGACCTGTGGCCTGGATGGATTTTGTTTTGGGCCACAAATGTGATAAATAAACTAGGAAAGCCGATCGTAACGGTGCTGGTATCCTGCTTCGTCCTTAACTTTCCCTTCTTGGAGCTCTCACCCAATCCCTGCTTCCTAAACCCTACCTGCTCATTCTTCTCACGTGATATTTATTATCCTTAATTATTTTAGGTAGCCATGATTTAAGAAAAATCCAATGTGACAGTTTTAAAGTTGGAGTTAGTTTCTATTTTATTATTTCCCATTATATGCAGTAAACAATAGCTTAATTAATGCATTAATTAATATATATAACATAATAAAAATGCCCAGTAAATATATATATATTTTTTTCCATGACCCATTGACCATGTATTTTAGAAGAAAATTGGGAAGATTCTCACGAGGCTGTATAAAATTCCTGGACTGTGATTGGCTGTCACCTGTGATTCCATGCTCGCCACGTGACTCGCTCATCTCCTTCAATAAAATCACCTTTCTTCTGGCCACAAACAACACGATTATTCACAGCAAATCGCGTTTCTTTCAATTTGCCGGATCCCCACCATAGCCTGCACCCTCTCTCTCTCTCAGTTTTACTCGTCTCTGCCGCAGTAATTTAATCTTCTCTCTCACTTGTTCCACTTCCTGAATTTGCTTCTGCTGCTGATTCCGTTATTCCGGCTCATCCGTGAACCTTGATTTCTCTGCTTGTCTTGATTAAGAACTCTAGCTTTTTTGGTCCTGGATTCGTTCAGCGATTGCTTCCAATTTTTATGGATAGGTTTTGACTTCTTTGGATAGGGCGAAATGTCAGTGGAGAGGTCGTTCGAAGCGTGGGAGGAGGTCCAGCGGCATGGCCACGATCTGGCCGATCGCCTTGCGCAGGGTTTCACCGGATTGATTCAGTCTCACATCAACCCTCCTCCTTTCACTTGGCCTACTCCTCCGAAATCGAAGCTCTTTGATCTGGAATTCCCAAGTCAGAATTTTGGGAAGAGGGATTTCGGATTAGCGACGGAGAATTATGGAATCGATGGGGTTTCGGCGATTTTTGATATCGGTAACAGGATTGGGCAAGCTGGAGCGGACTTTGGTGCGAGCTTGAATGGGTTAGTTCAGCAGTTTTTCAGGTCGCTGCCAATACCGTTTAAGCAGGAGGACACGGTGATGGCTTCCGTTCGGATGGAAGGAGATAAAGGCAGGATGATAACTGATTTCGGGATTAATATGCAGGAAGATTTGGGATCGCTGAGTGAAAGGTTGAAAAATTATGGATTTGCTGAAAATGATACTGGTGCCGGTGCTGCTGCATCGTCGGATGAAGAAATTGGTGGCTTTAACCTGAGTTCAGCTGGTCTTCTGGGTAGAAGACAGGTAAATTCTTGAGTTGGTATCTTTTTTGGCACAAGCAGTTAAGCAGCCGTGTTCCGACGGTGAGGGTCTGAATGCGATTTGTGGCATAGCATCAACTGAAACACTTCAATTTTCGTCGTATAAAATGACAGAAAAAATAGTTAACCCTCTCATAGAGCCGTTAGACTGAACGCCGCTTATACTTCATTGGAACATCACATACATGAGTTAAACCGATTTCCCTTTGTAAAATTTACTCTATACAAAATCATCTAGCTCTTGTTCTGATACAATATGGCCAAGGGTTTGTCTTTTCCAGTGCATTATTCTTCCTTAAATTATGGTCTGCTTCAGACCAGAAGGCCAGTCTATCTTGGCTTAGCTGTTTTTTTTTTTCATGGAAAGTTCTATGGTCCAACCTTTCACTATTTAAGCACCACTAGACTCATGTTGTTTTCAGTCAAAGGATTTATGCCCTAGATGACTTCATTACTATGTGCGTCTGTCAATCCTCCTGTTGTAAATTCTAAAAGCTAAAGTTGAGCCGCTATGGTCCTAGTGTATCGTCAGATTAAGCTACAAAGTCATCTAGATCTTGGAGCACAACTATAGATTGAGGTGTCCATAAGCAGTCAGGATGGTAAAATCGTGTTTTCTAAAAGCCCTTGACTTGTGATTTTTATTCAAGAAAAGATGGGCTTCTTTGTCATCCAGTGAGAGTAAAATTCCATAATGTAACATCATATTTTGTATGGTTACATATTTCACTTTCTTTCTTCCCATTGTATACTTCCTTTACTAGTTTTATTTATCGAAGTGCAGGGAGTTATAAATGTTTCATCCACTTATGATAGTAGAACTCAAGAGGTAGAAGGTTCTTTAGCTGCAAGGGGAGATCTATGGAGAGTAGAGGCATCTCATGGCAGTTCTACATCAGGAAATGAAAATTCATCTCTTTTCCTTGTTCAACTTGGACCTCTTCTCCTTGTTCGTGATTCAACCCTCCTTTTGCCTGTCCACCTGTCCAAGCAACACTTGCTTTGGTATGGCTATGACAGAAAGGTAAAGATCAGCTACAGCTGGCTAAGTTGCAGTTTGTTATCAAATTGCTAATAACTTGTGTTTAAGTTTAGTTAAGAAAGTTCTATATAGCCTAATAAAATAAGTCCTTGTATACTGCATAATAGGCATTTGACCTCTAGAAACAATTTTGCAATTATATATCTGTTCAATTAGTTTGATTTATTCCTAAATTATTGGTACAAAATTCTCTTTAACATAATTTTGGAATAATATTAGCTGTAACTTCTCTGGCTTACACTGACCTAAGTAGCAAACCAACTAAACCTATGGTCCGCACTCCACGTACAGACATCTATCACTTATAGTCAAGTGACATAGCTCTTTCCTGTCTTTGAAAGTGTTTTTGTGTAACAATGCATCTAGCCCTCTGTGTAGAGTGGGAGTGCTTTTCATTACGACCTTACATGCTTTGCCCTTTAATTGTCAGAATGGAATGCATTCTCTTTGCCCAGCAGTGTGGTCAAAACACAGAAGGTGGCTGTTGATGTCCATGCTATGCCTCAATCCCTTAGCTTGTGTAAGTTAATAGCTTATGATGCTTCTGAAAAGACCAGCTTTGAGTTTCGTTATTAACTGATGTTACATTAATACATTTGTTGCATGTCAAAATTGTTATATGTAGAGCTTTATTATCTTTAATTTTGGTCAGTGATATATATCATCCATTCTATATGAACTCTAAAAATGAAGTTAATCATCCTAGTTCAGTTATGCATTAAAGTCTTCTAATTTCGTTTTTGGGTGTAATCCATGAAGGAAGAAGTGGGTCGAAAGGAATTACACAGTCTTGCATTATCTATAAATTGTGTAGGGGTGAAGGGAAGGGTGGCGTGCAAGGTGAAAATATGAAGCCTACTTGGGTTGTTGGGGGAAGAGGAAGAAGGTTAAAGAGGTTATCACTAAAATGATGTGTACTGCTTTAGGAGACTAAGCTTGAGAGCTGTGATGGTATATTAATTAGGAGTTTGGGGAAATCTGTGCATAGGGATTGGACTGTAAAGTGCACTGGAATCCCTTTTCTGCAAAGTGCTAACAGAGCTGGTTGTTTGGAGAGACTTTTTGAGGAGGGAGATAGTCACAGTGTGCTATTTGGGATATGTCCAAGAACAAAGTTCCCGATCCAAATGGTTGTGAGGAGGGCGAGTTTCAAAGTGCAATGTTTGCGATTTGAATTTGAACTTGTTATCTTGTATTTGAATATAACCTAGGGGCTCTATATAAAGCCGATACTAGCTGTGGTTAGTTCAGTTCAGCCATTGGTTATAAACATTCAGCTTTTTGCTCAATATTTCACGCCCTTCCTTCTTTCTTGCTTTGTTTCTCATCACTAGTATGTCAGCTGTTACAATGTCCCTATAGCTCTTAATATATCTGCTAGTTTCATCTTTGAGAAACGAATTCCCTGACATTGGCCTCTCCTTTTCTTTCTACTCTTTGTGCACAGTCATTTGTGGATCTTCAATTTCCTAATGGACAGTTGACCTATGTGTCTGGAGAGGGTCTAAATACTAGTGCCTTCCTTCCTTTTTGTGGGGGTCTTCTACAAGCTCATGGTCAATATCCAGGAGAAATGAGATTCAGCTTTTCATGCAAGGTGAGATCCAAATTATTGAATTCTTGAATGATATAATATATTCATAGACGGAATTTTCTGGAATTGAATCCCATTTTCTCATGTATGGGCACTAATATTTTTCCTGATTTGCTTTTGTTAGAACAAGTGGGGAACAAGAATCACACCAATGGTACAATGGCCTGACAAGTCATTTTCCTTTGCTGTTGCTCAGGCCTTGGCCTGGCAGAGATCTGGTCTCATGGTGAGACCAACTATTCAATTCAGGTAATTACTATTCTTCATTTTGCTATTTCCTGATGGTGAAGTCTAGGGTTGAGGTGCTTTCATGACATTCTGAAGCACACATCATGATGCATCTGCCGCTTATGTTGTTTGTAAGTGATCAGTGGACTGCTGCCTGCCTGCCTGTGTTTATAAATGAACTTCCATAGCAGGAAAATACATGCAATGCAAGAAAGAAAGCTTCGTTTTTCATTCATAAATAGAAGAGAAGAATTTTTAGAATAGAAGAGGACAAGGGATAACTTCTATCATAAATCTTTTGCTTGAGGATTTTTTGGTGTGACTATATAGTAGTTCTTCTATATATGTTGATGTCACTGATGACTCAGCAACTCATTATTCGGTGAATTCTCATCATAGATTAAGCAAGTGTTGCCATCACTTGTAATGATTTGTCAGTCAATGAATAATGAGTGTTAATTAGTCAAAAAGTTTGTTTTCGATTTCCCATTTTCTAATGTGAGAGCCTAACGTCCAATACATATCACGCTTCTTTAATCTTTCCTGTCAATTTGTGTTCTGCATTTTGTTGATGTTCTTTTTATTGTCAGTGTCTGTCCCACCTTTGGTGGAAGCAATCCTGGGCTGCGGGCTGAACTCATTCATTCAATCAAGGAGAAACTGAATTTAATCTTTGGATGTGCCTTCATGACATATCCTTCTGCCTTTGCGTCAATATCCGTAAGTTGTTTTTAAAGCTGTCGTGTTTTGTTTTTCTGCTTTAGCTAGGCTCCTTTGAGTTGTTTGGCAATGTGATAATTTTGTTTCTGACAAAACAACTATCTTGTGCTCTTATATTCTGTATTATTGTCCATGAGTAATGCTAGCTGCGATCAACCCTGATTCAGGCGTGAAACCAGTTTTAGTTTTCACCTAAGTTGCTAAAAAGATAAAAATGATTTAAAAAATATGTATTCATTTATTTAGCAAGTAGGGCAGCATATCACGTGGTTAATTGCTGTTTTTAAAACATGCTTTCCTGGTGCTCTGTTCTTTTACCTTGATTGTATTCTGACATGCATCTGCCAAACTATGATTGGGTTCTTGGCTCAGTTATGTCTCTGTGTTTGTGTGTTCAGATTGGAAGATCGAAGTGGAATGGAAATGTAGGAAGCTCGGGTCTGGTTCTGAGAGTCGATGCCCCTCTCTCCAATGTCGGGCGACCTTCTTTCTCTGTTCAGATAAATAGTGGCATTGAATTTTAAAGGCCTCCATATTTTCTTAGATAAGTGTATATAGGTTTAGTCAACAGCTACTTGCAAGGTCTTTTTTGTTGGGAGCTGCCAATAGCAAGTATACCGTGTTCATGTGAATAGAAAAATCTTGACCCGAAAATCGAGACCTTAAATTGATATCACTATGAAAATCGTGTCTTGGGTGCGTGGTGTACTTACTAATAAAAGTTCCCTCTTGTCAAGCAGCAACTTGAGTTTCATACATTGTTGTTAATTGTTTCTTACTCCTCCTTAGCCTTGTAATCGAAGGTTTGCGAATAGAAAGATCTATTGGTCGCATTTTAGGTCAGCAACATCCATCGCCAGATTTGTTATAAAAAAGTTCTTGAAACGATTGACCTGGTCGAAACATTGAAGTACACTGCAACGGATGATAGCAAAATAGGTTTTACTACCTTTAAGTAACAATTAAGCCCAAAACTCTTCGACATGATGTTTGCTTTTAGTACTGAGCAATCGGTTCTTCAGTTCAGTTAGTAAAACTAACTGAAATAATTGAATAACCAAAATAGGCATATTTAAGACACCGAATCAAAATGGAATATTAGTTGATAACTGAACTGATTAACTGAAATAGTCCAGTTTGGTTATTCGGTCTACTTGATTTTTGGATCTGTTTTGTTGCAATAATTTTTTTCACTCATTCTTATTCCAAGAGCTTAAATTATAAATGTTACTGGAATAGAGTTGGATTAAAGATACCAGAGCAGCTCAACTAATATTGGTTTCTTTATTACTCAAGAAATGGAGAACACAAGCTTTAAATATTCTCAGATCCAAAAGTCCAAGGCCACATGTGCGGCTTCAATATTTAAATCCCAGAAAACAAAATCAAATATATTAACGAAGTGAAATGTCTAGCTGAATTTAAGGAGAAACCAATCTTAAGACCTGCGATGCGAGGATTTAAATGGAATGCGAGAGAAGAGTTTGCAGCGTGGTGAAGACCTTGATTCAGATGGGGCGGAGACTGAAGAAGACTGTGATGGGAGCAATGGAAATGCGTTGCAAGCAACTGAGGCGACGGCGATTGAAAGAGGAGACTGAATTGAAGGTGTAAATGGTGAAGTTGGAGACTGATGCCTGACGCGATGTGTGGAGCAGAAGAGGGCGAGGCCGTGGGCAGAAGAGTGAAGCACTAAAATGACTGAAGTAAAATATAAAATCGAAAAGACTTGCAGTCTCCCTCCACTCTCTTGATATGACATCATTTAAGATATAATTCGGTTATTATAACTAAATTTTTTTTAAAGACACCCATCCTAACACCGAAAAGAAGAGAAAAAAATCAAAATCAAAATGAAAACTGAAGACCAAATTAACCGAACCGAAAAAACTAAAGTGGATTCAGTTCGGTTCAATATTTCATTTTGGTTCCATTTTGCTTATCCCTATTTGCCTTTGATAATAGCAATTTAAGTAGATGCCAACTTAATCAGCCATTTGAAGCACTAGAACCACAATTAACCGCCATTTTGATAAGATGAACACATGAAATGTCATTATCATCACACTACAGCGAATAAAATATGCAAACAACATTTCTAGCTTTATCTCTTTGACAATGTGTGCACATTTTTATAAGTACATTTATCACCCTACTATTCAAGGTGACTCCTTCACAAAAGAACTTGAAAATACTTGCAAGTTTTCTTCCTCATAGAGCTAGTCATATTCGTGATGTTAATTTCAAAGAAGCTTGCTAGATGAAGAGTAATCATCTGTACTCGGAAGAGATATTGAAGAATCAATCCATGGCCCATCCATTGACTTGCCTCTTTGCTCCCTACTTGTTTGAGAAGCTATAGAGGTCTGGCTGTCGTGTGATAGCATCTCAAAGGCTTTGAACCTTGCATCCTGATGATCCTGGCTTGAATCCTTGAGCTTGATTATTGGAGCTTGAACTGGAATATTTCCTTCAAGCATACTCACCACGGATGACATGGCTGGCCTGAGGGTGGGAGATGGGTTGGTGCACAAAAGAGCCAAGTTGAGCATTCTCATGGCCTCATCTTGGGAGTAGCTTGAACCAAGCCGCGGATCCACTAGTTCCAGAAGGTTTCCTTGCTCTTGGAGAACATAGGCCTTCAATGGCATACAAAGATGTAAGTGTGAAGACTAGACTGAATGCATAAAAGAAGAAAAGAACCTAGTCCCACCAACTTAATTCGGCGATTTGGTTCTTAAAACTTAATTATTATCAATTGAATCCCTAAAGTTTCGTGCAAAATTTTATATTCTTAGTAATTATTGGATTAACAATTTTTTTGCGATTTATGAAAAGATTGTTATCCTTGAATCAATTGGTTAGACCACGTTTGTGTGTAAAATTACATGGGTTCAAGAACCAACAGTTTCTTTATCCCTTCATGGCAAATTATTTGAATATGGAAATGCTTTTGGTAATCTCAAATTTTTAAGATGACCAAGGGAAGGAATGAAATGTGCACGCCTAAAGAGCAATACATTTACCAAAAACATAAAGAGCCATGAAAAAAATTTATTTACCCAATCAAGAAGATGAACAAACTCATCCTTTGGCCGGTAATTCATGTTGTTCTTTCCACTAACAATTTCCAGAGCAACAACTCCAAAGCTATATACATCTGCTTTGTCTGTCAAATAACCTCTCATTGCATATTCAGGAGCCATGTAACCACTGTGAAAAGAGCATATAATATCTCTCAATTAGTGATTTTACTATGAAAATATTAATGTAAATGAGCATGGCTTTATGCAACAAATAGGAGCCAGCCAATAGTGCATGATGAAGATCAACTTTCAACTAATTATCAATCAATAGAATCTAGAATGACATAATACAGACATTGTTCCAGCTATTCGGGTACTGATATGAGTATTCTCCTCTTCATCAAGCTTCGCTAGGCCAAAATCAGAAATTTTGGCATTTAAGTCCTTATCAAGTAAGATGTTTGTTGCCTTAATGTCCCTATGTACTATTTTTAATCTAGACTCCTCATGAAGATAAGCTAATCCCCTTGCTATCCCCAAACAAATCTTCAATCTTGAGGACCAATCCAAGTGTATCCTCTGTTCTTCGTGGCCTAAAAATAAGAAGAAAGAAAGATAAGAGAAAATTTCTTTGAAGATACATTGTTATTGGAAGCAGGTATCAACATTGTACAAAGGGTCAATGAAGCATTTACCAAAAAGTGCTCGAGCAAGACAATTATTCTCCATGTATTCATATAAAAGCATTAGTTGATTTCCATCTATGCAACAACCATAAAGCTTCACAAGATTCGGGTGCTGCAATGCAGAGATCATTCCTATCTCATTAACAAATTCACGATTCCCTTGCTTTGACTTGGAAGAGAGCTGCTTAACAGCAATGACTACGCCATCTGACAGCACACCCTGTTATAAAGCAGTATAAATCAGTATCATAAGCATAACACCCCATTTGGTTAAACCAATCAGCAGGTAATTGGCATGCTCTGATATTACAGATTCTGATGTTACCTTATACACTGGCCCAAATCCTCCTTCTCCTATCTTATTTGCTGGGTCAAAGTTATTGGTGGCTGTTTTGATTTGTCTTAGAGAAAAATAGCCTGTCTTAAGATCTAAAAGTTCTGAAAGACACAAAGGGGATAAGTGTAAGCAAATGAAAAACAAAAAAGAAAAATGCTAACAGATTACAAGAAATAAAAATAAATAGTCTTTTAGCTAGGATGAAGCAACCAGAACTTCATTTTTTAACAAATTATCACCACCTCACATCTTGGAAGATTTGTAATTCATTAATGTTTATTCATCCGGATGCTTGAGCATAAGCAAATTTGACTCTTGATTAGCAAGACCTAAAGTACAAGAGTTGCAATCTATTTTGAATTTCAATATTACCTCTATCTTTTGGATCTTTCCCACCAAGGAAACCCTTCTTTCGGAGGACAAAGAGTACCAATACGAGGAAAACACATGATCCAAATACAATTCCAACAATAGCTCCAGTGGACAACCCTTTTGAAGGAACTTTGAAGTCTAAAACAAAAAATAAATGCACATATTACATGACATCAAGATAGTTTGTAAGAAAATAGTAAGTCAATGATGTGAGAAATATTTACTTGGGGTCACAGTAATGGCAGATATTAGAGGTCCATATACACCTCTATCGGGAATAGCAGTAGTTCCTTTCCCTGCCCAGTATAAATGGATCTCTAAGGTGCTATCATTCACATCAACATCAAATTCCCTCGTGATGTCATTACCAACTCCACCTGCCTTCTTCGCAATGTTGAAATCTTTCAAGTATTTAAAGCCCTGTGAGAATGCAAGAAAGAATCTAGCTTCAAAACTTCAGTTTTGTAGCAAAACGAAATACAACATACGATAAAAATGTAAGAAGCAGTATAAAAAATCTAACAGAGTATATCCCTTCATCACTCACCTGAATTGAAACATCAAAAATGCGCACACCAAGGCTGCTATATGTTTGGTCATCAGAAAACATTATCTCAGCAAAATGGAGCTTTACTTTATAATTGCCCTTCATCATACATAAGCCATAGTACTTAAGGGATAGAGGGCTAAGACGGGCTGTTTGGTAGTATTCGGGGCTACTCCCATTCAAGGAAGATGAACTTGTTGCTACAAAATCAGCGGTATCATTATTCATGAATACCCCTGTACTGCTATAAGCCCAGTTGTTTTGAAACTTAAAATATGAAATGCCATCTCGATTTAAATCTTCTTCATATTCGTGACCATTGAACTCCATCTTGGGTCCTCCACAGTTTATGAACAGTGAATGATCTACATTTAAAAAAAAAAAAAGAAAAAAGAAAAACACATGTTAACTTGGAGGAGATATTGTCATAGATTCACTTAACAAAGTCTGTTGTGGAGCACAAAAACATGGTTGATGTACTATGTCTCAACTCACAATATGAGTTTCCCTCACAAGGTAGGCCCTTCTTCAAACACAAGAGTCTACAAAATGAATATTTTGTTTCAACAGATTATTTAAAGAGATAGATAACTGAAAATAAAAATTTGAAAGAGGTACACCCTAAGCAAGAACTCACGGATTGCTTACTGAAGATGAGAGACTGGAAGCCAAATTCCTGCCCATCAAAAATAATTAGTAGCCAATGTTAAGCATTAAGAATATAGACACAAAAGTCTCTGTGATTTATTAAACAAAAAGAAGCTTACACATCCGACAGCTGGCAAAGAGATGCAGAAGTCTCAGTAAAATTGTTGTAAGA